CATTTCATATTTATTTGTTTTTATCCTTGAGGGTAGTATATATTATACCCCTCCCCATTCATCTTGAGAACAAGCTTATAAGCCCAACCGGAAGAGTCCGCGACCAGAAAGAGGAGGAGTATCAGGAAGAGTGGATTAAATTTAAGGATTACCTAGTTAGATATGTTAAGTTAAATTAACTGAAAACAGCTTGCAGATACTTAATTAGCTTAGGACTTTATTTATGTTAAGTGATGAATTAATATGTTTAATTTCATAATGTGAAGATTTAAGGATGTTAATGTTCAAGTTAAATTTTATAAGAATTGTGATTTGAAAAACCGTTAAAAGGATATGCAATGAAATTCAACCAAGGGGATGCAAGGAAGTCACTTAACAATGCTAATAAGTGTAATTTTAAATAAGGCTTTGATTTATGTTTCTTTGTCTTATGTGTTTGTTTGTTTGTTTGTTTGTTTGTTTGTTTATAATAGTGTGAAAACCAATAAAAAAAAATTTTGGAAAGAGAACAAGCTTATAAGGAAGGCTGAGAGAGACTGAGTAGCCAAGGCGATGGACCATAGTTTAGTGATAATGCACACTGTTTTTTATGCAGGTTTAATCCCTGATATCTATTTAAAGCAGGGGTGGGGAACTTTACTTTTTGTGGAGGGCTGCATCCCCTCAGGGGTTAATTTGTAAGGGGCTGCATGCCAGCTGGTGGGCAGAGTTTGAGCTGCTGATTGGCAAAGACATACCTTTTTTGATGAACTAATCCCAAATAACGGATTGCCCTGCTTCAAATTTACTTCAGATTAGAATTCCCAGTCCTATTCAGGTCTATGCAGATAAGCTCTACTGGGTTGGAAAAGGTTACAGTAAAATAAGCATACAGAGGATTTCGATTTTTTTCTCCAATACAACTGACCATACAGCTACTGTGGCGGTGAGGAATCCTTTCTGACTTTAATGTGCTACACACACAGACACCTACCAACTTGTTCTCAGATAGATGGGGCACTATTTCTTTCCCCCAAAGTCTTGCAACCAAGAAAAAAAAGTTCAAAAAGCAAACATTGATTTATTTCTATTCAATAAAATACAGTGATACCTCGAGTTAAGTACTTAATTCGTTCAGGAGGTCCATTCTTAACCTGAAACTGTTCTTAACCTGAAGCACCACTTTAGCTAATGGGGCCTCCCGCTGCTGCCCTGCCGCCGGAGCACGATTTCTGTTCTCATCCTGAAGCAAAGTTCTTAACCCGCAGTACTATTTCTGGGTTAGCGGAGTCTGTAACCTGAAGCGTATGTAACCCGAGGTACCACTGTACTGCCCTTTCCAGTTGTTCTGAATTACATAGAAAGGAGCAATTGCACAGGAAGGAACTCTGACAGGATGTGAGAGTGGGGCCGCTTCAGGAGACATTGGGGCTGAATAAAATGAGGCCTAAATAACTTGTGGCCCCTGAGAAGCAGGGTTCTCACCTGTGATGTAAAAGCATCAGGTAGGAAGTGATGGTGCAGACCCTTCTCTAAGCCCCTGAAGAGCCACTTCCAATTGGAGTCAACAGTACTAAGCTGGATAGATCAATGGTAGCTTCCTGTTCCTATGGTTATTCAGCAAACATGTGACCAAGTAGCAAATTCCATCCTGTCTGTGTCTGCCTCTCTGTCCACTATAGTTACGTAACTGGTTCTTATACAGGGAGAGAGATCTGAAAGTAGCCCTCTGGGATAACAAATGCTGGTGGCTTTGTTTTCCAAGAATTGCAGAAACCAGACTTTTCAGGTTTTTCTGCTGTCGTGATCACCACCACTCACAACTTGGTTCCCTCTAAGGCAGCATTCCCCAACCTGGTGCCATGCTGGCTGCAGCTGATGGGAGTTGTAGTCCAAAACACCTGGAGGGCACAGGTTGGGGAATGTTGCTCTAAGGGGAGCAGAGTGAGTTGCATATGGTTGGAGGGGGTTCTTTTCAGGCAGTTTGCAGAGCTAAACCTGCTTAACTCAACAGTAGAAGTATGTTTACTGCCAGGCCATTCTGTGGGTACTCCTTTTTACAAACAGATTTGTTGGGGAAAGGGCTGGAGTTGTTGTTTTTATATTTAAAAAAGAGGGGCATTAAGTTTCCTGAGGTTTCTAGGAAAATGTCTGTAATGTGTCTTTGCAAAGTTTCCACACACAAAAATGTATATAAAAGAAGATGGATCAGATACTTAATGTTCCATGATTTTAAATTAATGCATCTTGGAAGTGTCCTGATTGCATTTATGCTGCAATACCATACTAAATAATTTCACATTAAGCTTAAGTTAAACTCAGTTAACTCTGGTTTCCTAAAGCAAGGTCAGCAAAATATTGAATTTATTTCAAAGGAATTGCATATAACACAAGACTTTTTTGTGTTAATTGGCACCGTCTGTTCTACAGGCATATTGATGTTTTTATATATTTATTTGGCTTCCTTGATTGTGGCACATTGTCCTCTGGGTTATGCACCTTTACAGTCCAATCCTATACAAGCGTACTCAGAAGTAAGCCCACAGAATTTCATGGGATTCCCAGGAAAGCATGAATAGAATCGCAGCCTTAATCAGTGGGAAGGTGCTGTGTGAATGAGCTTTCTTTGGGGCAGTAGTATGGCTGCAAATAGAGTTGGACCTTAGGGTCTCTCCTTACGCTTTGAGCAATGGCCCTCTCTATTCTGTGTGGCAGAATGCCGGGACCACAGTGAACTGCACAGCACAAAGCTTTGGAAAAACAACAGCATCAAAATGAGGGCACCAGGCTGTGCTGAGAGCAGTATTCTGTAAACAGGCGCATCTGCATTGCAGTCTTGCTTAGCCCCAGTTAAAGCAGCAGCACAGCCCAAAGTAGGCTGGCAGATAAGTAGCACCTGCAAAAGGAAAGAGCGACTTCTTCTAGAAAGTCAACAATAGACTCAAAGCACCACTTGATGAGCTTTCGATGTTACTTAATCAGCCAGGACAAATGAAAGGTGATCCTATTATTTCAAGATGAGCATAGCGATGCAAAGCACTGCTTTATGTTGGTCCCAAGTGGCAGATGTAACGCAGCTGTGTCAGGCAGAATCGGGAGAAGTGCTGTCCAATAAGTCTGAGACACTGTAACTTATACATGCTAGTGAATGAACTTTAACTAAGGCTGCAGTCCCAACTCCAATTACCTTGAATTCAAGGGGGAATCTGAGCAGAAACGGTTTGGCTCATGCTGTAAATTTAGCAAGTCTCTTACCTGGATTCCATAGCTGTCTTTGGCCCTAGCACACCCATTGATTTTGTTGGTTACATTACTATTGCACTTCCTTCTTATGCTCAGTAACTAAGGCTACGGCCCTATACAACTTACACGGCAGCAAGCCTCACTAAACTTAGACTCATAGAATTGTAGAGTTGGAAGGGACCTGGAGGATCATCTAGTCCAGGGGTCAGCAAACTTTTTCAGCAGGGGGCTGGTCCACTGTCCCTCAGAACTTGTGGGAGGCCAGACTATATTTTGGGGGGAAAATAATTAATTAATTCCTATGCCCCACAAATAACCCGGAGATGCATTTTAAATAAAAGCACATATTCTACTCATGCAAAAACATGCTGATTCCTGGACCGTCTGCAGGCCGGATTGAGAAGGAGATTGGGCCGCATCCGGCCCCCAGGCCTTAGTTTGTCTACTCATGATCTAGTCCAACCCCCTGCAATGCAGAAATATGCAGCTGTCCCATACAAGGATCGAACCTGCAACCTTGGCGTTATGAGCACTATGCTGTAACCAAACCGTTAAATGATTTCCTTCTGAGTGCACAGGATTACTTAGGACAGTATGTCCCTGAATCCCTCCTCTTTGTCCTCACACAGAGGTTGCACCTAGGGGTTGGTTTGGTTGGCCCTCGCCAAAGGCCCAGGCCCAAGGAGGGCACAAAAATCGAACCTCTCCACTCTGGCTTAGAGTGGCTAGAAGTCAGCCTGCCCATCCACACACTGCCGGGACTGCCCTTCTGCTGCTCTGGTCATCTGGACAAGGTTTTCAGGCTCCTCCAGGTGCCATGGTGGGGGAATCCAGTCACTGGTATGGGCCATAGCAACAGCTCTGTGGGGCCTCCTTCTCAGTTGGCCAGCAGTGCTATTAGAAGTGTGAGTGGACTCAGAGGGGAGAAAGAGGGAGAGAGTAATAAGAGTTGCCAGAGGAGGAAAAGGAAAGGAAAGGAAAGGCAGAAGGAGGAAGAATGGAAAGCAGTGAGTGGAAGGAAGGAGGAAGGCTGGGAGGCAGGTAGACAGACTGATAGAGGAGGAGGAAAGGCAGAGCAGAGCAGACCCAATCTTGACGGCTGTGGACTTTAGGCTCTCAAATTTCAGCGGTGCCCTGTGTGGTACTAAAATTCGGTGCCCCTGTCTCTCACGCTCCATTCTACAGCATTGTTACAGCGCCCCCTGCGGCGTAGCGCCCAGTGGTGCTGAACCAGTTGTACTGCCCTAAAACCACCTCTGCATGGAAGTCACTGGCAGAGTGCGAAAGGCAGCAAGAAGGAAACTTTTAGGGTATCTGGTCCTTGGTCTCCGATACATCTCATTGCCATGGGTGCAAGTGATGCCGCAGGGTGCCGATACAGCTCATTGCCAAGGGCACAAGAGCTGAGGTACACCTCTGTCCCTGTAACAGCCTTGAAGGCACGTTCAGCTAAGAATCAGTGCCTTGTCCAAGTTCCCCTGGAGGAGTGGCGATTTGAACCTGGGTCTCAGCCCAACATCTAACCACCACCAGTGCAGATGCTCTATATAGCCAGAAGAAAGATCATTTGCAGTATTTCCCAAGGCAGATAGGGTAGGCAAGCAGGTGTGGAGTTGGCTGGGTTTGAATGGCATTGGTTTCAGCTCCACATAGAGCAGGTTCCTGCAGGAATCTTGCGCTACTGTCCGACTGAGAGATCACCCTGTCACCTCTCCCGCCTTCGTCATGCAAGGCGGGGCGGGGCGGGGCAAGGAGGGTCGTGGGCAGCGGCCAGGGGTGGGCGGGGCCTCGCCGCCTGCACCTGTCCGCGGGGCGCCCGGAGCCCCGCCCTTTCTCCTTGGCTCCTCCGCAACGCGGTGGCCGGCCGACCGGGCTGGGCTGTGTTTGCGCGCCGCGCCTGGGCGGGGGAAGCGAGTCCCCAGCCGCCGGGAAGGAGGATGGCCTGCCTGCTGGACTCGCAGCCCGTGGCCCGCTTCCAGCGCTGCTGCGGGCTCTTCCCGGCCTCCGAGGGAGGGGCGGAGCAGGCCGGCAAGGTGGGGAACGGCAGCCCCCTCCACCTGCCCGCGAGGGACGTCGCCAATGGGCGCAGCAGTCCGGCCAAGCAGCGCGCCCACCCTCCGGCCCCCGGCGCCGCCAGCAACGGCTGGAAGGTAAGAAAGTTACAAAGGGAGAGGAAGGGGTTAATTGAAACAGCGGCGGGGAGGGGGAGAGGAAAAGGTACCGGGGCTCAAGTTGTAGTCTCTGACCCAGAAGCGCGTCCTAGAGACAGATAAGGAGCTTGGCACGTTGGACGGAGGAAATGGCACCTCCTTGAATGCAGGTGAGTTGCGAGAGCGCGCGGAATGCTTGCTATCCCGAGGCAATGGACTCGTCTCAGTCTTGCGCAGGTTTCCCCTGTCCGGGTCTCTCGCCCCACGATCTCGCTCCTTTCCCCCCTCTTTTTCTCGCGGAGGCAGATGGATTTCCTGTTGTTCAAGTGAGGAAGGTTAAAGGAAGGAGGAAGGGAGGGGAAGAGGAAAGAACTGCAGCCCCCGTTCCTTGGCTCAGCAATACAGTAATTGAGTTGCAAGTATAGGACATCAGGGATAGCCGAAGATATTGTGCAGGACGCTTTTCATTTCCAGCCGAGCACTCCAGCCTTCGACCTCGGTTGTGCTGAGCTCGTGTTGACATGGCAGAGCACAGATATGGAAGGCAGACTCTGCAAGATCACGGAACGACATTGTTGCAGAAGAATTTGGCAGTGTTATACCTACCTGACTTAACATCTAGCAAATTTCCTAGGCTGCTTTATTTTTCAGGTTAATTTTAAATGAAAGCAAATTGGGTGATTATAGGATAACCGCTCCCCCCCCAAAAAAGGACTAGTGGGTGATGAGATACTTGCTTCAGAATTTGTGAATGAGTTGACACTTTCCAAAGAGTTGCTGATGTGCATTCATTTAAAATAAAGTACAAAATCATGGTCTAGTGTGACAGAATTGAACTTGACCTTAGATAGGTAGGGTGATGTCATTTTCAGTGAGAAACTAGGTGAAGAATTGGACTCCACCCTTCAATAAAACTGAAAATGTGAACATTGTATTCCTTCCTGCTCCCAGAACTGATTAACTTCTATGATGTCAGAAGAAAATTATAATAAACCTCAGATATTGTGACATCATAAACCTATTGGCTTGGATCAAAAGATGTTAACTTAAAAGGAATTCCTCCAATTTAGCCCTTACCCCAGATTGTTTAAAGGTTCTGTTGATCCCAAAGCAATAGTTTTTGGGGGGATCGCAGGTGGTTATAGGGAAGAGTAAAGAATGGGAAACTTTCCTATTGTACAGTTCCTTAAGTAACCTTTGTATCCTAGCCATTGATTTCCTTTGTACCACCAGACTGTAATGATTCTGTACTAACACAAGCAGGAACTTGATAAGGTAATGTTGGCTTACTCTTTGAAACTGTAACGCTTCCCTTGCGCATGGCAAGGCTGCTTAAGTGTTAAGAGATCTTCCCCCCTCACAATACTATGTCATAGAATTCCATGGAGACCATTGTGCACAAAGAGAAACAATACTACTCTGTGATAATAGCTATTATGATGTGCCCAAACTGAACTCTGTTGAAAAGAGACACAAACTAATTAATTCTGATTGTGTGGGCACTGATGCACCAAGATTCAAGTGTGCTACCTGCGTAGCACTGCTAAAGAGGGTGTATGTGTGACTTTTATGAAATACTTCATTATTCAGGTGGACCTAGTAATATCTGACCACTTCAATTTGTTTATCCTCTTGTCTCAAAAGGCTGGAGGTCTCTGAGCAGGGATCTATCACGTAAATGTTCCAAAAGTCTCTTCCCTTTGTATTCTGTCCTCCCATGCTCAATTTATTATCTTATTTGTTTCCAGCTTATTTTTTCTGCACTTTACAGTGCAGTCCTACATACATGTTTCCTTGGAATCAAGTCCTATTATGATCCAAGGACTTATTCCCAGAAAAGTGCTTCTAGGGCTGCAGCTTTAATTTTTCTTTCTTGTGCTATTGTTGTTCCTTCTTAGGAACACAGGAACTTGTCTCATGCCAAGTGCAGCTCTTCAGTGTCCTAGCGGGCAACATTCTGAGCCCTATCTAGAGATAATAATTATATTATTATTATTATTATTATTATTATTAATTTATTTATTTATAATAAACCAACTACTCAACCAACTACTTTCCCCCTGAACTGAGTTCATTTTCCTCCCCCCTCCCCCTTCTTTTGTTCCATAGCTTTCCCATTTTTTCCTTTCAGATCCTCTCCAATCCAATCCAAGCAAGCCGGTCTTTATTCTGATGTGAAAAACCCTTGCGTCAATAGTTATAGTCACAACTGTCGTACTATTTCTCTTTGCATACCTTTTGAATGTAAGAAGTAATGTAATCTAGTTGCACTGTAACGCTTTACTTATCTGATGTTTGAAGAAGATTAATCTGTCTCCGTGCCCGCTGCTGAATTAGCTTTAATGAATGGCTCCAATGGTCATCTCCTAGCAAAATGCCAAACTATGGTATTTTCCTGTTTCACACATAATGGCAAACTATGATTTGCCACAAAAAACTAACTATGGGAGAGCACAACAGGGACGGGGAAAGCACAGTAGTAACAGCAACTCAGCTGTTATTGGAAGTGACTTGTTTGTTTAAATGTATATTCACTCTGAGGGAGGAAATATGAGTTTTCAAGTTAGGCTTTGATGAGATTCTTGCATAATATTTATCCCCCTGTGCCTAGATTGGAATTTTCTTGATATGTTTAACGAATGATTTTGGCTATATGACCTACAGCCGGGTTTCCCTGCCTCTGGCTATTTTTTGGACTACAGTTCCCATCTTCCCTGACCACTGTTCCTGCTAGCTGAGGACAATGGGAGCTGTAGCCCCAAAACAGCTGGAGACCCAAGTTTGGGAAACCCTTGTCTACAGCCAGGATGGGGACTATATGGCCCTTCAGATGGCAGTGGTCTGCAACTCTCAGCCTTGACCATGTCAGCTGGGGCTTAGGAGAGTTAGCATCCAACAACACGGGGAGGGTTAAAGGTTCTTCATTCACGCTCTAGTGGGATAAATGAGCTTTTTCATATTCAGAATAATGGGAACAATAAAAAAACTTCTTTCCACCTTAAAGATCTCCATTGCCTTGCTCTTTCCTACCATTCCACTTACTCTGTCCTTCACATGTGCTTTTTAAATATATAACACGCATACTATATGCTGGTGTGCAGATTTTGTTTCTCCCCCACCCGTTCTCCAAGATGCTTTTCCTCCCTCCTTCCCTCAATCAACACATTAGCTTAGATCTATGCAGAGCAGCTCCAAAGAGCAAATTTCTAACACAGGTATGGAGAACCTTTGGCCCTCCAGGTGTTATTGAGCTGCATCTCCCATCAGCCCCCGCAAGCATGGCCAGTGGCCAGCGATGATGGTAACTGTACATCTGGAGGGCCAACGGTTCCCCATGAAAAAGATGGGGAGTCACTTAATTTCTCTTTTAGGAAAGCCAGGCACTCACATCTGAATGCTGCGGTTCATGGAGAAAGTTTGGGCCCTGTCAAAAGGAGGTGGGGAATAATTCTACCCTTCCTTCCTCTGGTGTGGCAAGCAGCTGATTGGAAGAATCCAATTCTGTTTCTTCTCCATGCCTGGTTCATTTCTGGTGCTGGGCTTTGGGTTTCGACAATTGACTTCAGAAATGATGATTCAACTCTCTCCCTTTTGAGGTTATAATTAGATAGATATAATTATGGATAGATGCATGAAAGTGATTGTGTCTGCCACTGTTACATCTAGTTTGGCCCCCAGAAAGGTAGTTCTCCGCTTAAAATCTAGCAAGATCTCATATAGGGTCTGCTTATGTTATGGGAAACTGGCGTTGCCTTGTAGGTGTCTTAAGACCCTAGCTGCCACTTTTACATGATTTCAAAATCATTAAATCTGCAAGGTATGCTAAAATCCTACTTGCCTTCAGCTCTGCACCATTTGGTAACTGCACAGCAGAGCTAATGTATTTCAAATCCTGGAGGCCATAATATCTGAAAGACTCTTAATTTTGGATTGCATTGCCTTCAGCATTTTACAGAACGATATTAATTTGGCACACAAATTATAGTTAATTTAAAAAATAAGCTTGACTAAGTAGAGTCAGGATTGGCTATTGTGCATTGTGTGGGTCTGATTACGAGTAACACTCAAATTCTAATCCCAAATCTGAAAACACCTATTTACTTGCCTTCGGCAGCTCATTTTTCTACATAAAGTAGGGGTGATGGCTACATTAGAGTAGGTGAGCTTAATTTATTAATGTTGTACAACCCTTTGAAGATACAAAGCTCTAAATGAATGCTGAGGATTAGTATTGTCGAATCATGTTCCTCAGTTGGGTATTAAACTATAGAAACTCAATACAATATTGCAATTCTTGTGCTGGTGAAAGCAAAGGAGGAGGAGCAGGTTTGAAGTTTTATGACATTATGTTTATTGCTGAAAGCAGAACAGGTAGGGGTATTTGTGTAGAAATGCATGTGTTCATGAAGAAAAAATCTGGTTTACAACCACACGTTATAATCTTCTGCTTTAGATGAAGGCTGAGCCAGATCTGATAAACTGATGCAGCAGAATTTTGTGGCACACAGACTTTCCTAAATGGAAGGTATTTTTGAATGCTCCGTGGTGACAAATAGTCCCTGTGTATTGAAAACTAACATGTCTTTTGAAAATTATTCTTGAAATTACTGTCCCTCCCACATCTGGAGCTGAGCTCAACTGAATACTGTTTGTAACTAGATCATGTGTTTAATACTTCATAAGGGAAATTTAATAATTTAAGACACTTGCATCCTTCAGTAAAATATAACCATTTTTAGATTGCTATGGGAGTCTCACAAAGAATTTAGATTTAAACATCCATGTAGCATCTCTGGAAAAATACAGGATGGTGAGTTTAGACATGTCTGCTGCCTAGAACCTGAACAGAGCCTTGAATGCACACATTTTTCATTCTTGTGGGAGACTTGTGCCATTGAGAGTGCCTACAGTCCTGTTTTCACATCACTTTTCAAGGGAACAGGTTGTGAAATATACAGGGAATGGTCCCATCTACACTGCCACAGCCTCTTAGGAAGAAGGACAATCGACTCACAATTGTTGTAATATCCAGTGACAGCTGGAGGTAAGCTTGCAAGTTGCAGGTATCTAGATGCAGCCCTGGGTACAGTGTGTGGCTCTTTGCCCATCAGAGATTTAAGCTTCTCTCAAAGTCTTGTTGTAGCTGGTCCAGGATAATGTTACAAGATAACTCATGTGCATCACAATAGGAGAGCATTCCCTACATGCTTCTTGGAGTAAGAAAACAGAAAGGCTTAATTGCTGCCAATGATGGCAAGATGCTTATATCTGGAGGCTATTCACAGAAGTCTTTAAAAACTTGTTGCCAACACAGCTGCCCTGCTCTTTAGCTGTTTTCCCTTCACCTTTATCTTAACCACACACAACTCCTCTTGTCCCTAGGTTCTGTGGGATTTCCCCACAGCCTATTGTTTTTCATCTCTCCCCTTTTTTGCACCGCTTCTCATCCTCCCATATTTTCCATCTTTCCTTTCATCATGTCATACTTCTGTATCCAGCTCGTCTCTGACCATTGTTGAGCTTCCTGCCCAATGTTCTTTGTAAACTGCTTAGAGGTGTTTTATGCTAGTAAGTGGTGTGCATTTTTTTAAAATGTACACATTTTGTTTTTATTTATTGCAGTATTTCATCCTGCCCTTTCTGCAAGCAACCTAGGATGGTCTACTGTACATAATTTCCCACATTTTGCCCTCAAAATGTTCTTACCCTGGTAGGTAGAGAGATGAGGGAGAAATTCACTTTGCTTTTAAAGGCAAACCAACCCAATTTTCACCAACAATACATGAACCAACTATTTGCAAACAATGCATGAACCAAAGCGCAATCATCTTTCAAAATTTGCACTACTCTGAATTTTGCAGTGCAGTGTTCCCACCAAGCAGTGTGTTCAAAAATACATATTCCACACTAAAGTGTGCATGAAATGAAAACAACATTCAAAAATGCATTGTATTGGGGAAAATTGCCTTGCAAAAATGTGCATATTAGGCTAAACTGCATTAAAAAATGTTTATTTTGAGAAATTCACACTTAAATGCTGACGAATTTTCAAGAGGACTTTAAAAAAATCACAAACTGATGTGAAAATGTAAAGAACTGAACTTAAGAATGGAAAACAGAGAAACTAAGAGAGATCAACATTGTCCGTTTCACCTATTCCTAGTGGTAGACTTTGCTGAGAGAAGAATGCATTAAAGTCACACACTGAGCTTTGTGGCTGAATGAGATTTGAACAGCCACCATACCAGACTGGCTGGCAGTTTGCTGCTCCCAGGGCACTGTTTCCATTTAGCTTTACACTTTCTGTCGGCATCCTTCCTCCATGGAAAGCTGCCTTTATACTGAATCAGACCATTGGTCCATCTAGTGCAGTATTGTCTACACTGACTGCTACTGGCTCTCCAGGCTTTCAGGCAGGGATCTATCCCAGTCCTACCTCCAGTGCTTGGAGTTTTTGGAGTATACAATCATGCTGGCTGGGACTGATGGGAGTTGTGCTTCAAAATCTCTGGAAGACACATGGTTAGCGGACGCTGCTACAGACCATGGTACAAAAAGGAGAGACCTTATGAAACAAGCTGCTGTTGCTACTCACTTTGTTGTTGTTCAGGCTGCTTATCCAGTCTGACCTCAGAGTTCAGTTCAGATGAATTTACCACTGTTGAAGTCGTGCCCCAAAAGTGTCTCCAGTCTATTTGCTTATTCCATTTCGTTATGTAAAATAACTTGTTGTGTAAATATTATGCGTGGAAATGAACACTGTGATGAAGTGGTGCTGTTGCCTGGAATGAAAAGGAAGTATTAAAAATGGAGTTGCCTTGAAGGAAATTACTCTGAAAATCAAGCAGGAAGAAAATATCATTAACGCCAATTAAGTTACGTGGTTCAAACTTCCCCACACAATGCATTTCATAACTATGAATTTGTTTGGTTTCTGGCTGGACAGCTTCTCTCTCCCCCCCCCCCCCCCAATTTTCATCAGATTTGCATAGCTTGTTCACTTAAATAAAATTGAGGCAACCCATCCATGAGGCAAGGAGAGGTGACTGCCTCAGGTGGAAGGATTCACAGGAGCAGCAAATCTGGCCTTCAAGGAATCCATCTCTTGCTGCCGCTCTTGTGGTGGCAGCTATGGTTGTGGCATGCTTCTTGGAGACTAGATCTGTCTCCTCCCTTTCAACACCTTCCCCACAATGACGCCTCTACCTGGTGGCTTCTTGGTGAATAGGAGGCTCTACTGGTCTCATCCCACCCTTTGGGAGGAAATGGTGGGGGCTCCTGGGCTCTGCACCCACTGGGTGTGATTCAGAGTGGGCCCCTTCCCACGATGGCCTTTGGTTCCCACTTCAACCATTGGGTAAGGTTGATTTGAGTGCCCCCTGTTCTCACTGTAGATCTTTTTTCCCTCCTTCCATGTTCCTGACATAAATCTTCACTCACACCTTCTTCCTTGATGGGGAAGTCACCATTTTGTGGTTCCTATCTGATGTCTTTCTTATCTTGGCCTATATAATGTTTATGTTTGTTTGTTATTGTTTTATATTATCCTCAGCAGGATAAGTGTTTCATTAATTGTTGAGGGCTATATTCGAAAGCTGGGACGTGGGTGGCTCTGTGGTTTAAACCACAGAGCCTAGGACTTGCCGATCAGAAGGTCGGTGGTTCGAATCCCCATGATGGGGTGAGCTTCTGTTGCTCGGTCCCTGCTGCTGCCAACCTAGCAGTTCGAAAGCACATCAAAGTGCAAGTAGATAAATAGGTACCGCTCTGGCGGGAAGGTAAACAGCGTTTCTGTGCGCTGCTCTGGTTCACCAGAAGCGGCTTAGTCATGCTGGCCATGTGACCCGGAAGCTGTATGCCTTCTCCCTCGGCCAATAAAGCAAGATGAGCGCCGCAACCCCAGAGTCGGTCACGACTGGACCTAATGGTCAGGGGTCCCTTTACCTTTTATATTGATTTTTAAATCTTGTATCCTGGAGTCTTTTGTCCGGTGACAAATAGATCTAGTGACGATGAAAAATGAAAAGCATCACGTCTAGCTTGGCATTGAGAACCCTAGAACTGGCTTCCTGTCCTGGGCCAGAATTCCACCCAATCCGGTTTCCTGCCTTCAAAAGTGCCTGGCCACATGCCCTGCAAAACTTGCAAGAATGCTACTTTTTGTACCGGCAACTTTGCCCCTCTTTATAGTGCCTTGGGGAGGCAAGGATGTCAGTGAGCAAATGCTCAGTCTGCTGTCTCAGTCACTGAGAGTAAGATGTCTGCATCTGCTTTTGCAACTATCCATGCCACCTTAGAAAGGTGTCCCTTGTCCTTTGAGAGCAGTTGGCTGTTTGGGAAGGCATATGCCTTAGTGGAGATTTTCCTTTTGTTTTCCAACCAACAGCTCCCCCTCCCTCCCAATACGAGAAGCAAAGGAAAACTTAAAGGAAATGCTGTATCCTGTCCTCTGCCCCCACTGCCTGCACACATCAACACTCGCATAAGAATTTTGGTGATTTGTGGGTGTTAATGGTATTCTCAGACTAGAAAAACGCTTTTCTGTTGAGAAGATAAATACTGGTTGCATGTGTCTTGTCCAGGGAAGAAGATTTTCATTGTGTGCCATTCACTGTGAGATAGTAACATTTGGATAATATTGCAAACAAAATGAAATGAAGATTGAGGGGTTTTTTTAAAAAAACTCAGCCCAATACGTTCTTGTTCTGATCACAGGGACAAATTGAATTATGGTGTCTTGGTTCTCCTCCTTGTTATGTATTCAGAACAATACCTTATCATCATGGTATCTTGTACAACATGAATTTGATTCATTATTTGCTTATCATTTAGTTGGTTTTAGCTTAGGAGCAAATAAAAAGCAGACTGTTACTTCTTGAGCTATGTTAGGCTTTTAAATTTTTTGGTGCATTACCAGCTTTGTTTGTTTTGCATGATATAATAGATTAATGTGGGTTAAAAGACACTTTTAACAAATTAAATTTTTAAAAAATGTCAGTTAGGCAGGAAATGCATTGCACCCATGTGTTAAAACATGAGGACCCAAATGTCACATGCAAAGAGATCATTTGAATAACAAATTAGTTTCTGGAGGGCTGTTAGAGTAGCAAAGTAACATTGGTTTCTCTTCAGCAAAACATATTAACCTTTACAAAACAATTTCTCTTAGGACTGTTCACAAGAATACGTTGTAAAGAATTATTTCTACTACTACCTGTTCAGGATTTCCGCTGCAATGGGTCAAGAGGTTTTCTACATCACATTCCTCCCATTCAGTTACTGGAGCATTAACCCCTATGTTGCCAGAAGGCTGATACTTATGTGGTCTGTAAGTATTGCTCGGATTATTACTATATATGTGCAAGTTGTTATAACATTATCAGCTGTTTTTTCTCCAGCTTTCTGGTTGCCAATCAAGCTGTATAACTTTTGACATTTCTAGCAACGAAAGATCTGGGGACACCCTAAAGACTAACAGATTTTAAGCTTTCATTGACTAGACTCTACTTCATCTTGGATCTAAAGGGAATGGATTCTAGTCAATAAAAATGCCTCAAACCATAATAAAACTGGTTGGTCTTTAAGATACCACAGTACATGCTTTTGTTTTGACTGCAGCATAATAGCATGTCCACCACTCTAGAAACAGAAAGGATGAAAGTGTGCCTTCTAAAAAGGTAACATTAAAAAAGAGTACTTATTTTATAGGTTGAGCTTGATTTATATGCAATTTTAATTTTTGTATTAAATTCATTTTTTCAAAAAGTTTTGCCTGAAGTTCAAAGTTCTTGTCCCCAGTTTGGAATGTACAAGTGTCACACTTTACACAACTGGTATTGCATCCAGTTGGTGGTTGATTCCTAGCATGTGTCCATACTGTTTTGGGATACACCAGGATAAAAATTTAGCAAACGTAACGGTTTGCTCTTGCAGTATTTGAAAATCTGTGTGGTTTTTTTTTGGGGGGGGGGTGTTTGCACAGTTGTGACAGAAATCCTTAAGTTCAACATTGTTTGGTATCAAGTAGTGCAAAATTAGTCAGTGGCACTTATTTCACTGATTTTTGAATCAGCCCTATACAAGATGTCATTCCATAGTTTTAATATATTACTTTGAAGCCGTAAAAAAAAAACATGGCACCAACCAATCCAACACTTTCAACTCCAACTCAAAGATTCCATTGTGAAGTAGATGCAAGAATCTGTACAGGCATTCTTGCACCAGCACTGAATAGCCTTTTGAGAAAAGGTAGAGCTTACCTTCATTGATATTCACCCCCAATAGTGTGTGTCCAATGTCTCTGCAGGAGATGGTTGGTTGGTGAGCTCTGTTGAAGGCGACAGCCCTAGCCACCAACTGAACTTTGAACACACCCACCTGATAGACACCTGGGCAGATAAATTGTGTGCATTGGCAGCCTCTTTTGCGCTGTGTTGAAGCCAGCAGGGAATACTTGGCAAGGATTCCTGTTTCTGTGGCCAGACCTCCCTCAGTGAATCGGGGCAATATAACACTCAGTTACAGAACTCCCAAGCCATTTTATTGCTTCAGTTTTCACATGGGTTAACGCTTGTTGCACATTTACACATCTCTGAAATGCTCTCCACGCTCCGTGTTCTAAAGACAAACAAACCTACCTTGCCACGTGCATATGGAGATCATATGATCCTCCCATGCAGCTGTACCCACCTCAGTGACAGACAGTGTAAATTGGCCTTCATATGCTCTAGCTGAACTGAACCTGGCAAACCTTGCTTTTTAAGTTGAAGTACTCATGCCAGCTGGTTGCCCTGGCTCTCCCTCATCGATGATTTTAGACTTGCTAGCTTTTCAGGAGTTTTAGGCCCAGGCTTTCTGGAGGACTGTATTCACCCATACTCACCTGCCTGGACTCTGAGATCTTTGGGTGAAGCCCTTCTCTCAGTCCCACCACCTTCATAGGCGCGCTTGGTGGGGATGCGGGAAAGGGCCTTCTCAGTGGCTGCTCCCGGGCCTTGGAATTGTCTCCCTAAAGAAACTAGACTGGCTCCCTCCTTGTTGTCCTTCCGCTGGCAAGCAAAGACTATTTTATTCCAAAAGGCCTTTGGGAACTGTTTTTTATTTTGTTTTTAAGAAATGGCTTTGCTATGTTGTACTGTTTTTGGTAGCTATATTTTAAAAGGTTTAAGTTCTGTTAGATTTTAATTACTTTTCAGCTACAGTGGTACCTCAGGTTACATACGCTTCCGGTTACAGACTCCGCTAACCCAGAAACAGTGCTTCAGGTTAAGAACTTGCTTCAGGATAAGAACAGATATTGTGCTCTGGAGACGCGGCAGCAGCAGGAGGCGCCATTAGCTAAAGTGGTGCTTCAGGTTAAGAACAGTTTCAGGTTAAGAACAGACCTCTGGAACGAATTAAGTACTTAACCCAAGGTACCACTGTATTATCTTTTAGCCTTTTGTATTTTATCTGTGTTGTTTCAATTTGTGTAAGCCACCTTGAGTCTTGCTCTGGGGGGGGGGGGAGAAAGATGGGATATCAATAAATGTTATTGTCATTGATGTTATCAGAACTGGACACTGAACAGTTTGGGATAACCGACCGAAAGCAGACAGTGAGCTCCCCCCCCCCCTCCGCTCTGTATTCATTCTCCAAAATCCGCATTCATGCCCATATTTTGAAGCTGCTTAATAATATAATTCTTGACATAAACTTAAAACTTTTTGCAGCTGTGTGTAGTAGTGACCTCTGCTGGAGCCTGCTGGGTGTTACTAAGAAAGACCAAATTGATGCATGGAGTCTGTTCTCCCTCTCCCTTGTAGTTCAGGTGCTTTTTGGAAAATCTCAAACAGAAAAGATGAGGGGGAGAGACCAATACGTTCCATTTTTTTTATTATTATTTTTTTGAGTAAGATGCATTACTTTAGGCAATATCTCTGGGTCCAAAGGAGAGTGTCTCCCTGCTAGAAATAGACATCGTTTTCATTCCCTGCATGCTGGAGATAATATATAGGTACGTTCAATAGTTTTCCCCAAGGCTGGGTGCATTAGAATGGTCATTCTTTGGTTAACACACAGGCAAGCCAGTTGCTTAATTTGCATGATAAAAAGCATGTAGAGTTGTGGCTCAGTGGTAGAGAATCTCCTTTGCATTCAGAAAGTTCCAGGTTCAATTCCCTGCATCTCTACATGGCATTGGGAGATGCCATGTTTCAATCCAGCGTGAAACCCTGGAGATCTGCTGCCAGGCTGTGTGGACAATACCAAGCTAGGGGAATAGATGGTCTACCTTGGTTTATGGCAGCTTTCTAGGTTTCTAATTTGGGGGGTGCATTTTTAGGCTTGTTACTATATCACAGCGTTTAAGTACTGGGAATGATGCAGTGGCCACTTCCATCTGAAAACTATATTTCTGCTAGAATTAACACACACACAAAGTGAATTTATAGGTAACTTGTGTTTAACAATGTTCCACGCTGCCTGGTAATGGGAGATGTTGCTGCTGCACTCCTGCATGCTCCTCAGATATTGCCATTTGACATTCCAGAGCAAAAACTATGAAGTCTGCCACTTGGGGAGACAAACCTAAAAAGTATTTTGGTATGTACCTGCTTTCTCACACCAGCCCTGACATCCTCTGCTTCAGGAATGTCTTGAAAACCTCAATTTCATAAGGACATGAGAAGAGCCTGATAGATCAGGCCAACAGCCCAACTAGTCAGGATCCTGAACTCACGGTAGCCAACCAGATGCCTGTGGGAGTCATGCAAGCAGGATGTGAGCCCCAGATCCCTCTCCCCTCCTGCAGTTTCTAGCAAAAAGGAATTCAGAAGCATTACTGCCTCCCATGGCTAAGAGTCATTGATAGCCTTCTCCTCCATGAATTTGTTTACTCCCCCTTTAAAGCTCTCCAAGCTGGTGGCCATTGCGGCTTCCTTCCTGTGGGAGTGAGTTCTATTGTTTGCGAAGAAGTACTGTATTTTTTGCTCTATAAGACTCACTTTTTCCCTCCTAAAAAGTAAGGGGAAATGTGTGTGCATCTTATGGAGCGAATGCAGGCTGCACAGCTATCACAGAAGCCAGAACAGCAAGAGGGATTGCTGCTTTCACTGCACTGAGATTCAGATTTTTTTTCTTCTTGTTTTCCTCCTCCAAAAACTAGGCACGTCTTGTGGTCTGGTGCGTCTTATAGAGCGAAAAATACGGTACTTCCTTTTATCTGTCTTAAATCTCCCAACATTCACAAGTTCCAGTGTTATGGGAGGGGGGAGACATTTCTCTGTGAACTTCCTCTATGCCGTGCATCATTTTATCAACTCCTATTGTGTCGCCACTCACCTTGTCTCTAAACTGAGAAGTCCCAAATGCTGCAAGCTTTCCTCATAGGGAAGTTGCTTCATCAGCTTTCACCAGCTTCTTCCAATGTTAACTTGGACGTTATATATTGCCTCATTCTTCACATGACAGGAATGGTTTCAGCAGGTTTTTTAACGGAAGCTGAGGTTCTGAGCAAGTAACCTAAATGGAATGAATTGCCATGCAGTTTTCCAGTTACATTGTTGATCTTATTTGACTGCATTGACTTGGCTAGAAGATACAAAGCAGTCTTTATTTGTACTAAATTAAGACTAGTGTAGAAATATGTAGGCTTTACAGATTTGCAGCAGCACACACCCCTTCAATGCCTTAACAGGCATGTATCTAAGTTTTAGCAGTTCTTTAGCAATTTGCAAATTGGGTGAAAATAAGAGCGCTTTGCTCCAATCTCCTTGATTTGTTTTATTGGAGATAAGGAGTATGGCTTTGAGGGATCTGTAGTTGGGGAGGAAACTGAATGACAAAGTGATCAACTCTGAAAAGCAGGTGGTGTAATTTATATAAATAACACATTAGTATGTGTCCCAAAGTTAGTTTACTGGAACACTCATGGATCAAGGAAGTTGGTTTTCCCATTGCCAGGTTCAACAAGGAAATACAAAGAACAAAACTCCTATTCAAAACAGGCTTTTAAAGTATGTGGGAGAAGGATTTTCCACCTGCTTAATCTCAGTGGTACTCGGGTACACCTTGTAAGCAGATTGTTAAGCTATTTGACTATAATGGTTCTGCATATTGTTCAGAACCTGCGGGGACAGGAATTGCTCCATAGCAGGAATAAACCTCCAGTTCTCGATCTTTGGCTTTCGGAGTTCTGCCCAGGCTTCACCCTTCTCCACAACATGCCCAGTTCTGCACACACTGTGAGGGCTTTTACCTGACTGGACTAAGAAGTTTGTGGGAGGTCGTCTAGAAACCACACTGACCTTTGTGTATGAAAAGTTCCTCGGGAGGGAGTGTGGCCCTGAGGCTGGCAAAAATTCCACACGCCTCCCTGCTTTATAGATTTACAAATGCACACCGGCATGTTCTGCCATCTCAGGGACACAAGCAGCATATATATGTATTGCATATATATTGAAAGGCTAAGCAGTGTGGACTTTGGCAGGGGAGTGTCTCATGTAAACGGATAGATTGCAGAAAAACAAGATGCCTGGCAGTAACTGGTGGAGAAGTATTAGTGGTTGGACGATTTATTCCACCCTACCCCACCCCAGAAGACCAAGAGTGTCTCTACAAAGTGTGTACTGAGGTTTTTTCCAGCATTTTCATGATTGATCTCATTTTTGCTGTTCAGAGCATCTGTTCAGACCTCTCAAAGATTTCATCAACAATGAATGTGCCTCATTGTATTCAATCATTAGATTTTAAAAGTGTGTGTCCTGCTTTTTGATGTAAAATACAACCATTGCAACTGTGTCAAGAGTAATTTTGACACAAATTTTAAAATGAGGCTTGTCTCAAAAGTACTATTTTACAATTTTACAACATGCAGAGAATAATATGTATAAACAAATCAGAGAGAGGAGCTGAGGGAAGTCTTTGGAGGCTGGGAGAGGGAGGGGGAAATGTAATTGGTTACATTTGATTCATAATTTGATTTGTTAAATTTGTTTAATAACAAATATTTTTAAAAAGTACTAAAAAGCCAGAGGCAGCAATGGAACTAAGTATTCTTTTTTAAAAGCAGGATACAGAATTAGAACAAATGTTTATGAAATAAAAGACTCTAGTATGCAGGATTGTTGAAAAGTGTGTGTGTGTGTGTGTGTTTGTGTGTCCATATTGAAAACCTTGTTCATAAGACTCCTTCAAAATAAGAATTAGAGCTCGAGGACCACGGAATCCACCAAGCTGATTGGGTGCTGGCCACTAAATTCATTTCTACAAAATCCCCATTGGGAGTTAAATTACAACTGAACATCATCTATCCGTACAAATACAAAAACCACTGCATTAGTGATCCTTCCCATTGATCTGTGCTGGTAAATGGCATCAAGCTCTTCAGGTGGGCATGCTCTGTGGTTTTTTAAATAACTCTCATAATCATGAGGTCAGATGATAAGTTTCCAGAAGAAGTCTCTCAAAATTTCAAAAGAGCTTTCTAATAGAAAAGCATTTCACAAACTTGAGAGCATCAATACATTGCTTCCCCAAGGAAGAAAAGAACCAGCAGTTTGCTAATAACTGTGGGTTCTCAAATAATCCTGTGCATTAGGTCCCCTAATTACAACTGTGTGTTCCAATTTTGTATCGTACTTGGAATATTTAATTCCATTTGCCTCTGGTGTGCGTCACTTCTTGGGGGTTTTAGAGGAAACCTGACATCATGCGATCAGTGTAATTGCATGCAGCCACAAGAAGAATTCCCACAGCCTCCAATCGCTAGTCAACAAATGCACCCTGCCTCAAAGCCCAGACAGTTAATGCAGAGAAGGGGACAGAATTCCTGGAGAAAGGATCCCAATGCCACGTAGCTGCTGGAGAAGGGATGAAGGTCCAAAATATTATTGGATAGAGCACAGGCAGCTAACACCTGGCCCAGGAACCTGATTTAACCCTCAAGCAAAATTTTCCAGCACCCCAAGATCCCACCAGTTTTGGTGGTGGTGATGAAAAACAAAACAAAAATAATAAAGACACAATGTTGTGGTGGGGCAAAAGGTTTGAACTTTTCTGAGCTTGGAAAAAGATGCAAATTGCACCTTTCTGGGCCACCAGGTAGGTCATTTGAGAAAATAAGAGTTGGTAACTGGCTCTCCTTGACTGATCTACTTATGCCCCTGTGTGTACACGTGTGCAAGAGTGTGGTGTGGCCACAGCTACTTGTGGCATGCTGATTCCCAGAGGGTTGACCAAGGGGAAATATGGTCCTTGAGATAGAGGCAAAGAATTGGGAAGGGAAAGGTGCCACTAAAAGAGTAGTGTGTGGGACCACAAGAATTGTGCTATCCGTGGCGCAAATGAGGCAATGAATATGTGGTGGTTGAAAAGTGCTGGAAAATCTATCGGGAGAAGGCCATGAGGAGGAAAGGCATCTTTCAAGTTGATGTGCCACTTTTCTGCCATCGTTGGTAGAATCAAGGCAGCTTAATAGAAGGTTATAAACACAATGGAATAAGAACTCCTGCAACATGATATAATATAATTAATGGCAATGCAATCAGGAGAACAAGCCATTCTTACAGCAATAGGAAAAGCAGAAGATCTGCTCTACCTATCCACCCACCCAAACATTTACACAAGAATGAAGCAACATCTGGAAAAAGGGGTGCATCTTGGAGTATTTTAAATTTATTTTTGAGACTTCGTTAAACGAATCCCGGTGATTCAGCAGCACTCTAATTAGCCATCTTGGAGAGCACATAAACATCTAAATGCAGCTGTCTTCTGTTACAGTAAATGTTTCTCTCTCTAAAATTAGGCCCACTTCCAAGTGGAAAAAGCCTTTGTGTTGAAGGTTGCATTTGAACGCCGACTAATTGGTTAAGAGCCTATAATTCGGTATTGGGTAGGCAAGGAAGGAGGTTGGATGTGTGCTTCCACTGCTTGGATTTGAAATCTGAGACCAAGTAATTCCTTGTATGGATTAGAAATTTAAGTATATAGGAGTTGTGAGAGAACATGAAACCAAAGGTGCAAGCAGCATTTATATCTAAAGTAACACAAAAGTGAGGGGGAGGGAGCAAGAAATCCCTCTCACTCCAAACCCACAATAATTAAAATAAGTGAACAAGGAAGTTCTGCCACATGTCTAACTTGACATGCTCTTTTACTCCTTTACTGGTACTCTAAATTATGGACTATACACCAGATTTGTTTCTAATCTTGGGCTATCAAAATGGTCCAATCACATTTAGGCTGCCTTCATATATATTTCAGAAGTTCAGGAGCTTTCCTCTCTATTTCTGCTGGAAGAGGAGAGAAATGTGTTGCCTTTTGTATTCCCATACTTTCCCCCCTTTGTTTACTGTAGTACCCCTTTCTCCTTCTGTTTCCTAGACCTATACTTTGACTGCACCACTTTGTACCTTCCCCCTCCTTTAAGCTTCCAGTCTCTTGCATACGTACAACACTTCCTGTTTTTAGATCGTGGGCTGCAGCTTTCCTTGGAAATGAAGGAGTTAAAACCGAGCTCTAAGAGGAAGCAAAGCATTGTGAGGTGTTTCTGTGCTTTACTTCAGTTTTCTAAATGCTGTGCAGAAAATTAGTCATGCTTTTCCCCCTCAGTTTTTGTGAGTCACACAATTTTAATCCCCATGCATTGCTTTGAAATTGTCAGCCCTGCTATCTTGCACTATCCATTATGTTTCCATTTTGCTGCTGCGGTAATGGGACCAAGAGCTCTAAATTCATTCTCTTCCAGTGCAAAAAATGAAGAAGCATGAAAAGCATACTGTTTGTATTCTAGTTGCTGTTTAAAAATTCCCCCTGTAGTTGGTCTGTATGGGTCAAGATCTGTAATGAAATAATAATAATAATAATAATAATAATAATAATAATAATAATAATAATTTGTTTTTTGTTTGTTTGTTTGTTTATACCCCACCCATCTGACTGGGTTTCCCCAGCCACTCTGGGTGGCTCCCAACCAAATGTTAAAAACACAATACAACATTAAACATTAAAAACTTCCCTAAACAGGGCTGCCTTCAGATGTCTTTTAAAAGTCAGATAGTTGCTTATTTCCTTGACATATGCTGGGAGGGCATTTTACAGGGCAGGCACCACTACTGAGAAGGCCCTCTGCCAGGTTCCCTGTAACATCACTTCTCACAGTGAGGGAACCGCCAGAAGGCCCTTGGCACTGGACCTTAGTGTCTGGGCTGAATGATGGGGGGTGGAGACACTCCTTCAGGCATCCTGGGCCGAGGCCATTTAGGGCTTTAAAGATCAGCACCAACACTTTGAATAGTGCTCAGAAACGTACTGGGAGTCAATGCAGATTTCTCAAGACCAGTGTTATGTGGTCTCGGCGGCCACTCCCCGGCACTAGTCTAGCTGCCGGACATCCCTTTAAAAACAAAACAAAAAAACAACCTTTGACAGAAAGTCTTTAAAAAGAAGAAAAGAGAGACCTGGAATACTAGCTGTAAATAAAAATTGCTTTGAGAAAGGACATAAGACTCTTCATATTTGCAAAATCACCATCAGCTCCATCATGGGATCATAGACAATTCTGTCCCAAGAAAACATTGCATAGTGAGAAGACAGGGAATAGGAAACTTCAGGCCTGGGGGCCAAAGGTGACTCTCCAGGCCTCTTTACCTGACCCGTAAGATTCTCTCCAGGCCACACACTTTCCAAAGACACACTCCCCTCACTAGCCCTACTTTCCACTCCCCTTGTGAGTTTTTCGTTGGCTGGGATGTGTCCTCGAACTTGCATAATGATTGCCTAAGCACACGTTTTGTTTGTGTGTGTGAAGAAGCCAGCCTACAGTCCAAAGGCAAAATTCACATTTTGTTGCTCTGCCCTCTTTTGCCCCTGGCACCATCCCCACCACCGGCGCGTGGTCCGCAGAAGCTTACCCCCAAGGAAATCAGGTCCCACTAGCCAGAAAAGGATTCCCCGGCCCTGCTAATATGGTTTTCAGGTTTTGACTTGTAGAGAGACCTAATGAGCAACAGTTGGATTAAAAAGTTTAAAACAAACCTGTCTGGCACCAGCATCTAATTTTGCACGACCATCCCCAGGGATGGGCCTTCATGTGCAAACTGGCATACAATTCCTGCCCAGGATTCTTTCCTTGTATGGAAGTTTCACACTCTTTCAGGACACACAGTAAGTGCATCAATAGCAGGTGGTGGTTCCACAAACCATTCATTGCTCATGCTTTCAATTACAGTGGTACCTTGGGTTACATATGCTTCAGGTTGCATACATTTCAGGTTACAGACTCCACTAACCCAGAAATAGTGCTGCGGGTTAAGAACTTTGCTTCAGGATGAGAACAGAAATCGTGCTCTGGCGGTGCGGCGGCAGCAGGAGGCCCCATTAGCTAAAGTGGTGCTTAAGGTTAAGAACAGTTTCAGGTTAAGAACGGACCTCCAGAACGAATTAAGTAATTAACCCGAGGTACCACTGTATTACTATTAATTCAATTTATATCCCACACTTCTTCCTGTCAGAGCCCAGAGCAGCAAACATAGAAATAATTGTGATATTAAATGGATATTATCTTATCTTGAATAAAGCCTTATTAGTAATTCTGCTTCTCTCACACACCGGGGGGGGGGGGGACCTGCCCTCAAGAGTGGCATTTCAGGTCTACTTTGTCATGAGCCAGAGTCACTTGGCCATAGTTTTCTTCCATTCCATTTCACAGCTTTTTGGGTGAACATGCATGAATATTTGTCCCCAAAATTGAGCTTACTAGCAACAGTAAAGCATTTAAAGAAAGAAAGAATGCATTATAGAAGCTACTCAAATGCATCCTTAAAACAGTCTTCACAGTTGCCAGGAATCATCAAATGCCTGAATAAACAGAACAGCTTTTTAAACACACACACACACACACACACACACACACACCCGCTTCCTGAAAATCAATAATCAGGAAGACAGACAGACAGGCCTTATCAGGGAGGGCATTCCACAAACAGGTAACTGCCATTGAAATGGCCCTGTCATGCCATGGTCAACATCAGCTGGGCAGCCCAGTTGTGTGATGTGAGTGCATCTTAAAGCTATCCTACAAATTAGTGGCCTTAAAAAAGCAAAGACTAAAGCCAATGGTTTTCCCTGTAGTGATGTATGGAAGTGAGAGCTGGACCATAAAGTAGGCTGATAGCCGAAGAATTGATGCTTTTGAATTATGGTGCTGGAGGAGACTCTTGAGAGTCCCATGGACTGCAAGAAGATCAAACTGATCCATTCTTAAGGAAATCAGCCCTGAGTGCTCACTGGAAGGACAGATCCTGAAGTTGAGGCTCCAATACTTTGGGCACCTCATGAGAAGAGAAGTCTCCCTGGAAAAGACCCTGGTGTTGGGAAAGATTGAGGGCACAAGGAGAAGGGGACGACAGAGGACGAGATGGTTGGACAGTCTTCTCGAAGCTACCAGCATGAGTTTGACCAGGAGGCAGTGGAAGACAGGAGTGCCTGGCATACTCTGGTCCATGGGGTCACGAAGAGTCGGACACGACTAAACGACCACAACAAAGCCAATGGCAGCTAAAAGATGTTGCTGCTAACCAAACTTGTGACATCAGCTTTTGAATTCTCAGCCATCCAACAAAATACAAGAAGTGATTTGCTTTGATATCATCGCTGGCTACGTTGTACGTGACAGCAGTAGTGAGGCAGAGTACTGTTCACTTTTTAAGTGTTTTGACTCCCAGTGTCTTGTCTTCAACCATTCTGCAGTTGTGGTTCTGAACCAGAACAGTTGCTTCTTGTTCAGCAAAACTCATTTGTAAAAGTGAGGACAAAATGATGACAGAAGAGCATTCACACAAAAAGCTAAAATTCCCCCCAAATACTGTATGCTGATGTGACCTGATGAGAAAAGACCTAGTTAGCCTTTTGCTATGATCTTGACCTCATGACCCAGTTGAAAAAGTCACTACAGGCACTGTCCGTTACTAAATGTGTCCCATGGTCATCAAAGGAATTGTAACACTTCAGAAATGAGTGATTCATGCAGGAATTGAAGGCAAAAGCTGCCGTTCATGGGCCTTCAGTCTTGCTTTTGGGATGGGGATGGGGTGTTCTTCAATAGTTCTGTGACCTTCACTGCTGCATGTGTGAGAGCATTCTGGGAAAGTTCCTTGTATGTGACAGCCAAATATTGACTCTTTAGCACCATGTCTCTATTCTTTAAGACCTTCACAGACATATTTAATCAAGATTTAATCAACTTAAAAGGAGCTGCGTAAAGGCAGTATAATATATTTGGGGTTTTAGCTCATCAAGGAGGATTGTGAATTAAGCACAAAAGGAGGCCAGGAGGAGTCTTGGAAATAAAAGCAGGGAGATGATAAGAAACTTATCCTTGAGAGGAACATCTGAGAATGTATAGGGAGAGAGAAATTTCATACGGTGCTTGGTAGGGAAGAAGCAGGGAGATAGAAAGCACAAATCCCATGGATAGCAAACCACTTAGAACTTCTATGCCGTGAATCATTTTATCAACTCCTATTGTATCACCACTCACCTTGTCTCTAAACTGAGAAGTCCCAAATGCTGCAAGCTTTCCTCATAGGGAAGTTGCTTCATCAGCTTTCATCAGCTTCTTCCAATGTTAACTTGGATGTTATATATTGCCTCATTCTTCACATGACAGGAATGGTTTTAGCAGGTTTCGTTCATGAGAAACTGAAGTTCTGAGCAAGTAACCTAAATGGAATGAACTGCCATGCAGTTTTCCAGTTACATTATTGATCTTATTTGACTGCATTGACTTGGCTAGAAGATGCAAAGCAGTCTTTATTTGTACTAAATTAAGACTGGTGTAGAAATATGTAGGCTTTAGAGATTTGCAGCAGCACACACCCCTCCAATGCCTTAACAGGCATGTATCTAAGTTTTAGCAGTTCTTTAGCAATTTGTAAATTGTTGCCACATGGGTGAAAATTAGAGCATTTTGCTCCAATCTCCTTGATTTGTTTTATTGGAGATAAGGAGTATGGTTTTGAGGGATCTGTAGTTGGGGAGGAAACTGAATGACAAAGTGATCAACTCTGAAAAGCAGGTGGTGTAAAACATATATATATATTGCACTAGTATGTGTCCCAAAGTTTCCTGGAACTCGCATGGATCAATGAAGTTGGTTTTCCCATTGCCAGGTTGCACAAGGAAATACAGAGAACACAACTCCTATTCAAAACAGGCTTTTTAAAGTATGTGGGAGAAAGATTTTCCTCTTGCAGAGATGTGCCTCTTGCAGAGATGTGCTAGCACAAATTTCCTCTTGCAGAGATGTGCTAGCACAAATTGATATTTTTTCAGTTTTTAATAATCCAGCTCTTCATGGCTTGCCATATCTTTAACCAAGACATATCTTTGCACAAGAAACTATGTTCATAAAAAGTGGAGCCCTTTTTCCCCCCTTTTAAAGATGAAATTTGCTCTTTTGGTTTTGATGGTCCCTGCTGTGAAGTTTAGCATTTTTAACCTGCTTCTTTCTATGCACTCCAGTAATATTTCCTGTTGTTATTTCGTTCACAGCAATATAAACTACAGAAAGGCAGAGGTAAATTATGCAACTATGCTGGTGTAACTTACCTCTTTTCCAAACTCTAAACAGGAGCAGGGGCTCAGCCAACCCAAGCCTAGCAGAGGGGAAATAACCTCTTAAAACAGAGTTTGACGTACACCACTTTTTTTCCAGTATAACTTTCTCTGGGTTACTTAGTCACATGTCTCTCCCCCCACCCAATGTCTTGTCCCCACCATTCCCCTGGAACATCCTTTTGTGGGGACTTAATTCAGTGTCAGCTTTGCTAGCTGAGCCCCAGTTGAGCTGAGATCAAGGAGCTATGCTGGCATATATCTGGCTGAGCTGGAGCTATGCCTATATGCTGGTCTCAAAAGTACCATGCCAAGATGACAGGAGTGAATTCCTGTAACTGAAAATGTGTCTGAGACTTGAGAGGGGGGTGCTACTTGGGTGAAAGGCGGGATATAAATGAAATGAAATAAGCACATCTCTGTTATCTGTGTGCTGTCTCCAGGTGGTTATGTACATTGGCCAAGTCTCAAAGGACCTGCTCAAGTGGCCCCGCCCTTGTTCTCCACCTGTTGTCAAGCTAGAAAAAAGGACCACTGCAGAGTATGGAATGCCATCCACACATGCAATGGCAGCAACCGCCATTTCTTTTACATTTGTGGTTACAACTGTGGACAAGTACAAGGTAGGCATGCAGTGTAGTGTACTGGATAAGGCAGAACTTTCCAAACTTTTTGTGTTGGTGACACACTCTTTAGACATGCATCATTTCATGACACAGTACAGTAGTACCTCAGGTTACAGATGCTTCAGGTTACAGACGCTTCAGGTTACAGATTCTGCTAACCCAGAAATAGTACCTCAGGTTAAGAACTTTGCTTCATGATGAGAACAGAAATCATGCTCTGGTGGCGCAGCGGGAGGCCCCATTAGCTAAAGTGGTGCTTCAGGTTAAGAACAGTTTCAGGTTAAGAATGGACCTCCGGAAAAAATTAAGTTCTTAACCCAAGGTATCACTGTAATTCAGTTTTACTAGCAAACTGGAGGTTAAACTAACCCCTTTCCAGCCCCAGAAAGTGTAGCTCTCCAAAAACTCTGGCTTAAATCTAAGAAGTGTAGGCTTGGTGTGTCCCCTTTCTCTCCCTCCCACACCGTCTCAGGAAAACTTGCCCCACTGATCTTGCTACACAGAGGCAGCTCTGGCTGAATCCAGCATGATCTGAAAGCCTTTCCCCACTTACTCTGCAGCCAGACCCCACATTCTACACGTTCATCTGCATAATGGCATCATGACCACTTTGTTTTCAAGCCATTACCCAATAGTTTCTGTTATGGGCCTTTTCCAGTGATCTGAATCTCTCTTTCTGAGGTGAGCTTTTCTCTCAGATCATTCCTAAGGATTTATAGCCAATTTATTTGTTTGTGCTGATGTGAAGTTAGAATATTCTGTTCCATTTGGCTCCTGTCTACTATTCTGTTACATAACCATACAGTTTGGAGACCTTATTTAGGAGCCCTTCACAATTGAATTTTGTATTCTCTACTGACTTTGCCATCTGCAAATGTGGCTACATCCACTGCTTTACTCCATATATTTATGAACAGGTCTAACGGCACAGGTCCAAATACAGGGGTGAGGTCCTCCTCACTATCTGTTGTCTTCTTCATGCAGTGTTGGTCTAAATAGAGTGCAGCTTTTGCATTTTCCATTCCTAGGGCTCAGTAGCACCTGTGGAGGTTGAAATATTTATCCTTTTCCAACAATTGTAGCTGACGAATTTATTCTAAGGATAACATTACAAATTATCACCGCTAGATATTTCAGTCCAGGTTGTTTGGAAACGTTACTTGAATTCATCCAACTTCTGATATTCCAGAATGCAGTTGGTTCTGAATTAGAATGGCCTGGCCTTTGATAAAAGTCAGATGGTGCTTTATTTGATTCTTTGTGATATATGCAACTGCTATTAATGTTTCTTTCACTCCCCTTTTATGTTTACAGTACCCACTTGAACTAGGACTGCTGGGAGCCTTCTTATTTTCAACTCTGGTATGCCTCAGCAGAATTTACACTGGAATGCACACAGTTTTGGTAAGGTCTCTCCTTAGTTTATTGCCCATTTATTAGGGATTTATATCCTGAAGCATGAGCATAAACCAGTACACGTTAAAAGCAAATGACACACAAAAACTGCCTAAATCGTAGTTAAGCCCTCTTCTAGAAATAGCACATAAACTTGCAGCTCAACCTATTCTGCATCCATTTGCTCTCTTTTTGACCTATCTTGTCCATGCAAAGCTCATGTATGTAACATATAATAAACAAGTAAGGCTGTTGTCATGTTGCAGTTCTCTTGGTGGCTGACAGGTGGCTGCTGCAAATAACAGCATGATGGTAAACTTCTGATAGCTGTTGGCCATTGGATGAGGAAGACAGAAGAAGGCGGGTATAAATAAAGGGAGGGGTGGCTTTGGTGACCTCTAAAGGGAGCAAGTGGGGTAGATGGGGTTGGTAAGTGAAGCAGAGGCACAGCCCCTGGTTTATAAATAATACCCTATGCTTGAACATCGTCAGCCTCTCTCACTGCACCCATAGATTGAGCACCATTCTTTAGGCATCTCTTGTATTTACTGTAGGTACCCCTTGGGGCAAAGCCTTACTGGTAGAATTAAGTACAATAGCTTGCTGGCTTAGTGGTGAGCTGGACTTTCTGCTCCTCCTTCTCCCAGGGCTACAAGTATTTCTGGTGACTGGGAAGGGCTGCAAAGCTGGTGATTTGCTTGCTGGAATGCGTCATCTTGACTCATAGTATATTATATGACTACTCCTACATGTAACCCCTTTCATTGAAAATTAGGCCTGATGTAGCTTATGTAGTGAGAAGAGGTGTGCATCATTTTTCACAGTGCCACTAGCTGATTATATACCATGAGCCTGCTGGATTCACACATGACATTTGCTTGTTTACCATCCTCATCAGGCACATTGGTAAAGGTCTTGACCTCAGTAGATCAAACCAATAATTTGAAAGGGAGGATGTCTCCAGTCTAGATTTAACTAATGACCTAAAGTCAGTCAGTAAAAATTCTCTGCATATTTCCCTTGATAAGTGATAAGAAGAGACTTTTCTAAATTCAGATGGGGTTGGTGGTAAAGAAGAGAGAAGCCTTTGTTGACATTCTTGAAAGAACAAAGCTACTTTAATTTGGGTTTGGAGGGGAGTCCCCTTCCTTTCAATAGATTTAAATTATAGTTCTGTGAGATTTTTTTGCTATCACAAGAACATGAAATACAGTGCAGTCCTGTGCATGCCTGTTCAGAAGTAAGGTCCATTCAATGAGACTTAGTCCCAGGTACGTGACTGTTGAATTGTAGCCTTAAAAGATTTTAATATGGTTGCATAATTGGTTTATATATTTTTTGTAAATCACTTAGAGGCCTACTGTGGCATTTAGCAGTATATAAAATAATAAAGAATAATAATAATGTAGCAACAAAAAAATGTTCTACAATTTAAATCTATTTGAATAAACTTAGTTATCTGTATCTAATGTAGAAGATTTCTTGAATCTTATCCTACTTCTAGAATAACTTCCACTCTTCTTTCACAACACCCTGGAATGTTGTCGATTCCAGCATCATGGAGGATGTAAAATGGTGGTCTGACCATCAACACAGTTGCTGCTACTATCACCTGCAGTGAAAAAAACAAAACTAAAAAATAATAGCAAAATTGGAAGTCTGTACTAATGGTGAATTCTATGCCTGAGAAACTGTTGGAGAGATTCCTTGTTTTGCTCTTGCCCTAAGAAATTCAACGGTGCCCACAATATATTTGCATCTGCAACCAAAGATAGAGAATTTCAAGAGGCCATTAGTGCATAGCTCTAGGGTGAACCACTTGGAGGTTCTGTTTACCATCAAGTGGTATATACATTTTGTTTAAATAATAAGTAGCATATTATTACAAAAGTTGGGTGTCACCCCCCCACACACACACACTCTCTACCGAGCCGTAGCAAAATTTGAGGGGGTTTCCAGGTGCTCACCCAGGGTCTGTGCTCCTTTGGAAAATTGAAGATGTGGTGGAGACGGTCTTAGCTTTAAGAAATATGATTGATTCAGCTATTTACACCTTCAGGCTGCATGGAGGGAGTCGAGATCTTACAGCATGGTCATCTCAAGCAGGGCTTGTTTCCCACAGCAGTGCAACTCTGGAGTCAAAGGCATCACAACCAGTCAGCCTTCAGCCTGCCGTCCCAAGATGGATCTCAGTCTTCTCTTTTCACCCCCTCTCTTCTTCTTCCCGGCACATCTTACTAAAAAGCACTCTTTTCCTATCACCGCTCTCACCCACCCACCCATCATCTTGGCAACCTCTTTCTGCCCAGGCCCAAGAAGAGCCATTAACACCTTTTGTCATGTTAATGCCTCTATCCCAGGTGAGTCCCTGGCTTGGAAAGGAACCTTAGCCTGTATTTATCCACTGGCCTGCAATCTTCCCTTCAATACTCCAAATAATCAAAATCAAAATTTCTAGGGTTTAGCTCCCCCCCACCCTGCATACCGATAACAATATTCTTCATTTTACATTCACCATGGACTGCAGATGTGTTGACATGATTTTAACATGTTCTTCTCGCATGTAATTGACAGTAGCTGAAATCCTCTAAACGGTTCTTTCTTTCTTTCTTTCTTTCTTTCTTTCTTTCTTTCTTTCTTTCTTTCTTTCTTCTCTTAATAAATTCCACTCTGACCTGACAAAGCTGGTTTCAGGCTGCTCAGCAGCAATCCAGACTTCAGTGTTAACATATGTTTTTGCCTGAAGATGCCTGTGCTGATCTACGGAGAGGCATAACTTAAATCCTTTGAACTGCATTCATCTACTTTTGCGATGGTTTTCTCCTTAATCTTTTCATTAATAGAGCTTCCTCCTTGTGCAAAAGTGGATGAAGGAAACATAATCCTCCTTTGAAATTAAGAGATTTAACAGATTATGGGCGGGGAAGGGCTTGGCATGAACAGAAACCTGTTGTTTAAACTTGCTTTAGAGATGCGTTCCTGAAACTATTAGCTTCAGTGAATTTGTCGCCAGTTTTTATTTGGGGGTTATGTTGATGGTTTCATTGTCCTTTGGCAAGCAAAAAGAATGAAAATATCTATAGGGTTCTCCATGTGTACGGTGTGCACCAGAGGTGCCAATATTTGGACACACTTAGATATTTTTGAGTGAGCACTGTCAGCGTCACTCTGGTCACTTCTGCCCCCTATCCCAGCCCCACACACAGCAGGATGAGTGTGTCAGCAAACACACTTTGCTTTTACAAGGGCTCTGGGTTAAAGTCAGATCTGGTAGACTTGAAGTGAGCTTTGAAAGCACCCAAGAGACAGAAAATGCAAAAGACTCTGATTCTTCCAGCTTCCTCCTTCCTTCAGCTGCATGCCCTTTTTCAAGGGAAAAAAAGCTAACACCTTTGTGCTGGTGCTGCAGTAGAAGTTTCAAATATGACCATAAACGCAATAGCTTTAAAATAGTAATGATAACAACAATGGGAGGATTATGGAGGAAACAGAGAAATTCATAGAGGGTTGGGAAGAATGTGGTCTGGATTCTCTGGAGCAAATTGAGAAAGTACTACATAAATACTCAGGATAAAAGTCCTCCTTCTTCTTGTTTTAGCCTTTGAGTTTTGCTGCATAGGAATATGGTTGCAGGTCTTACTGTTGATGATGCAAATACATGAAATGGTAGGAAAATAACTTTTAGCAAAGAACTGGTGCAGAATGCACAGAATGTTACCAGGCAAGGAAATCACCTGCAAGGAAAAAAGTTTTCTGGGTTGATATCTCTCCCATTCCCCACCCCCCGTGTTTGTCAACTAAATAAGGTAATTTATTTTTTGTGCTGCCAGGTAGATGAACCTATATGCACACTTTTAAATGGGCATGCAATTGTTCAAGTCCTTATCCAAATGCATTCTAAAGGAAGTGATTCATCTGTTAATCATTAACCTGGTAATACATAAAGCAAGATGACACAAGTTCCAGGGCCATAGCCTCAGAGGCCAGGGGTTGCTATGAGGCTTTAGAGCCCTTCCTGAATTTTCAGCATTTTATTATTTCATTTGATTAAAGTTAATCTTTAGCCCCTGTACTTCATTCTTGAACAACCATGCATGTTTTCCTTTATATGCCCGTAAGTAAACTGTGGCCCCACCTTCCTCTGTTCCACCTAACTGGTTTGCAAAAGGCACTAAGAGGAGACAAGCATTTTAAACTTTTTTGGTTATGAAGTTATACCTTTAACCTAAATTAATTTGCTTAATTTGCCTGTATTGAGGCTTCCTGGGTAGCCTTAAGGTCCATTTAATTTGTCAGCGGTCTTGCAAAGCTCCAAAATGCATTAACTTCAATACAATTTGGCTCTGTTTTTCATAGGTTTTCTGCTCAGCATAGTTACATGTTCAATATACGTAATATGCTCAAGCATCACAACTCAGTGATCTTTAGCAATTCATCAGATACCTATTCTTAAAGTTACTTTAGGAGAAGGATGGTCTGCTTGAAGGAAATGAGAATGCGCTGTATGCCTAACACCTCTATGTCTTTCTAGGACGTGATTGCTGGCAGCCTGATCTCAGCCATATTAACTGCTCTGTCTTATCCAACTTGGGACCTCCTTGATCACCTGATGCTGACCAGCCCTTGGTGCCCCATGTTCTGCATCGTTGTCCCCCTCATCCTATGCTACAACTACCCCAAACTGGATTACTATAGCCCCACTAGGGCAGACACAACCACTATTCTGGGAGCTGGAGCTGGAGCAATTATAGGGTTCTGGATAAACAACCACTACGTTTCAAATGTTTTAGCTGAAGAAGCGACACACAGCATCCGTTCGGTCACTGGCGAAATGCTCTTGATGGTTCTTGCACAGTTTTTGGTGGGAATTGCTGTACTGCTCATTATACGGCAGATCATCAAAAGCCTGGCTCTTAAATCACTGTGTTCTTGGTACAAGGTTTCTATTAATGACATTGAAGCTATGCAGCAAATAGAAATTGAAGTGCCCTATAAATTTATAACCTATTCTACCATCGGCCTGAGTGCTACGGTGCTTGTGCCATTGCTGCATAAATTATTGGGCTTAAACTGAATGCTGCACACTTTTTTTAAAAGAAGCAGTCCAGATTATAGGGTGCAATAAAAATGCACGCAGAAGCAAAAACTTGAGCAGCAAAGTGTCGTGCCTTCCTGCATAGCTCTACAACATAGATAATAGTGGAGATCTAAACTGAGTTTCCAGTAATTTTTGTTCGCTGCAATCTTTTAACACGCTGTGGCTGCTTCAGCGACTATGGCTGTCCGAGCTAAACATTTAGTGCAACTAGAAGCCTGCCATGACAGTCAGATCTGCTCTTCCTAGATCTAGTGGTTTGAAGAGTTTCTTCAGGGTTGTCAAACCTCAAAATAAGCCCTTCAAGGGATGCAGCCAGATCAGGGTGGTTGGAGAAGAGCCTCCTTTTTAAAGAAAACAAAGCAAAACTACAAAGTACAGTGGTACCTTGGGTTACAGACGCTTCAGGTTACAGACGCCGCTAACCCAGAAATAGTACCTTGGGTTAAGAACTTTGCTTCAGAATGAGAACAGAAATCATGCAGCGCGGCAGCGGGAGGCCCCATTAGCTAAAGTGGTACCTCAGGTTAAGAACAGTTTCAGGTTAAGAACAGACCTCCAGAATGAATTAAGTTCTTAACCTGAGGTACCACTGTAATTATATTTACAAGCTTAACAGTCTGAGAATTGGGAGGAAGATAAGCACTCTCAGGGAGAAATAAGATGCTGTATACAGGGAAGCTGGGTTGGCACTGAATCTGGCTGCCCATCTAGCAGGATGACGAACACTGGAGTAATATCTTGCAAAACAGACTCCCAGTCATACAAATTCACACGTATGGGTATAATTATGTTGTGCTCTTAACATATCCATGTTATTAAATTAAGCTGTGTCATGTCTGAAGCTGTGTTCTGGTATGCTACGGCATTGGCCCAGAATGTTGAAAACAATCACTGCTGCTGTAACTTGTAGGCCACCAAGAAATGAATTGCAAGAACCAAGTAACGGATGGCAAGTGCAAATGTGATTGCAGATTTATTTTTTTAACTAATAACAAAGTTAGATCTTCATGTCCTCTTTCTTTCCTCTAATTGCTGTTGTGCAAAGTGGTATTTCCCATTGACAATGAAGGCTCCAGCAAGAACTGTGAAACAACTGCTTCCCTTTTTGGAGCTTGAGGACAGGATGAAATTAGCATTGGTCTGACTTCGGCGCTGCCATTCCAAGTGTTGGTAAATTACTATCTGCCTGCCGCTTTGCATAGATTCCCACTGTAGGGAAGCAAATATAGCACACTTATCAGAGCTTTTAAATGAAATGCTGCTTGGACATGCAGATTTGAGAATTAACTGGAGTCTAAATGTTAACCTAACTTTAATATAAACAAAAAAAACCCCAAACTAGGAAAGGCTTAGGATGGGAGAGGGCTATTCTACTCATGTCTTGCCCATGGGTTTCCTATAACTGGTTAGCCACCGTAAGAAAAGAATCTTGGAACTAGAAGATCCTTCCATCTGATCCATTAAGACTGTTCATATATCCTTAAGCTTCAGTATTACATTAAGGGTATAACTCCTACGTATAGTCCTGGAATTGGAACATGTCCTATAAGAAATACAGGGCTCTCATCTTTTCCGCCATGCTCATTTCTTAAATAACATGTTCTGTAAAATGTGGGGGTTGTATGAAGGCAAAGACCTGAAACCCACAGGGATTCTAATGACAATACAGAACTTCCCTGGAGCAGAATTTTACAATGTAAGTGGGGTTCCCTTCATCATGCTAAAGTAGATGCACTTGCAAGGGAGTGCTGGCATATATGGTATACTTGCTAAACCCCTCAATCTGCATCTAAATTGGAGGTGAATCTGTTGAGCTGGTAGGCAAGAATATGGTTTGTAAGAGAATATAAGGGTGCCTCCCATCTGCCAGCTACTGCATTCTCATCATCTCAGCAAAATATCGGTGTAACAGCAAGCTTGCACAAAAATGTGTGGTTGTGTCCCTGGACAGGGGTATATATATATTTGCAAATAAATTTATGTGTCCCCACCTTTGCAATGGCTTCAGATTTAGCTGTAGCTCGAAAACTGCTTTTTTAAATGCATCTATTTTATTCTTTTATGATCACGTATATATGCTGCGATTTATAAACCACAACCTGCACAATTTCTATTTTTGTATTTTACTGTAAGTTGTAAAGTGTATTCTGAAAATTCTGACTTTATTCAAACTGAAAATGTTTCCAGAAACTATTTTTTATTAAAGCTTATTTTGTCACATACATTTCAAGTGTATTATATAAAGTAGGCGGCTACTATGAAGGCAGGCAGGCATAAATGCCAAGTGGGCAGAAGATTGAAGGGCAACCCACTATTTTCATGCAGCAGATTTTTTGTTCATAGAATAGAATTGTAGAGTTGGAAGGGGGTCCCCTAGTCCAACTGCCTGCAATGCAGGAATCCCAACTAAAGCATCCATGGCAGACGGTCATCCAGCCTCTGCTTAAAAACCTTCAAGGAAGTAGAGTCCACCACCTCCAGAGGGAGACCATTCCAGTCTTAAATTGCTCTTACTGTCAGAAAGATGCTTAGTTGGAATCTCCTTTCTTGTAACTTGAATCCACTGGTTCAGGTTCTACCCTCCACAGCAGAAGAAAACAAGCTTGCTCCATCCTCCATATGACAACCCTTCAGATATCTGAAGATGGTTATTGTATCTCCTCCCATTCTCCTCTTATCATACCCAATTCCCTCAACCATTCCTCCTAAGGCTTGGTTTCCAGACCCTTGATCATCTTTATTGCCCTCCTCTGCACAAGTTCCAGCTTGTCAATATCCTTCTTAAATTGTGGTGCCCATAACAAGACACAGTACTTCAAGTGTGGTCTAACCAAGGCAGAATACAACCGTACTATGACGTCCCTTGATCTGGACACATAACTTCTGTTGATGCATCCTAGAATAGCATTAGCTTTTTTTACAGCTTCAGTCACACTGTTGATTCATGTTAAGCTTGTGGTCTACTAGGACCACTACATGCCTTCTGGCAAGCCAGATGTCCCCCATCTTATATTTGTGCAGCTGGTAATTCCTGCCTAAGTCCCTATTTCATTTTGTTAGCTTTGGGCCAGTTCTCCAATCTGTTAAGGTCATCTTGAATCCTGATTCTGTCTTCTACAGCATTAGCTACCCCTCTCAGTTTGGTGTCATCTGCAAATTTGATGAGTATCACTCAGTTCCTTCATCCACGTCATTTATAAAGGCGTTGAACAGCAACAGACCCAGGACAGAACAAGGAAACATTAGGGGGTACTCTTTGGGTTCCGTCAGCCAACCAGCTACAAATCCAAGTAACTGCCCAGCCCACATTTACCAGCTTCTCTGCAAAGGTATCATAGGGGACTTTGTTAAAGAATTAGTGAAATCAAGATACCCTACATCCACAGCACCCCCTGATCCACCAAGTTTATAACACTATCAAAAGGAGATTTGTCTGGCATTACTTGTTTTTGAGAAACCCACGTGCAGCATCCTTTTTAAATTGCTCACACAATGACTAATTGCTCACATTACTTCTTCCCAATATTCCCAGTACTTCCATTTTGTCGCAGTTCCTCCCTGTTGGTGAGGACCAGGTCCAAGATAGATGAGCCCCTTGTTGCTGCTTCTACCTTCTGGGAAAGGAATTTGTCAGTGAGGCAACTGCAGAATTTGCTGGCCGTTACATTCTTGGCAGAGTTGGAGTTCCAACAAACACCGGGGTAGTTGAAATCTCCCATTACTGCCTTCTCTCTCCTTTTTGAATGTTTGGTAATCTGCTGTTGGAAGGCATCATCCAAGTCATCAGTCTGGCTTGGAGATCTATAGTATATACGTTGTTTACATATAATGCTACTTCTCCTCCACTCCTGTTTGGTTTCCTCCTTTTCAACATGGCAACCCAAAGAGTTCCTTTAGATAGATGTGATAGCTTCCAAAAATGCACTGGGGCTTTCTCATGTCATACTACAGTGGCAGTTTCTCTGCCAGCACATGAGAAGTCAGGAGGGTGATAAAATGGTGTTCTGGCACACAGGTCTAGTTTGAGCAATCTCAGCCCTATGACAGAAGCAGTGCTCACCACACCAGTCTTTCTCACGGGAACTTAGGTGTATATAAATACAGAACCTTCAAGTTTTATTTTGATCCCTTCTTTACAACAAAACAGGTTAACATACAACAGTATCTATTATAGAAATCTTGCTTTAAAACTGCTGTACTTTACAAGAAATGCACATTTCTCAACCCTGAAGAGTTTGTATCAACCCTATACAAAGAAACCTTAATTCCTCAGTTCTGTTCACATTTGTTCAACATTTGCTATAATCAATTATGTTATTTCATGCAATAAAAGAATGTGATTCCTGTTATGCAGCTATAATCTGTTACAGTTTGAGATTCAGCCTCTGGAACATTCTGGAGAACAGATCATGTTCTTTGCCCATATATATTCATGGTAATATATTGAACTTTTTTATTTTTTACATCTGACTGATGGCTCAATCTGTTAAGAAAAGCCCTAAAAACCCCCTGAAGGCAGTATTATTGCACTGAAGGAACATTTAGCAAACAGCAAAATAAGACTTGTCTATTTCATTGCCTAATTTATTAAAATTAGGGACAGTGCCCGATGGTAGAAACAGACCATCATGGAAACAGAACTATGTGGACTTTTTTTTGGGGGGGGGTAGGAAACAGAACTATGTGGACTGAAGAAGCATGCTGTTGTCAGGATTTCACACGAAAGGCTCAACTGTGATTTCTAGGGCAGAGCAGGGCATGGTAAGCTCAAATTGGGTGACGACGTCAGGGTGGAGTACTCCTAGCTTCCCAATAATCTGCCCTTTTGCAAAGATCTCAGCACAGCGTCCAGGGAAAAAAGCAGGGTCTGAAAGAAAGGGGGGGGGGAGAGAGAGAAATGAATGTTTCTCATAATAATAATATTAATAAATAATTATTTTATTATTTGTACCCCACCCATCTGACTGGGTTGCCCCAGCCATTCTGGGCACTGAACCTCAAGTAAACATCAAGAGCAGAAGCGTGTGTTACACGAGAATAATTTTTGCTAAAACAATGAAAGATTGCTTCTCTTATCATAGCCCAATTTTATTAATGCTAGAGAAGAAATCTTTTTTTGCGGGTGGGGGATGATTCTTTAAGTAGACAATGCTTCACATTTCCAGGGTGAAGTGTAAGGGGTTGAACTACTAGATGATGCCTTGGGAATCCTTCCAACTCTACAGTTCTTTGATTCTACATTCAGTGTACAGGTTACAAGCTTTTGCACAGAGTAAGAATGATTAATTCACCAAAGCTGTATCATGAAACAAAATATGTCAATGCTTGGACAAATCATAATTCAGCTAAATAAGACTTATGAATGAGCCCCTGTACACAGCTGCTTGACCTTCTCTTCATGCAAGAGGAGAAACAAGCCATGGAGCCAGACTTAATACTAAATGGCTGTTACATTCAAAGCACGGAAACTATGGTTAATAGCTTCCAAGCAAACAAGGATATATTCCAAGCACACAAGGATATTAAGACAACTTCATATCATGACTTATTATCCTGGCTTGTTTGGAAGCCATTAACCGTAGTTTCCCAAATGCACATGTTAACAGGCTCCTATAGTTAACTGTGATTCCTGGCTTGATTCACCGATTCCCACAAAATAAGGAAGGAAGTAGGTGCGAGAAAGGGGTCATTCATATATATATGGGCAATGTTCTGTGGGCCAATGATTATTAGTGAAATGGAACTACTAGTCTTAAACAGACAAAATGGCACCAATAAAGGCTTACCCGCTTGCAGCTGAAGTGATTTTGTCTCTTGCTGCACCCCCATGTGTAATCAAAATCTCCTGTAACCCATTCAAATCCTCTGAAACTAATAAACTAAATGACCAATCCATGCATTCTTTTTCTCACGGTAAAGTCACACAGTAACTTTACCATGTAATTCTAATGCAGTGAAATGTTCATGCAACACAGTCCCCACATGAGAAGAACGCTATAAGATGAGGTCATTTTTAAAAATCCTTCCTCACCCCCGAAAATTGTGGTGGATGTTTCACAGGAGTCTATTGTCAAACAAAAACTGTATTAACAGTCAAAGACTTCAGTGTGTTAAAAAGAGCAGAAACTTGGGGATGGGCACTGTGCCCAAAGCTACAACCTTCACAATCTCTGAAGATGAGAGATCGCCAGAGGTGTATCTAGGGGTTGGGTAGGTTGGCCCCTGATAAGGGCGCAGGTCAGGGGTGCACCTCTCTCAGCGCCTCACCAGAAAAATCTGGACACTGCCATGGGCTGTCACTACAGCCCTGTGGCACTCCCTCCCCAGTCGGCCAACAGTGCTGGTGGTTACTTTGTGCAATGAGACCCCCCTATGAGGATGTTGCCTCTCTCCTAGTATGGCAGCTGCTTCCTGCCCTCCATTCCCCTGCTTCCCCCAAGAGCAGCCTTTCAGCTGATGTAGTAACTGAGAAACGTTAGGTGAGGCTCTGAATTTACCACAGCCGAGTCACTTTCCCCTCGTTTCTTTATGGCTTTGACCAATTTCCATTGTAAGAATATTCAGATGTTTGAATTTTACTTTGGTGCCCACAAAATCAAGTTCTTATTGCCACAGACAGAGAATATTTAAAGTGTCCCAAAGGTTGAGGCTTTATCAGTTGAAGGTATAGCATCTCTATAATCTGTAACTAAAAATGAGCAAGGCACCAAGTAGTTTGTAATTAATTCAGATACACACACATGCATTGTGGGAACAGAAACTCTAAAACTAGCCTTGTCGTAGGAACACTACACGCAAGCAAGAGACAAAAATCACAGTTCATAGTAAGATTGTCGCTTCTAAAATGCTTTGAAGTTCAAAGAATCTGTTATTAAAGCTTTTACACTATGCCCCTAAGAACCAATAATTGCCTGTGTGTTCAGACTGCAGGACCGCTTTGATTATTCAGGGCATAATTCTTTGGCCGCTAATCCAATCAAGTACCTAGTCTTTAGCACATTTTCTGGCTAATTGACCTTCAAAGGGCTTGTTGAATTCTCTGTGTGCTTGCCGGTCAAACACCTTGCATGGCTTTTCTTCTCTTCCCAATTCCTTCCCTTCTTCCCATGTTTGGGAGAAGAAGATTAAAGGGATAATATTGGGTCAGAGTTGGGAAAAGCTTTAGCGATCATAACAATTATATTCTTATAAGGGGATGGGGGAGAGTATCAGAAGTCAACACTTCAGTAACTGAGAAGCAGGAGACATGTTATTCAGCATGACTACTGAAGTCCTGGTCACATTTTTCCTCAGATAAATGGTTATTTCCTGAACATAACTGGAACAAACCAGATGACTGAAATATGGTGTACACAAAGAAACAGTGATAGTCATGCCAGCAAATAACTTATTCTCTGGTGGTTCTCCAGAAAGCCTATAGAAATCCTCCATGGCTGCTCCTGTTCCAGAAGTTTAGCAAACTCTAACCACGCAAGTTACATCCATAAAGCTTAGATTTTGAAGAGTTTACACCCAAATATTTTGTAATATGTATCGAAATGTGACAGTCAAAACTCTGAAATGTCAGTTCACATTAGAAAAAATATGTTACTAAATACATGAATTGTCTTCAATCTTTCAGGGATTAAAATGTAATATCTTTATTTGTTGCTCATTTCATAGCAAAGTGTTTACGCTTTCCTAAATTTTACTATGTAAATTATTGTTTGATTTTTATCCTGCCCTTCCTCCCAAAGGAGCCCATACATAAACAGAAGTTACGTATTCTCTGCTGCACAAAAGCAATACTGTTACTGGTCATTCTATATGGCATATAAATCTTGTCCATGATTAAATATGGTTTTGCAAGAGAAAACACTATCCTCTGCGCACTCAAATATTCCCAAACTGGCATTAGTTACACACTGTCATAAAAAAGAAGAAATAAAAAAAATTACCACTTGCAGAACAGGAAATCTGATCTGAGTAAATGGCTTATGCTGGAAGTGAAACAGTTAATAGCCCCCAAAGTTCTTAATAAATGCAAGCCTAATCCCTCAATTCAAGAGCAGCCTCTCATCTCTTTTCATCTCTTTAAGGAACATCAAAAAGAAAAATATTTTACTATACATCTGAATCAGTGGGACAGGTGTAGTAGTCTCAACAGGTAAGAAGATACAAAGTGAAAAGGAATAATTACCTAGTCTGTCCATTCTGGAGCTAGGGGACCTGAACTGTCTTCAAGAAGCAAGAGGTTTGTGCTGCAGTTCTTTGAATAAGTATTCTGTGAACTGCCCTGAGACCTCCAGGTATAGGGCGGTATATAAATTCAATAAATAATAATAATAAATAACTGTTCTGTAACATCTATAAGGAAGTTTGTTGTTGAAAACATGCCAAAGTTTCCATTAACTATTTCCCAACATCTGAAATTCACTACCTTCCTTCTGCACTTTCCCAGTGTTAACTCCCTGTAAAAGAATTTAGCTTATCAACAATAGATCGCAGTCGATCAAAAGCAACCACGGTTTATAGAGACAGTAAAAATAAATTGCCCACAGACTTGGTTTTCCCAGGCAAAATACTAGAGTTGCATTCTTCAAATGCAGAATCCTACACACTTCTTTACTTACTTGCAATGAACTTATTGAAGGAAAACATATTACTGTAGTTCTGGGCAGATGACTCAAAACTTTGTACAAAGCCAACATGTGGAAAGAGTGAGAGGGGGACTGAGGCAACAGAACGCACCCACAATTTCCACCCATAAATCATACCTTATACACAGAGCTGCTGGGTGTCAAATGGGTGCTTATATTATAGGCAGCTTACTTCTCTGTGGAGTGTAAACAGACAGTATTTCGGAGGTTGGTTTGTTCTTCCTAAGTATGTCTGAAGTTCTCTACCCTTGTGATCCCTAAGACAAGATGTACTCCATGGATGAAGAAACACTTGCTAGTTACCTTGAATGCACAAGACTTTTCATATGATTTGAAAGTACCAAACAAGATAAAGTTCTCCACTACAGGCATGTTGTGGTGCTTCTATTGGGTGGTGCTGAAGACAATAAGAAACATTAGCATATGAAGATAACTGCTTCACCATCACTGTCTGAAGAGCGCTAAATTTTGGTGCCTATCTACAAACAATTTGAACAGAAGTGTCAAAATTGCTCAAATAGTATACTGTCAGCCTCAGCAAGAAATGAACCCATGCATAGACCCTAAGTGATACTGGAATAATTATTCATTCTAAGGAAGTTCAACTGGTCCATTGGATCCAAATGCTAGGGTAGAATTCGTCTCTTGAATATCTTCAAGGTGATGCTGACAGTTTAATGGGAAGGTCTCAAAGCACAACTGGGGCTTGTGTGGGAAGATGTCTCAGTATATTGATGGATTTTGCTGATGGCTTCAGCGCCGTGTGACTTGCCTAGATTGGCATGGAGATTATATTTTAGGGTCAGAATTTTGACACACCAACATATTTAGCAAGAACTATGCTACAGTGGTGCCTCGCAAGACGAAAAGAATCCGTTCCGCGAGTCTCTTCGTCTTGCGGGTTTTTTCGTCTTGCGAAGCAAGCCCATTAGAGGTTTAGCGGCATAGCGCTACAGTATTAGCGGCTTAGGTTAAAAGAACAGCTGATAAGCGGCTTAACGAACAGCTGATAAGAGGCTTAAAGGTGAGATGATAAGCGGCTAAGGATCAGCTGATAAGCGGCTTAGCATCAGCTGTTAAGCAGCTTAAAGATCAGCTGATAAGCGGCTTAGCATCAGCTGTTAAGCGGCTTAAAGATCAGCTGATAAGCGGCTTAGCATCAGCTGTTAAGCGGCTTAAAGATCAGCTGATAAGCGGCTTAGCATCAGCTGTTAAGCGGCTTAAAGATCAGCTGATAAGCGGCTTAGCCAGCAGCTGATAAGCGGTTTAGCGGCTTGGGAAAAAGGAAAAAACCCCCGCAGGAACTGGCAAGACATTTTCGTCTTGCGAAGCAAGCACATAGGAAATTCGTTTTGCAAAGCACCTCCAAAACGGAAAACCCTTTCATCTAGCGGGTTTTCCGTCTTGCGAGGCATTCGTCTTGCGGGGCACCACTGTAGTATTTTTTCAGTGGCTTCAGGGACAGACAAAGCCTCACAAACACTGTGCCAGCTTTCCACTGATTTCTTGTGAGCCCACTTCACAGGTAGGACTGTCTGAGAACGACAAAAATATGACAAATCAAATCAAGATATGAACATGAGCCATGTTGGGCTGGGACCTGGGAGACGAGGGTTCAAATCCCCACTCAACCATGAAGCTCACTGGGTGGATTTGGGTCAGTCACCATCTCTTATAATAATAATAATTTATTACTTATACCCTGCCTGTCTGGCCGGGCCTCCCCAGCCACTCTGGGCAGCTCCCAACAGAATATTAAAAACATGATAAAACATCAAACATTAAAAACTTCCCTAAACAGGGTTGCCTTCAGATGTCTTCTAAAAGTCAGGTAGTTGTTTATTCCTTGACATCTGATAGGAGGGTGTTCCCACAGGGCAGGCGCCAGTACCAAAAAGGCCCTCTGCCTGGTTCCCTGCAACCTCACCTCCTGTAGTGAGAGAACCACCAGAAGGCCCTTGGAGCTGAACCTCAGTGTCCGGGCTGAACAATGGGGGTGTTGGGATATTGCCAGCAAGACAGAGGCAATCAGGTAGGCCTCCATCGTCGTCTCTGGACGATCTCCATTCTCCCATTGGAACAGTATCAGTCAATTAGCGACACGAGCCTCAGACACATTCCAAGACTCGTGCACACACTTTTTGCAGAGTTTCCACAACAGAAGATTCACCCAGAAGAGCATATTTACAGCTTTATTCAACGTTGGTCAGAACAAAGGAAAAACATGACTGCTTGCATTCGGGTCGAGGAAAACAGCCAGAAAATAAAAGACATTCTGCAGACCACCTGAATGAAGCTTCTGAAGGACCACTGGCAGCTCACGCTCCACAGTTTGGAAACCCCTGTCCTAACTTGCACATTATGTAGGGAGAATTACAGCACATTATGCTCCTTTCACCGATCCCAATAAAGGGAACAGAGTGACAGATTTTGATCTCAACACAATAAAGTGTTTGATCTCATGGCAGAGTGTCTAGAGCTTTCCCCTGTGGCTGTGAAACATTTCAAATGACCTCTAGTGAGAGAACTAAGTAAACTGCAGAACATCAATACAAATTCAGGAAGAAACACAACCTAGAAGCAGTCTTTTCATCCTACCTCCTTCTAACAGTCTCTACATTTACCCTTTCCACAGATGAATGTAAAAAAATTTAAATTAATAATAGTAAATGAACTATGTCCTGCCTCTATTCCATGATGGAACTCAATACAGTATATAGAAACTTTCTAGATAGCCTCCCATCCAGTCTCAGAACTGTTTAGTTTAAGCAAGGTTGCCTCATCTTGTGCCTTCTGACAATGTCCTGGGACCAGTTAGAACCAATTCATAACAGGATAGGAGAGATTATATGTAGCAGTAGGTGGGAGGTTCTCTCCCTTTGTATCACCCTAAACACTTGCCATTACATAAACATTTAAGCTGGTTCACCAGCTTGCAGTTGCTCCTATAACTCAAGTTACTGTAGGATTTATAAGGTTCAGTAGCTCATTTTTCAGGCTTTAAGAAATATAAGAGATTTGTGCTGCAGTTCTTTAAATAAATATATATATATATATATGGCAGAAAACTAGCTTATTAGGTTTGCATAATGCCTGACTAAAACAGCCTGCAACACATTTGTAACGCAAAAACCATTACAAACTATAGATTATAGTGTGACAAATCAAATACAAATGTTTCATATTTTGGTTTCTTTGTTATGAGTTTATTACTAACAGCATGCTTTTATTTTATTTTTTCTTTAAAAAAAAAGTTGCAGCTTAACTTCTGACACATCTTACCAATCTCCAAGACTCCAAGGAAAAATGGCAGGATGCAGAAATTATTCCCCAGCAAACTGCTTTGTGGCCAATCAAAGAACTAGTTGTGGACCTGGCAATAATTTAACTACCACCACTGCATGGAGCCCCAGCATGACCTGTGGGAGATTATACGGAAAATGGCCATAGGCTCAGAAATGGAAAAAAACAACAACTGAGGTGTAATCCCTGCTCTGGGAACACGAGAGGAAGGGGTGGGGAATCCCTTTCAAATTACCAACTGTCCCCCAGTATAATAATCAATGGAGTAAACTGAGAATGTATCCTATTGTGAAAGGTCTCAAACAGCATTGAGACTGGTTGCTTCTGAGACTATTATTTAACATTTTCATCAAGTGCTAAGTGAAGCATGATCAATGGGTCTGGCCAGGTGGACATCTCAAAATGACATTGAGATTCTTGGAACATTACAACAAAGGTCATATTGTAGTTGTGAGAGTTGTTTTCCATTTTATGGTAATACAAATGTGCAGCACATATTTCAAAAATTGCAAATAACTCTTACTGCCAGCCAAACCTTAAATGAAAAGCTGTCATTGTGATTTACTGTCATTAGGATTTTCCACACTGCGCCACACCTTCAATTAAACAAATGGAGCCCAGAAATAGAAAGAAGTGGAAAACTGCTGAGATGCATCACCAGCTTTATTGCACAACTTTCCCAATGAGCACTGAAGAAGGTCCAAGACTTTAGAATGAGGCATTTACATCTCAGCTGTCAGGCTTCCAAGCGTATCTACATTATTAGGGCCACACATTCAACCTGATGTTCATGCAAAGCAGATCCTACAAAGATAGCAGAGTCTGCAGGCCTGATATTTTTCTCCTGCCCACCTGCCAGCCTCAAAATGCTCTCCAGAACACTAAGAGGCCTTCCTGAACTGCAGTGTCTGCAGTACATGACTGCTTGTGACAGAATCAACTGAAACCTGATGAAGGAACCTTACATAACCAAGGAGCTCTGCTTGTGCAATGAAAAGAGTAGAAAAGAGTAGATATCATCTCACTGGCAGAGAAGTGCCTCTAAAGCCTTATGCTGTGATTCTTTCTAGCTATGAGAGATCCTTTTAACTGGAGAGGATGGGGGGGCACCTTCTGTTTTGAGCAAAGATCTCTACTTTTTGAAAATCATGGGAGGATTTTAAAAATGTATTTCTTCCATTTAACCCTACCTAACCCTGCTCTTCCTCTGAAGAGTTCAATGATGCTTAGATATGGTTCCCAGACAGCTTTCTATCCAAGCAGCTTACAGGACCAGACATGCTTTGATTCTGTGTTAGACTGTATCATGTACCTTTGGACAGTTCTCAGGATCTAAAGTGGCAGTCCTCATGCATATACCTGGCAGAAGAAAGGACATGCCCGAAAAGGGACTTGAACCCTGAATACTAAGATTTCAAGGTTGATATTCTAAAAGTTTAACAATTCAGGCCTTTAGACAGAAAAAACAAGTACGGGAAGGGGAAGCTTCTCGTCCATGTGTGCCCATAAACGTATATTTAATCTATTTATGGATCAATCAAGGAACACTGAATGTAAAGACAGCACGTGACAGTCTCTAAGCTACGCAAAATGTAGTTTACAGTAATAGCCTGCTAATTTCAACGGAAAGCTTGTTTCATACCGTTTAACAAATTAATTTAGAAAATTGCAATTAAGTTTTTGAAAGGGGTGCTAAATTTGGAGATGTATTTATGACTCTTAATAAGTGTCAGATGGTAAATATTTGGGATTGTCCCAGAATCCTTTCATAAAGGAGTATGGTTTCATCTTTAATAAGACTTGATCACTCAAGGCTAAAATTCTCTCCCAATATACTGCAGGGCTCCAGTTACACTAAACATCAGTGTGAAGGCCTGGGGAACATCACAATTTCACCCATATTTTCAAGCATCTGTAATTATTGCACAGGTGTTGCTGCAAGGGCAAAAAGATTGTGACCCTGAGATTAACTTAATGGATATTTAGGTATTACGGGAACAGAAGGTGATCTAATAACCGTGGTGTGCACATATGGAACAAGAACGAACATATACAGTAAACAGACACCTTTTCTAAATTATGAAATGAGCCAGATCATTACACAGATCTTAGCAAGGCTTTTATATTAAAAATGTACAAAGTTTTAACTGAAGTCACATACTTGCAACGCACACACTGAATGAAGTACAAGAATTAAACAAAAGAGCATCCTTATTGCAATTTATAGGGCAATTTTAATGACAACTACACAGCTAAGCTTCATTTCCCTCCCTCTTTTATAAAAGCTACTAGAAATTTGTAGCTCAACCTAACTTTGAGAGACACAGGCACTTTGTCATCGCCCATCACCCCCCCAGTTTAAATATAAACACACCTCAGAGAGCTATTTACAGCTCATTTTTAAAAGTGCATTAGGGACTCTCATTCTTATGGATAAAAAAGGATGGCCTCATGCTACTGTCCATTGGACATTCAGTTCCTCATGTTTCATTCAAATGGTATGAAGTAAAAAACCCCCGCTGTACTTCACAAACACCTGAGGTTCCACGAGGAAAATTGTGGTGCAACACTGTATCAACCTTTGTGATAAAATACCTACCATCTGTATTGTTAGAAAGATCACTTCGCTGCACTGAAGAACTACAGAGCGACCAGAAGGAACATTGCCTCCTTACCCCAATTTTGGGAATTTACCTCTCTTCAATGGCCATGTGGCCCCATCTCTCTCTATTCAGGAGAGTTTTTTGGGAGGTGAAGGGGCTAGAGGGGGTGGGATATTCATTGCTGCTTCCTTCTGCTTGCACTACAAGACAAGTCATTGTCTCCAAATAATTGCTTTACTAGATAGGCAGTATATAAGGCTCTGATCCACCTGTTCAGCAACTATTTGCAGGTAGGGTCCCTGGCATTTTCTGTGCTTCCCTTACCTTCAGTTGCTTTAATATAATATCCCTTCTCTTTACTTGGTGGGATATCCAGCAGCTGCATGACTCTATCCAGCAATCCATGAATTATCTCGAAACCAGGGTTTTTGTTATAGTAGACAGCACAAAGATGCCTATGGTTTCTTGTACCAACATCTGGAGAAGAAAGAGGAAACCAAAATTATTGGCTTTGCAGAGACGGCATTTTATAGCTCTTGCCCGCTTTAATCCAATTTTGTATCAGTGTTTATTTACAGTTACACACTGACCATCTGTAGATCAAAAGAGAAATACAGAATGTAGTAACTTATTAAATAAAAGTAAATAAATAAGAACAAGCAAAAATAAAAGGTCTTTTCTGAGGCTTAGTTCTTTTGCAGTATAAAACTGTGTTTGAAATGTACCACTTCAGACTAGTTGTGAGCGTTGTCAAGACTGAATCTTTGACTTTTTTTAAAAAAAGAACATTCCAACTCATAGAAATCTAGCATGTCAAGAAAAAGCATTTTAGCCTAGCCTCCTCCCTGGCATGCTGATTTTTGCTATAGTGTATAAATACCAGAATTATACACAGTTTAGTGTGATCTGAACAAGGCCTCAAAGGGCCTCGGGCTCATCCTCATCAATGGAAGAACGAAGCATATAAAATGCAATGAAAAACACAACTAGCATATACTGTAACAACAACAAATTTAAACCTCCACCTGCAGTCTGAAATGACACAGTCCAGGCAGAGCTTTATTACCACAGAGAGAACTCGGCCAAAGTCTGAGTCATATCCAGGCAGTACTAATAGCTCTAGATGTCTCTCCCTCTCTCTCTCTCTCTCACACACACACACACTCATGACATCCAGATTTGAAATATTGTACTTGATTATGAAGTTCATTCATTACAGACCAAATAGAGTGTTTGCTGCCAAAGCTAAGCTAAGCTTTCTCAGTTCATTCTAACTAACTCGAAAACTATGGCGTCATTCCACAAAACAATTCTGCTGTGTTTTAAAAAATGGACCAGCCAAATATATTAACATAAATTTCATATGTATTGTAGTGACTTCAAAGCACTGTCTGAAAAACCTGTTTAATACAATTTGCGAGCCAAAAAACACAATGAGAAATAAAGTTGGTAAACGCTGCCCTCTAGCAACAAAATTTCATAGGACACTTGCATTTGGGTGATGTACATCTTTTTTTTTACCATGTTGTTATACAAGGTCTCCAAATGATTAGTTAAGACCCATGAATGATCTAATTGGAAAACTCTACATAGGGCTCCTGAAACATGGCGGATAGAATAGGTAAAAGGATGTGTGATTTAAAATATCAATTCAGAAGAGAGACATTTCAATTAAAACAGAGAGCTATTGTATAATCAACTTTACCCACTGAATAAGTATATGCTAAAAGCATTTCAAAACTGAGGTATGATCAGTCTAGCACAAAAGCACAGTGGCCACCTGCAAGGGGATTCCCTGACATTCAACAGAGCCCTGCTTCTCCTTCTGCACCTATGTGGATGCATGAGAGCACTCAGCTAGTGCAACAGGCCGTGGCAAGTCTATTCATGCCTTCCAATGCATACCTCTATGCTGTAGCAAGCGGAGGGGAAAGGCTGAACAGGGATATGGTACATCTCATTCCCCCTGATGCACTGGCTGAGCACACCCATGTATGAACCCATGGCAGAGGGAAAACAGGAGATCTATCACATGTGGGCAGTACGCTCAGGATGGGACTCAATCATGCCCTTGATTTCTGAAGACATTAGCATTTACTGAGATTAGCTTACCTATGGTGGAATCTTTCACTACAATGTCAGAGATTTCAAAGAGTTTCAGAGGTAAAGGCATTTTCCTGTTAGCGGCAATAGTTTTCAGAAGACCAGGCAAGAGAGTAGTGCGCGCCACCTGTAGGGCACATAGGGAACTTTATATATTAAACATGTCTCTATAGGTAAGAACAGGGGTCAGCAAACTTTTTCAGCAGGGGGCCGGTCCACTGTCCCTCAGACCTTGGGGGGGGGGGGCGGACTATATTTGGGGGGGGGGGGGTGAACGAATTCCTATGCCCCACAAATAACCCAGAGATGCATTTTAAATAAAAGCACACATTCTACTCATGTTAAAAACACCAGGCAGGCCCCACAAGTAACCCAGAGATGCATTTTAAATAAAAGGACACATTCTACTCATGTAAAAACTCGCTGATTCCTGGACCGTCTGAGGGCCGGATTGAGAAGGCGACTGGGCCGGATCTGGCCCCCGCGCCTTAGTTTGCCTACCCATGGGTAAGAACATCTCCAACTGAGAGCAAGACGTGGCAACATACACAAGAGTCAAGTATCAGAATTAATAGGAAATATATTTATTTCTCCCTTATTTCTCCCCTACACTTCAGCAATTCCCAGCCGCTTACAATCTGCCAACACAGACCAACATTTGCAGGACTGTCTATGTAGTAATTATCTAAAACAAAGTGTCTGTGAAAAAAAGCAATACTATTAAACTGGAGAATACAAGACTGAAATTAAATATTGCAAAAGATACTCAGGACTGACCATAAACAATGCAAGCTATAAAACATGGCCTCTGAACGGCTTCTGATTGACATATTTCATACTTATATGCCACAGTAAATCAAAGTTTTCCATTGGCCATAACTCATTTAGAGTTACAGGCAACAAGCAGTTTTGTATTCTAGCCTAAAACTCACTTTATAATCCTCACCTGAAATTCTGCTGTTTTGGGATTTGCTATATGCACAGCTTTCGTTGTAGAGATGTCAACTCCCAGTTTATTAGCAATGTCTTCTTGGGAACACTGAAAAGAAACAAATTAATTTAAACCCAACCAAGTTAAATATAACTCAATTTCAAAAATTACTAATAGCAAAAAATAAATATCTAGGAATGGTCAGGATATGAAGGCTGGCAACACTAAATCTAACTGAGCAGGTCTGTGTTTAACTTTTTAAATTTGAACATGTAGTGTTGAATTTAAACACTAGTTATGTTATCTATTAATTTAATACATTTGTTAGCCATTTTCCGGCATAAGCTCCTGAGACGGTGCAATCTTAAAAACACAAGTAATCTGAATATAATCCAGCCAAACCATAAAAAAAAATGGAAACTAGTTATTCAAGATACTGGAAAAATAGAAGCAGCATTTGCCTGGAACCAGAAATTCATCAAACTTCTTGTCCAGTGAGCTTCACTGACAAAGCATGCCAAATGCAGCACACCAAGTCCTCCCTTGGGTCACCAACTACCTCCCCTCAAATAGTGGCAGAACTCAAAGAAGAACCTCTGATGAAGAATATATAGCTTTGGACAGATTTTTAGGACAAAGCCAGGTCTCAAGTTGCTTACAGTTTCAATAGTTAGCATATTTAACAGTGAACTGTGCCTAAAAATGGACATTGCAGCTGTTTTAAGAGCTGGCGAGATGTTCTCTGTAAGACCGGGGTGTGGAACGCATGGCCCTCCAGACATTATTGGACTGGGCCTGAGGAGCAGGTATTAGCAGATCTATCAGTCAAGCTCCACTCTCTTTGATGTAGAAGGACAGGACCAGCATAACTTACTGCCCCTCCAGAAAAGATGTTTCCAACAGGGCCTCAGTTCTGCAGAACCACTCTTAACATCCTTGTGCCATAGCCAGCTTGCTCTCTTCCTGGCCACAACCTTCCAAAAAGGAAGGCTCTTTATTCTTCATTTTCTCTCTTCATTCTGCTGATAAGCTCAGGCAGATATGAAAGAGAGGCAGGCTAAGAAGGCTAAGGCAAGTCAGGCAGGGTCTTAGAACTCAAAAAACCAGAGCAACTATTCCTTTTTCACTGCTGTGAAATTTGTTTACACTGAAACATTAGCAAATCGGAGCCTGACAAAATGATCATATACCACTGCTGCTGCCTGAATCCTCAATGAGATTATAGCAGTCTTAAATAGTTCTTTAACACGCACCAGAGAAAAAGTGAGCACTTCGGTAAAGCCTGCCGCTGCCAAATCTTGTCTCAGAAGTTCTGTGAGCTTATTGAGAGGAAGCTAGAGGGAACAGAAAATAATTTTTTCATCTTTCAGCTCAACAAATATCATAAAATCATGGAGATGACTGCGAGAACGGCTTTTCAAAAAAGGTGATCCCAAACAGCTACATCTGGCCTTGACTGAGGAAATGCAGTTCCCAGTTAGAGATTTAATATGGCCTCCAGGTTTAAACGTTGCCCTCCCCCTCCCCAAGCCCATCCACTGCAGGTCTTTGGAGTTTCTCAGATCAGTTGGGCATCTGTTTTGTATCCCTGCTACAGTAAACTCCCATTGCTAGAAGACATGACAGAATATTGTTTTAATTCTTAGGCGCAGTTTTCTTCTAAGAACCCTTCTGGCATACTTCTAGCCTTTAAACTGACAATACAGACTGTTTACTTAAGGGTGCAATCTTACTTGATTAGCTATGGTGTATGTTTTCGGAATAGTCATCTGAATGTTATTATAGCCATACGCTATTGCTGCGTCTTCTATGATATCACATGCATGGATAATGTCAGCTCTGGTAGGAGGGATTTCAACCTCTATATTGTTCCCATTCGCTATGACGTGTGACTTCAAACACATCCTGGTGAGCAGCTTTGCAAGGTTTGATGGAGTCTCACTAAAACATAAGCAAGAGTAATTTTTAAAGGAAAATATCACATGGTTTCATTCTGAAGCCACTGCCTTTCATTTTCACAGTGATCAAGCTAAAAAAAATGCCAAGACTCACAAATCAATCCAGGAGATAAAATAGTAGTATTTTGCTGCACAATAGCAACCTTATGATACTTGGTGTTGAACAAGTCCTTAAGACCTTTTAATTTTCTTTAAAAAACAAAACAAAAAACTGGCTTATAATTGGCATTTCAAGTAAATATCGTTACCCCCCTCAACCTGCACCAACATTTATCTTCTCACACTTATAAGAGGAAGTACATAAATAGGAGTTTGAAAAGTTGCATACAAGAGAAAGTGTGGAGTAATTAAAATGTCCCAGATCTCAAACAGACTGGTTTCATCCAATAAAGTGAAGCCTAAGTAAAAGATGACTAGTGCCTGTTCCTGACTGAAGCTCCTGCTAGAATTATATTATCTGGTATATATTTTCTTTTTACTTCTTGAGGGCAAGAGATCAGGGGTTGTATGGTGCAGTGCAGCAGTATATAATTATGGTGTTGCACGGTACTTTCAGTGTTGAAAGGTACTATGCAACTTCAATGTCCCTGACAGATGGTCAACCAGCCTAAAATAGGAATAGGCTGCTTTGTGACAGACAGCATATATTTGGATACAATTAATGAGCGTTCCCTATCCTGGTGTCTTCTCATTGATTTTGGACAACAGCTCCCATCAGCCCCAGGAATAAAGGGCAATAAAGGCACACGGCATCTGATGACTAAAGGCTCAAATGGCAACAGGGTTGTCCCCTCCATATCTAAATCAATGTTGTGATACAAAACAACATAACATCTCCAATCTCCCAAGTACCTTAGAACTGGACACCTAAGTATTTCCAACAGCTCAAAATTTCGTGGCACTGTCATCAAAATGGAAGAGAGCCATCGCAGGAGCAAAAAGGTTTTAGAAGTTCAGTAGAACAGAGACATACACCTTAGCATGGGTCCCAATTTTGCCCATAAGGCCATTTCCCCCAAACCAAACCCACATCTGATGCCAGCTGCCAATCCAAACCACGAGCCTTAAAGTGTTTTCCCGATTGTGCATTAACAAGAGAGGTTTGCTCTCACTGTCAGTCAGGGGAACACAGCAGTGCAGCTGATCCCAGAAGAAAGCAGATCCTGGTGGCAACTTCAAGCTCCCTGGAATCCCATGGGGAGCTCCATAGACAGTCTTTAAAGGGATCTGCCAAGAGCCCTGCTCAGTACTATCAACCAGCTGATCAGCAGGACTTCAAAGCGCCGTGCCGGACTCCTTGCGACACCAGGTGGTTGACTAATTTGACCTGCAAATGAAATGGGAAGGAAGGACCTGGCCCAATAGCCAGATCCAATTCCCAGCTCCTGTTGTACAGATTAAGATTTCAGGTGCGGCATGGCTGGATGAGATCATGTGCCCCTGAATCCGAGCACTGACATATGGGAGATGATTGGCCTTTAATTTATTTAATTTGTATATTGCCCTTCATCCATAGATCTCAGGGTAGTTCACAACATAAAAATACAATATAAAAACACAAAATACATAATAGAAACAAGAACAACCCCCCCACCACAAACAAATACCCCTGCTCCCCCACCTCCTTCCACAAACACATTTAAAAGGGTATAGGATGTTAATCAGCCAAAGGCCTGGTTGAAGAGAAACGTTTTTGCCTGGCACCTGAAGGTGTATAATGAAGGTGCCAGGGTGGGGAAAGCCTTCCACAAATAGAGCCACTACTGATTGACAGAATTCCTGGTAGCAATGCTATAGCTAAAGAAGTATTTCAGTGGAACAGTAATACAAGTAGAGAATGTTGGATGTGTTGGGATTCCATTCCACCCATTGCTGCAGACATGGGTTTTTTACCTGTCACATGTCTGTTTACATTCCAGCACAGATTGCTTGTGTGAGCGGAACTTCCGCTCTGTATTGCTTTTGTTTTTAGTCTCTCTCCGAGAAGACAGCAAGGAGAGATACCATGTTTTCTTTGTCCTGATTTATGTATAATAAATGCGTAGTTTAGTATGTGCCTACAGCCTCAAGCCTCTTCTGTTGCGCAGTTCACACTGAGTAAAGTGTGCTCAAGTCTGCAAGCTTGAGTCACTGATGTACATCGGAGCAGAGGTCAATGAATCTCCGCATCGGCAAGGCTGAGGGGAGATGCTCCAGCTGGGGCCGAGCCAGCTGGCCTTTTGACCCCCTGATTCCGACAGGATGGGTCCATACTTGACTTCATTGTCAAGTGTTTGTCTTTGCTCCTCCCGATGAGGAAAACTATACCTTGCATTTCTGTCCCCAAATGAGTTCCACTAACATGACACATGGCAAGTGCTTTGGAATATCATGATATGGTACATGGCACCTTAGAATGTTTTTACGGGATGCTATATAGGTTTGGGCCTGCTCCTTGGGAGAAAGGTGATGGCAAACTTAGACAGCATCTTAAAAAGCAGAGACATCACCTTGCCAACAAAAGTCCGTATAGTTAAAGCCATGGTTTTCCCAGTAGTGATGTATGGAAGTGAGAGCTGGACCATAAAGAAGGCTGATCGTCGAAGAATTGATGCTTTTGAATTATGGTGCTGGAGGAGACTCTTGAGAGTCCCATGGACTGCAAGAAGATCAAACGCATCCATTCTTAAGGAAATTAGCCCTGAGTGTTCACTGGAAGGACAGATCGTGAAGCTGAGGCTCCAATACTTTGGCCACCTCATGAGAAGAGAAGACTCCCTGGAAAAGACCCTGATGTTGGGAAAGATGGAGGGCACAAGGAGAAGGGGACGACAGAGGACGAGATGGTTGGGCAGTGTTCTTGAAGCTACAAACATGAGTCTGACCAAACTGTGGGAGGCAGTGGAAGACAGGAGTGCTTGGCGTGCTCTGGTCCATGGGGTCACGAAAAGTCAGACACGACTAAACGACTAAACAACAACAACAACAACAACATATAGGTTTGGTATGGTTCTGTTTCAGTGATGCATCAAGACTGTGTTTCTCATTTTAAGGTTATGCATGTTGTTCAACCACTCCTTTGTTTTAACAAAGGGTGATATGTAAATAAAGCAGCAACAACAACAAATAAAAAGGTACAGCTTTGGAGCAACAGTACACATCCATTCAGAACTATCCAAGGAGAACGATTACTGAATGGTGGGTGCAACATTTATTCAGAGCACTAGTTGGCACTGTGGTATTTTGTAACATCATCATGATAGTTCTCTAGCCTGTAGCATCACGCACTGAGTTCATTAATATGTACAACAGACTTGAAGTTTAAATAAAATGGTATCTACGGCATTCGTGGCTCTACCAAACAAATTTTCATTCTGCTACTATTTTATTTTAGTTGGATTTTTTTGTTGTATTTTGATATTTAATTGTATATCCAAAAAGTGGGTTATATATCATAATAAAATATGGATCTCTAGGGTTTAAGCACCTCTCTGTATTCTTACCAGATCCTAAAAATGTATAAACCTAACAAGCGTTAAAAATGTGACACAAATGCTGTCAATGGAACTATGTGCACCCTTCAAAGACAGCTAAGAGATTTAGCATACCTAATTCCAATTTTCTTATTCAGTATTTCAGGCTTTATCTTTTCCCGACGATAAGCCAGCTCCTGCAAAGAAGGGAGGGAGTTTTAAGTATAGAAATCGATTTTCTCTCTAAGTGTATCACTCTCCTACATACATAATTAAAAACCTACAGGGGATTTATGTGCCACTCAGCACCCAGAAGAAAAATCCAGAGCATGCTGGCGGAAGACCAGAAAGCCTACCTGGACAGAGTGAAGCAAGCTGCTTGTGGTGGCAGGATGAAGGTAGGGGTGGGAGTGGCAAAATACACAGGCTGGTGCAACAGGTCATTTTAAAGTACTGGCCCTTGTGGGGAACTATTTAGGCTCCACTGCAGGTAGCAAAGCGTCTTGGGCTGGCACTGCACTTGAAGATGGTAAGTGGGACAGTTTTGGGGAAATAGCTGGAACATTACCCAGTAAAAGAACTCTATGAAGTGCAAGGGAACAAGCAAGGGTTGATACCCAAAGTGCTCTGTAGCAGACATGCAAGCCAAGAAAGAGAAAATACACCCTGTCTTATGTCTCCTTTCAAAAAGTGGGTCCATCAATTTGTACTTATTAGCTTGCATTTATGAAAACAAAGCTCTGGTTGCATCGCTTCTGAAATACTCACTGGAAAATTGTAGCTTTTTCCATTAGGGTAAGTTACTTCTGCTGCTTCAACACTGGAGGAGGGAAAAGCAAAAAATGTTTAACATGCGGGATACAGAAGACATGAACATTTTTTGTTTTTGTTTTAAGTGCTAAGGTTAACTCATGTGAAGTCAAATCAGTAATGATTAAATGGGCACAGGATTTAGGTCATAATTTACAATCTGAAGACTGGATAAGACTTTGGAAAGTGAATTTGAAATGTACAGACTGTATAGTGTTGAAAGAGAATTACATGAAACTGATGTATAGATGGTACATTACACCAGTAAAACTGGCAAAAATGTATAGAACAGGAAAAAAAACTGTCAGAGATGTAAGGAAGGGGAAGGTACATTTTATCGTATGTGGTGGGATTGCAGAATCATTAAAAACTTTTGGGAAATGATATATAATGAATTTAAAAAATGTTTAAGATTACATTTGTTAAAAAACCAGAAGCTTTTCTCTTAGGTATTTTAGGACAAAAATTGCTGAAAGAAAAATGGAATCTATTTATGTACGTGACAACAGCGGCAAGAATCTTAATACCTCAAAATTGGAAGACTGGAGAAGTACCATCAAAAGCACAATGGCAAGAAAAGTTGATGAACTATGCAGAACTAGCCAAGTTAACAGACAAATTGCGTGAAAAGGACAATAGTGACTTTGAAAAAGAATGGGAACCTTTTACAATATATTTGCAAAAACAAGAAGAAATGGTCTCGTTGGCTGGATTTAAATAAACATATTATAGTATACAAACAGCAGAATGTATCACTTGATGTAACAAACCAGAAATGGTAGTTGAGGGAAGTCAACAGGGAGGGAGAAAATTGGAAAATGTTTGTTTAATAATGTTATTGGTTATTTGTTATGAGAAAAGAAACTTAATACAAAATATATATATATATATATTTTAAAAAAGGTTAACTCACGTGAATGGCTTCTGACAGTATTCACTGAACATTGTGACAAGGATGTCAAGGACAATCTTCGCCTTTAAGAAATATTTTATATATATACTGTTTAGTTTCATGTACATATTTAAAATACAAGACTACAATGTTAGCTCACAATAAGATACTAAAGCAGTGTATCGCCTTTTAAAACTAACTGCTCCCCTCAACCCCAAAAAGTGAGGCAATAAAGAGTTACCCAGCCCAATCCCATTGGTTGAAGTCAACAGATTTTCCTGAAGATGAAGTGAGTAGATGCCTGTGGCTGGCAGACGAGAGCATCAAGTGGATTATCGCTCTAAAATTAAATGTCCAGAGGAACAATCAGCCCAACAACTATGAGATTGTAGGATCTGGTGACTCTGTAAAACACCATCCTAAACTCTCATATGGACTTTGCCGAATATATATTTCTAGAGATTAATGTATGCTAGCAGCTTAGGTCAGCTTCAAAGATGAACCATTTCCAATTTACTTTGCAAATCAGAATTATACTTTCAGCAGAATTATACTGTTCAGCATCTTGCTGCTTTATCAAGCTTATTTACCTTGGTAAGATCTGTGGCTGTACATTCAATGAACACATTTCTGGTGTTAAGACTTATTTTTGTATGGTCCCCTGGAAAAAGCAGATACAGACATTTGAAGTTGTTTGATGCTGCAGGAGTGCTTTTATTTAAAATATGGGCAGGCTTCTAGACCTTGCCAATTTCTTCCCCCATACAGCAAAAACTTCACCTCAACTGAACACTGAAATTAGAGTTACAATTTGGTCCTGACAGGCATACTGAGGTAATATGTACATTTCTGAACAACACTTTGTTACATTTACAATCTACATTTCATTTTCTCAGATTTCTACACTTTTAAAACAGAGCTAATATTCTTCTTTTAATATAGATTTGAGAGAATCAGACCGTGAGAATAGATTAAAAACACTCTCAAAAACAGAAAAGGTTACTATGCAACACAGGTTTCAGCAAAGAGGTAATATCATAACTGTATTGGTATGAGCAAAATAATGAACTTCACCAGACCCTAACAGAAGAAGAAAGTCATGAGGTAGCAGATAGACAATACTAAATAAACACAAAATAAGAAAAGCACAATCTTACCATTAATTATCGGTGGCATTGAAAGCACAACACCATTCCTATCATAGATAACTGGGTAAAGGGGTTCATTTTCAATAATGTGTAGATAATGCCTCAGATGACTATCCGTCTAAAACAAATAAAGCAGAAATATTTACATTTCTTTCCTAAACAGTTACTGCAAGGTATCTGTGGGATGTGAAACACAGGAGCAGTCAACTACAATATTCCTAGAGTGAACATGTTTGCGCATGGGGAGGAATGATTGTCCAGCCAGCAGGTAAACTTCCTGTTTCCTTCTGGGCTGGGACAGACTTCCTCTGCATGTGACTAGAGGTGGGTGTGGCCTCACCTGTGCAGGTAATGACAAAACCACAGGGCAGGGCAGCCATCTCTCTCTCTTTCACCACATGCATCAAAGAAGCAACAACTGCTTAGCCAATGATGCCCTCTTGGCTTCCAGCCAAGAGAGGACAAAGGGACTGTCTTCTTATGGAATAGTTTCCAAGGGTATGTTACTTTTCTAAGCTAAGTCTGCCTTCTGGGATCTGATTGTGAACAGAATGTGAGTAAACTCTTTTTATACTTTTATAGAAGACTGTCGTGTCTTATATTTTATGAGGGAATCAGGGGAAAATACCAGAACAGTTATTATAGAGGCTTTAGCGAGCCTGAGCAAAACGCACCCGCTGCAAATTTAAAAGAGGGGAATGTTACTCTGCTGAAATTGTGGAACTTGTTAACACAAGTTGGATAAGGATATAATCAAACAATATATCCTCTCCTGCATCCCTGAACCTTCCCACAGTATCATCCTGCGGTTGTAGCAGCATGATATTATTTAAACAAACGTAAAACATAACACTGCTGCTTCTAACAGATGTGTTTCATTACTAGGACAAAAAAAAGAAAAAAACATATGCTTAAGTTTCTCCAGAGAAAAAAATGTGAATTGAGCATCATTATGATGTTTGGTTCACCAATGTAACGTGCTTCCATGTATTTTGCTTCAGTCATATTTTTCTTAAACTCCCTATCAGTTCCAAAACTGGTTTCCTGTGTAGTATGGGGAGCTAATTGAGGGGGGGGGATGCAATCTCATTGTACACAGAGAACTAGTTGCATGATCTTCCAAATTAGGGCAGTCCAAATTTTCATACCAAGTGGGCCACAAGAGTAGTTCAACACACACTGGATTAAATTTCCATATCATAAATTAAAAAGCTCACAATATATGTAATATTAATATACATAAATAATATTGTGTGTGTGTGTGTGTGTGTGTGTGTATACACATGCACATGTAACAATATAGTTAATTTATTAAACAAATTAAATACACAAATAAATGTGCTTTCATGAATGACACAAAAATATATTTTAAATGCTTTAATATTTTTTTCTTGAATGCCGCTGAGTGCTGCCAAAAAAGGCCTCGCAGACCACCCTGTTCTAGACTGTGAACAATGTGTCTCTAGACCTGCATTTTTCCTAAAGATACATCTTATAGATTTGTAGTCACCTACCCTGTACAGATCCATGATTTCAGAAGCATTGTATTCCTTGTCCTGATTCAAAGGTTTGAATTTAATTTCAGATGGTGGCTTAGCTGTGTATGTAAATGGGCCAGAGATTGTGTCAAGATCATGGGTACCAATTGCTACCAAGGATCTTTTCCTATAAAATGAAAACAAGACAAATTAGCAATGAAGATTCCACCCACTCCTGAAATTCCTCATTAAAATATACAGATACCGCAGAGGGGAACCAGGCAGAGGGCCTTCTCAGTAGTGGCACCTGCCCTTTGGAATGCCCTCCCAGCATATGTCAAGGAAATAAGCAACTATCTGACTTTTAAAAGACATCTGAAGGCAGCCCTGTTTGGAGAAGTTTTTAATGTTTAATCCTGTATTGTGTTTTTAATATTCGGTTGGGAACCGCCCAGAGTGGCTGGGGAAACCCAGCCAGATGAGCGGGTTATAAATAAATAAATAAATAAATAAATCATCTTTATAGAAATATTAAATCACTTCTGCTCGGTGGTCCAGCTGTCTTAAACAGCCTTCAATGTTACACAATAATATGCATATCAAAAGAGACCATTAAAAAAAAGATTTATCCAAGAAGCTTCCAATTAGCCTTGATTTTTTAAAAAAATAGCTAATTGCTTTAAAATATAATGAAAACATAAAAGACCACCTTCTTCTTCAATCAGAACTTTTCCAAGAGATTGATCCAGTTGCTCATCCCCCACTCTTGCTGCTGTGAGGCAGCACTGTATCTGAACTCAGGCTCATGGCTTTTTTTTCTCTCTCTGACCAAACCATAAGCAGTAGCAACCATTTGTTCTTGGCTTACTGCTCCTGGCTTGCTTGAGGAAAACAAATTGTGAGCTCAGGATTGGGTGTTAATGTCAAACCAAACCATGATGTAGCTCCCAGAAACATGGCAAGGGAGGAGTGAAGCAGCAGTGATTTGCACACTGTACACAAGATTGCTGTGTGTCCGCCTTTACATTATAGTGAAGCTTAAATATGGTTTTACACAATGTGTGAATGCTGCCAATGACTGATAATTCATCATTTAAAACAACAACAACAATGTAATTTGTTCAACTGTATGCATTACTGCCAACTAACCTGCATATATTTTGATGTAATTTTTCTTGTAGATCAATAAGGCTATCATAGCGGTTCTTGTCAAGAGTTATATTACGAAGCACTGCAGCCACAGCATAAGGACGGACTTGAGTAGTCTGCAATGTGTAAGGGTGCATTACGAAGATTAGGGAATTTGACAAAGCGGGGTGGGTTCTATTGTGCCACTAGAAAGCAATCCCAAAACACAGAATATCTTGCAATTAATTTTCACTTTGGGGGGTGGACTCCACAAAGAAAAAATTACCATATTCTATCATGAAACTCTACCTAGGAGCAAGAAAAGATTGACCAGGATCCAAAGAACCACGGAATGAGCTCTGGGATCCCTCAAGGATGCTTTACATTTGCTTTTTATCAAGGGAACATTTCACTGAGACAGTACAAACTCCTTGCTTGGTGTTTAACTGTGCCAATATTCACAGTAAATGACATCCAGATTAATTTGTCCTCTCACATGCATATATTCCTGAAGACACACATGGTGACCAAAAGCCTTAGTACGGCTAACACCAAATTTTACTTTAAATCCAATAAAACATAGACTTCAGAATTCCTAAAGAGAGGCCCCATCATCATCACTTATGACAAATATTCATTGAAGTGTTATGTTGAGATGTAGTTGTGTTTTATTTACCTCTTCAGTGATGGTCAGCTTTTGAATTTCACCATTAGGTGGTGTGATCTTCTTGTATCTTGGAGCCCTAATTCTAAAATATTAAGCATTGAGATTAACATTCAAGAACAATTTTTACACATATACAAAAAAAAAGTAACAGCACTGAACCATGGATCCATGTTGTTCTCCAAACAACATATGCAACTCCTAAATACGGAACTCCCTTCTGCCACCTTCTAGTCAGCTGTGCATACACATGCACATAGGACAAGAACCAGTCTGTGCCTTAAATATTATAAATAGAACCAAACTTTAAGTGTTATTCAATATTTTAAAGCATCTAAACACAACTGGAAACAGTTGGTACCTTTTTTTGCTAGAAAGTATTAAAGTGCAGAGGTTGGGTGCCCATCCATCATGGATGCTTTAGTTGAGATTCCTACATTTCAGGGGATTGAACTAGATGACTCCTGGGGTCTTTTCCAGCTCTACAATTCTATCACTCTATGATTAGAGAGTAAGTCTTACTGGATTCAATAAGTGGCTGAGGAAATGTGTGTAAGATATAATGGGTGCTACTATCAACACATTATTTTGCAGGAAAATGTTGCTCAAATATAAACAGATATCCAATGAATGCAAACACAAGTTACATAAAACAAATAGAACAACAGAGTAAAATCACCAAGTTTCTAATAATACTCAACTTTTCCTTGAAAACATTAGAAAATAGTGTGAGTTGGACTTAAGAGTATGTGTGCAAGTCAATACTCTTGCTTCCTAACGCATTGCAGTGCATTTGGAGTGCTCTGTAGATATGCTTTACTTGCTTTAGAAACTTCAGCATCTACGGCCTAGTTACACAAATGCTGTTCAGGAATAGAACAAATGGAAGTGTTTTACCTCAGCCCTTATTAGTAAACCAATAAAACAGGTTTGCAACATCTCCAAATACTAAGGTACCTTTCTTTAAAGACCTGAAGTCCTCTGACGAGACCTTCCAAGCAAAGAAGGTCATATCGGTTAGCGGGAACATCAATTTTATAGAGAATGATTTCTGATGCACCCTCAGCCTTTTCACCACCTTTCTCTTTGCTTATTATTTCCTTCTCAGAAGTCTGAAATGAAACAAGCATACTTCACAGGAAACTGTTATGAGTTTGGTTAATGTGACTTTCATACAAACATGCAGATCACTAATAAAACACAGTTGTATTGGAGTTTTAAAACGAAATGGTTGTCTATACCAGCCAGAGACATACAAATGTTTGACAGCACAACCCTAACTACTTTTACTCAGAATACCAAATATGTTACAACTATATTTTTAGCAAAATTTGTATAGTGAAGCAACTACATAACAGTGACAAGCCAAAGACCTTTTTTAAAAAAAGAAGTCTATAAATTCTACTGACAACTAATTGCAGTCATTACTCATTAACACACTATTAAGTTTGACAGCAAAAGAATAATACTGTACAGACTGGTTTTTCAGACCTCACCATTTGGAGGAACTTTTAGTCATTAACTTACTATAATCAAGTTCAACTACAGCCTGAACTTAGGAAATATTATATGGAATAAAAAGTACTAAAAGTATAGTTTCACTATACTAGTAGGCTGTTCATTGAAGAGGGTCTTAAATATTCAAGAATAAAGTTTTGTAGGATGGCAGCTGGATTACACAACAAATGCCATAAATTAAATGTCTTTGCAAGTAGATATGTTAATAAAAATAATTACTTACAATTTCATCAAGTTCCAATCCAAACTCAAAGCATAGTTCATCAAATTCTTCATCCGCTGGAAAGGAATTTGTTTCATTAGTTCTGGCATGTGCTAATATTTACAGTAAGTCAAAATGGTTCAGTCCTTGAAAAGGGTAACTGATTTCACCTGCTCGGTTGCAGAAGGGGCCAGAAAGTATATTAATAACTCCAGTTCTGCAAAGTATCTAACTTCCCACTCCTACCTTAAAACATTGAAGGTATCTATACGTAATTCATACATATCATTTTGCAACTTGGTATAGTATCTCTCTTTGTGCTTCCTAGCATAGTAATTTAACATATGGTTACTAATTGCCAGTTGACAAGTATGCTTATCAGCTACATATAACCTCCCATTTGTGTTCCTCATCTAGCCCTTTTCACACTCTATATTATACCTCTTTCCCTCTTCATTGTGCAGTTTCTATTATAGAATGGGAAAGCCCACAGCTACCATAAACAAATCTGAATCTAAAAGAACAACAAAAGGCACATGAAGCTACGACCTACTTCCAAGTATGTACAGCTGTGATTTTCAACCACTGGTACCTCAAAATAAGAAGATGGGAAAAGTACCCCTGGTGTTGAGCCTGCTTGCAATGCAAGGGGCTGGACTGGATGACCCTCAGGGACCATTCCAACTCTATAGTTCTATGATTCTACGAGAACAAGGGCTGGGCAAGACGCCTTTTGCTTTTCCCAACTCCTACAGTTGCATGAACAGATCATAGCTGTCAACTTTTCCCTTTTCTTGAGAGGAATCCTATTCGGAATAAGGGAATTTCCCTTAAAAAAAGGGAAACGTTGACAGCTATGGAACAGATCCAGTCCAGGAATTCAATGCTTCCTTCCTTTGGCTGTGGAATGAATGAACCAAACCTCTTTCATTCCTTCTATGAAAGGTAGAGGCACGCCTGCGATTTCAGTCTGACCCGAAGCTAAAGGCATCTTAACAAATAAATAATAATAATAATAGTAATAAATATATTATTTACACCCCAGCCACTCTGGGCAGCTGACTGGGGCACACGCACAACCCACCCACCAGGACCCAGCCTCTCCCTTCTCCAGACCCCACACCAACCGACAGACCTGCAGGAGCCTGTCCTTTCCCTGCTTTCCCTTTCCCTGCCAGGGACCCCCAGCAGCCTTTCAAGGCCTGATCCTGGACACATTTCCCCCAGCTCGTCTCCCTAGATTCCCTCGGCATCGAGGGATGCCCAAACCCCGCTGGCGCGAGAACCACCACCACCACCCTCGGCCCCCGCCGTTCCGCACTTACTGTAGCTCCTGCCCAGCGCTTGGAAAAGCAAATCCCGCTTCACGCTGACAGTCGGCATTGTCGGCAGAAGAGACGACGGGGCAAGAGCACCTCACTGCGCGTGCGCCAAGTGCGCCCCTGCAAGCAAAGCCCTTTCGCCGGGTCGGGCCTTCTTTAACGAGCGCTGTCTAAATCAGTGCCTGATCCGCTCCGCGGCGCTCCGATTCCTCCCAGCTCGCCCGGCTTATCCAAGCGCATACATGGGCTGTCATGAAGATAGTCGAGGGGCTAGATCATTATCGCGACACCTCCGTCAGCAGATGGGAATTCGCCTGCTGTTTGGGTGACCTTTGATCAGGCAAGATGCAGACAACTAAATAACGTTTGCATCAGCAACACGCTCTGCCCATAGACCTATGTAGGGTTGGAAGTGAATTGGCAGCCCCCCCCCCCACTTCGGCTTCCGGACTCATTTAGTTCCGCCGCCTGCACGTGAGGCAACGTGTCTGTCTCTGCGTGCAAATGTATAGAGCGAACCGGATCTTCATTTAGCTGGGTGCTGGCTGCGGAGCAGAGAGCTGCGAGGGAGTTGTTAATTTAACTTTGCTGTGTTTTGCTTTTGGCTGAACTTTATGCATTAACTGCTTTTGTACCCCAGTGTGTTTTCATCGTGGTTGTGGGATGGGTACAGATGATTGACAGCGTGCAGTCCTAGGCATGTCTGTTAGGAAGGAAGCCCCATCGAGTTCAGCGGGGCTTACTCCCAGGCCAGCGGCTAAAGGTGTGCAGCCTTTATTAGTTAGCAAACTGAATTCACGTGAAACGTCTCTATATCCTGTTATATTTGTTCTAGTTTCAGGCAGGTAGCCATGTTGGTCTGACGCAGTCGAAATAAATTTAAAAATGGTCCAGTAGCACTTTAGAGATCAGCTAAGTTCGTTCTGGGTATAAGCTTTCGTATCTGAAGAAGTGTGCATGCACACGAAAGCTTATACCCAGTTGGTCTCTAAGGTGCTACTGGACCATTTTTTTGTTCTAGTGTCTATGTCCTGATAGGCATTTGCAGTGGAATCCTGTATCTGAAATGTTCTCTTTCAACCAGAAAAATGGAGCCAGCAATAGTTTTTAAAACTTTTATATGACAGCTGCTGTCAGCCACCTTCAGTCTCAGACCCAGGGCCAAATCAATAGAATTTGGTGTTCAAAGTGAAGAACAAGATGGTGCACTTGCGTACGGACCTATTTCTACATATAGAAACTGATTGAACTGGCATTTGATGCTTATGTCGGCACTGGTGACAGGGCAGCAGGCTCCTGAGCACAGCAAGATAGCTTAGGGAGCACAGGGCCAGCCACTTGCCACCACTCTCTCTCCCACCCCCAAAGCACCAGCTACTCTTAAAGGTAGGGCTAGCCCTGGCTCTTTAATAGAAAGTGGTTTAAAACCCTCTTCCAACCTACCACATGAGGGTATTAGCAGCAGGTGACATTGCATTTACCTTGCATTATAGGGTTGTCATATGCCACTCAGCTTCAGTTCCAGCCCAGCCTGCAATGTCAAGATAACAACCCTCATAAGCCAGTCTGCTTCTCTTACCATGCTTGTTGCTCCCCGCCTCCCCCCCCCCCAAAATACCAGCGTATCTCTCAGCCTCTCTTTCACATCACACCCATTTCACACCATGTATGGAGACAACAGCACTGGAGAGTTTATTTCTCCTCTCCTGCAGCAGGAAGCATTTGCCAGACAACTGGGGGGGGGGGCACAGAAAATTCAAATCTTTAAAATGCATTAGAACAAGTTTGATGGACGAGTGCAAACTTTGGTCTTTGCTTCTACTATTTTGTGAGATGGATATGTTTGTAATGGTACCAATCAGTGTAGCATTAAAGTCATAAGACTGAAACATGTCTCAGCATTTTCTGTTCCTTATTCCATCCTTGATTGATCTCATAACAATGAGAGCCACAGTGTCAGGAAATAACCAAGAAATCTCATCCATAGCCCAAAGAGCAAGTCTTAATTGTTATGCCTGTGCTGGTTTACCATGCTGCAACACACACACACACACACACACACACATTTCTTTCTTTCTTTCCTATGTAAAACTTTTCTGTAGAAAAATTGGACTAACTCCCTTACTGGGGGTCTTCAAGCAGAGAGTGAACAGCCCTCTGTTGGGGACACTCTCGTTCTGATTTTTCCACATTGAGCAGGATGGTCCCCAATTCTCCAATTTGGGGGAACACAATCACTGTAAGAAACAGAATTCCCAAAGCTATAACATGATAGTATTTTGATTTGTTTGTAAGGAACATAGGAATCTGCCATATACCAAGTCAGACCACTGATCCAACCAGCTCAGTACTGTCAACACTGACAATAGCTCCCCAGGGTTCCAAAGATAACAATCCCAGCCCTACCTGAAGACACCAGGGATTGAACCTGGAACCTTCTGCACACAAAGCAATGCTCTGCAGCCGAGTCTACAGTCCTATTGTTTTCATGGAGTAAGTAATATTATTGCTCCACCTGGTTCAGTATTGCCTATGCTGACAGCACATTTCTACAATTTCAATCAGGGAACTTCACCAACCTTTTGGGAAGTTGCTGGGGACTGAACCTATGACCACATGCATGCAACGCAGGTGCTCTACCACTGAACTGTAGCCTGTTACTTTCCCCTACCCCACAGTAATGCTGCAATTCTAAACACGTTTACTAGGAAATCTAATTGAACTCAGCAACAGTTACTTCTGAGTAAGCCTGTTGAGGAATGCCCTGAAAACAAAGTAGGATTGCCATTTTTTGGCTTTAGATTTCACTGTTATCTGCCCCAGTCCTAAAGGAGGGGTGGTGAAATTGTCCCCCCCAATGCTGTTGTACCACAAGCTCACAGTTTATGTGGGGGTTACGTTCCAGGGGTCACGCCTAAAGCCATAATCACAAAAAAGTAAAAACATTGGGTTCAGTGGCATGTGGAATTGCCAGGTTTTTTTTTCATGGACACCTGCCCTGTTTCTGCACACACACACCCCCTTTTAAAAAAAACATTTTTTGCCAAGTGTGTTAAGCTGAATGCACACAAGTTAAATGCATGTAAGTTGGGGGTTACTGTATTTCAGTTCCCAACATGTAAGAGAATTGTAGTCCAGTTATATTTGGAAGACCATGGGTTCCCCACCTCTGACCTAAAGAGATCTGTGTTGGACTGCACATGTCAGATTAGGAACTGGACGCATAATGAATATATTGAGTCTGGATGTCATTACCACATTGTAGAAACTTCTGTAGAGGCAGAGGTGTTCGTCTGGTGCAGCAAACACAACCAAGTGACATTGTACCTCAATTTATTATGTCATGATAAGCTTCTGTGGACTCCAGTCCACTCCATCAGTTACATCTGATGGACTCCAGTCCATGAACACTTCTGCCATAATCAATTTCTTAAGTCTTTAAGGTGCCACAATATTTTGTTATTGATTTGCATTATATTGCTTTCAATCTGAATTTGCATTCCCACATACATTCTGGCACTTGATGCAAAAAGACATTTTTAGAGCATAAGAAGACCAGAATTGGGTGTGGTTTTTTAAAAAAGCACAAACTATTGGTTTCCCCCCAGATTCCACGTCTATTAGCCCCACATAAGGGAAGATGCAGAGGAGAAGTCAGGAGTCAAAATGGGGAAGAAGCAAATGTAATTCCCTGCCTTGGCTGTGGACAGGTTTGTGGATCAGTAGCAGAGGGGAAGTGTGTGAGCATGAGTCCTTGCGTAAGTGACAATGAATGGAAGCAGGAAGAACCCAACTTAGGTCATCATGCAAAGCATTTAAGCAAGTAAGCTGAATCATGCAGATGAAGATTGTTTAAGGTATACTGAGTTGCTACTGATAAAATTAGCCAAGGATCAAGATAAAGAAGCTTTTTGTTTCAATTTTGGAACTGTAAATACATAGTTCCAATGCTACGTATGTATATTTCTTTTTTAAATGTTCACAAAGGAGAATGCAACTAACTTGCAAAACCTCATGTCTTCCCAAATTTCCTATTAACCCAAAAGGAGGAAAGTCAAGATAACTAAATCAGGGGAAAGGGCATTCCATCGGTAGGCAAACTGAGCCAACTTGTAATATCACCTGGAATCCATTGCTATGCAGACACTGGCCAGCCTTCATGAAGTTATATATGGATTTATTCTCCTCAACTGTTTGTGTACAGGGGAATCCCCACATATGCGAGGGTTCCATTACTGGCTACCACCTGTGTCAGTGGGATGAGTGTATGTGCCATCTAGTCTGCCTCCAAACTGCCCCCTTTGGGTGCCACAAATGGCACATGTCAGCAGTCAAGCGCGTTCTGATCATGCATGAGTAGGGAGGAGCCTGTATATGGTTCAGGGGTGCCAACTTGAATAAAATATTGGATGGAGGCCAAGTAAACTCCGCTCTTCATAACTGATGGGGCGCACCCACACCATTTGAATGGCAATGCCCATCAACTTTGGGGTGGCCCAGCCTCTTCAACTATTTTATTGGGGAGGGCGAATGGGCCTTGGCCCCAGGAGTTGGCTCCTATGATATGGTTTTAGACAAGGTCAATCAATATACTTGCAAAGGGAAATTTGCACCCTCAACGTTGTCCAATTAAAAATTGTTCCCAGACCCATGTCACCGGTCTCCATTAACACCAAGCCTCCTAAGCCCAGCTCAAATGGCCAGTCAGTGCTAAGAGGTCCAGGAGAACCAATCTGGTCATCCCACCATCTTTCCACTCTGTGGTGTAAGTCATCCTCAGGAATGACAAAGGGCAAATCCTCACCATACCTTCAAAGCACAGTCAACAGACATTTAAAGCACTTGCCTCCCCCTCTTAAGACTCTTGGAAACTGTAATTCCCCCCTTGCAGGACTACAATTCCCAGCATCCTTAACGAACCACAATTCCCAGGATTCTTTGGGTGGGGGAGAAGCCATGTTTAAATGTATGTTGTGAATCTGCCCTTTCAAGGAGGGATGCTTGCAACACGAACAAGACACTTTTGTCTTTTCTGCAGCAGTAATCGACGCCCCTGAAGCAAATTGCATTTGCAGACAAATTATTGGATCTTTGAACTAAGAGACGGCTTATTGCATGGGGGAGCCAGAAAAGAGCGCAGGAGGGGGAGAGCTGCGCCCAACAAGTAACTGACTCCGTCCCGTTGTTGGGATGAAATGAAAAACACTTTTCAATTACAAATGATAGCAATGGATAAACTGATTGTATTTATTTTTTTAAGGCTGTGCAATCCTAAACGGGCTTACTGGGACGCTAACTGCCTCGAAAGCAACAGGACTTTCCTTGCTTACAATAAGGACTTCAGGGAAGATACGTTTCGAATGGATCATGTGGCAGCGTGAAATAGATCGGAGATCTAAGAAAGCCCTCCCAACTTAGTTTGTCCATGTTGTGCCGCGTATGCCCTCTCCCCTTCCCCGGCCACAGGCTCCCCCTCCCCACGAGCAACACCGCCTCCGAGGGGCTCTGTTGGGGCGCCGCCACGTTCCGCGACCGGCCCAAGGAAGCAGCGCTCTCCTTGCTGCCGGCCGGCAACCAGGGCGGATCCTTGCAGCTTAGGCGCCGGGGAAGGCGCGGACCGAGGCGCAAAGCTCTCGTCGAGGTCTCCAACTCACGATCCCGCTTGGCTCCAGGGATCGTGCCGGCGGCAGGGCCCCGCCTCGGGATCTCCAAACTTGGAAGGGTAGATGGGCTCTCTCCACTGGCCAGGCGCAGCCCGGCCCGCGAGGAGGACCCACCCCGGGGGAGGCGAGAAGCCGCGCTCACCGTTGCCCTTTGGGCGCCGTCCGGCGTGAAGCCTCTTCGGCGGCGCGCCATGAAGGTCGAGTTCGCCCCGCTCAACATCCCCCTGGCGAGGAGGCTGCAGACGGCCGCCGTCTTTCAGTGGGTCTTCTCGTTCCTGCTGCTAGGTAAGCGTGTCTGCGCCCCGTCTAGGTGCCCGATCCTCGCCTAGTTCGCTTGGACGTAAACAGAAACTGCAGTAAACGAATGTGTTCGCGCCGCAGGCTAGTGAATTTTTTTGCTTTTCTGAGAGTTAAGCCTGGTTGAAGCTGGGAATTGTCGAGTTGGTAGGGATCACGAGGGTCATCCCCCTATAATGAAGGAATCTCTTTACCCAAGTAGGACTCGAACCCACGACCTTGAGATTAAGAATCTCATACTGTACCGACTAAGTTAACCCAGCTGTCGAAGGGGATGCATATACGATCGGGCTATAATGGAATTCTGTGCAGGCAGCTCAGTAAGTTTTACTTCTGAGTAAACATGCATAGGGTGGGGCAGGGTTCGAGCTCATGCACGGTGCAAGTTGACTCGCAAGTCAGTCTCACTAAGCTGAGGTTCAGCTCCAAGCAGCTATGCTGTAAGCCTTCTGCCTTACTAAGGAGTAAGTAGCATGGAAACAAAGGGGGATTTAGGAAACCTGAGCAGAGTCTGGCTGTTGGCTTGCGGTTCTAAACGCTTTTGCTAGGAAATAAGCCCCTCCTCACTTGATGTGACTTGCTCCAGAGTAAGGCAGCAAGCCAGTGCACAGTCTTTGTGACGAAATCCCCATTTAAAGCAGTGGGGCTTGCTTCAGAGTAAAAGTGCTTTAAGCTCAGACTGCACCATCTAGAAACAGGCAAGATGCGTTCAGTGTCCCACGTGGGGATTTGGAAAACTGCCTACTGGAACTTTATACATTTGCGATGAGCTTTGCGCACTCTCGCGGAAAGGTTGTGATGATGTGAGGCTCTAGCATTCTAAGAGAGCAATCCTATGCACAGAAGCTGACGGAAAGCAGTGTTAAGTGCTACCCCACAAGTCATGTGACTGAGCTGAATAGGTTCAGGCTCCAATTTAAGTCCCTCCTCTCTGGTCCCACACCCAGAACGCCCCTTTTTGGAAGTTGCATTTGGCCTCACTTCAACTGGCTGAGCTGGGATGAGAAAATTATTCAGGGCCATCTTTAGCATATACAGTGCCATGGTGCAAATTTTCCGCCCGGCGCCCCCCAAAGTTGTTTTTAGGGAGTCTTGCACTGCTAAAAACATACCACCAATCGCGCCAGGGAAAGCAGCACGCAGATTGTGCCAGGTAAAATAACATATCAGAACGCCACCAGGGAAAACAGCATCACTGGATGGAAGGGGTGGCGATGCACGCTTTTCCCCTTCCCAAAGAGAAATCAGGAGTGCGCCATCCTCAGTGGCATACTAAGGTCAGGTGGTGCCATTTAGGTGATTGATGGGTTAAGCAAATACATTTTGATTACAGTACAGTGGTACCTTGGGTTAAGTACTGAATTCGTTCCGGAGGTCCGTTCTTAACCTGAAACTGTTCTTAACCCGAAGTACCACTTTACCTAATGGGGCCTCCTGCTGCTGTCATGCTGCCGGAGCACAATTTCTGTTCTCATCCTGAAGCAAAGTTCTTAACCCGAGGTACTATTTATGGGTTAGTGGAGTCTGTAACCTGAAGTGTATGTAACCCGAGGTACCACTGTATTACCAAAAGATCATGATCTAGGATTCCATGATCAGCAGAGATGTCTTTTGGAGATATTTATAGGACTATCTATACCCAGAAGTAAAAACTGCTAGAGTACTGGTCTGCACCTAGTGACACATTTCCAAATTATTAATTTTGGATCCTGGGGAACCATTGGGCGGGTCGGGGCCGGTCGGCCACGCGCAGGCAGGCGGAGTCGCTTCATTTAGTCAAGCGGGTTGGTTGCGAGAAGAAGCCTCGTGCCCCTTTTGCTCCGCAGGTTCGGGTTGACGTGTCCATCATGCCTTGTACCAAATCTCAGTCTGAAAGCCAGAGCACCATCAAATTCCCAAAGCGGAAATCGATTAGGAGATGTCACAGACCTCTAGAGAATGAGGAGGCTTCGAAACTGGGCACAAGCCCACTGTCAGTTTCACCCCAGAAGCAGGTCTTGCCTCTCAGCCCGGCTTGGAGATGACAATCTCTGCAATGTCACCCAGTTGCTGCCTTGCTCCCCGAGTAAGCAGGGTAAAAAAAAGAATAGCTTTCCATCCACTTCTCCCAAGGGCCGGGCTTTACTTTTCAGCGAGCGTTCAACCCCCAAATCTCCAACTAAGGGCAGCAATTTGGTTCCCTCTCGCTTTTGTGGTGGTCAAGAAACCCCTAACACTTCACAGCAGCATCGCCACCCAAGGATTATTAATTTTGGAGGGTCACTTTCTCATAACAATAAACTATTTCCCTCCACCCAGCCAGCAAAAAATCACAGTTCTTTTCAGATGGTAACTTAACACTGCCGTTGCCACCCGCTGCTTTAGTGAACAAGATGAAACCCTGCTGAGCACAACAGGACAACTCCCATGGTGCTCAGCCTCCCATAACTCCTTTCTGGAAATGGCCCTGGAGGTAGGAGCAGAGCCACTGAAACACAGGGTTCCCAACTCCCACCTCCCTGAGATGCTCCAAAAGGATACCATGGTACTGAAAACTGCCAGTCCATCACGGCGAGCAAGCAGGGTCACATTCCACCTATCTTTCTCCCAACAACTGTCTTCAACCATGGCTACTAAGGCAGGTTCAGTGGTATGACCAGCCCTGAAGCCAGACTAGAACGTATCCAAGTTGCCTCCAAGCAAGCCTGGACTGTTGCCACCCTTTCTAGTGCTTTGCCCCCAAAGGGGCTATTTGCCAGTGTAATGGTTGTTTAACTACTGAGCCCAGGGAGATCTTCTTAAGGTAGGGACACACCACTGCATTCAGAGCTACAATACCTCTCAGATAAAAAGGAACCTGTGAAATTCAGAGCTACCCAAAATCCTGTCTGGCGAGCAGATGCAAGAGTGCTGATTATCATTGTGATGATGGTTATTCTTTTTCAAATGGAGCTACTGCACCTCACCCTGGGGTCCCTTGTGAAGAAGGGTGGGCTGAAAATATTTCAAGCAAATAGCTAAATGAGGAAAGCCCTGTTAAGTTTTACAGCCTAAAACCGGTTAACAATACAAAAGATTACAACTGTTTTTCTTATAATCTGCTTCTGAAGTCAGAGCGGTGAGTCATTTTGTTGAAAAGGGGCTTTCGTTGTACTCTTTTTGCTGCCTGCTAGAAACATTTTTGTTTACCCAGATATTGAGAATGCTGATGTGTTCTTCGTTTATTGCTGCTTCCAATTCTTTGGATGTTTTAATTGTTTTCACTAATAATTGCATTGTATTATTCTTTCTGTAAACTGCCTTGGGGTTTTTTGGGGGGGGCGGCAGCAGTTACAATCACTTGGTATATAAATTTCATGATATAAATAAAAATAAGTAATATGTTTAAAAACAAACAAATTCGGAGATAGCCACATTCCACTTGCAAGCATATCTTCACCTGCATTCTAAGCAGTTCATCCAGGTGACTCTTGCCATACGATTGCCCCCTGAGTAATTTATAACTGCCTGACTTTAGGACTCTTCTGTGACATACTAGAAACAGTACTAGATGTACTGGAATTATTTAGCGTGTGTCTGTGTGTGTGTGTAGGATGGTATTTTCTAACAGGAGAAACTAATCTTACAAGTTAGAATATGGAGAAGAGGTGGAGTCAGAGATACCAAAGTTATTGCGTGATCAGATGCAGCTATGGGGGGGGGGGAGAGAAGGAAAGAAAAATAATAGTAGCGCCATGGTGAAGTGCTACAGTATAACCCATGCCCTACTCCTTAAACCTGAATGATGAATAGAAATGGCATTAAGAAAGGTATGCTTCAAAAAAACATGCAAAGCAAATATTTATTGTTCCTTCATTGAGATGGTTGTGCAGGGCTTCGGTAGCCAAGCCTTCCTCTTCTCCCCTATAAAAACATAACATAACCATAACCAGTGGCTACTAATCAGCTCATTATCCATCGGAAATAACCTTCTAAGATCCTTCACCATAGCTGTTGAGCCATTTGTTACAGCAAACTGAAGTCAGAGCTTCAATTTTCCAACCAAGTATTGGTTAGCTGAGACTTCTCTGTCACATTACTTTCCTCCCTTCACCTTCTTGTGATTTTTTTTTTAAAGCTTCAACCACAATTTATGTTATGTACTGAGTTGAATAGGATCCAAAAAGCAGCAGTCTGATTGGTCCTAGAACAATGCAGCAGTATGATTGGTCCGCAGGAGCCACCCAATCCAGCTCCAGGTGGAAGTGAATCCGCAACCTGATTGGCCTACAGGAGAATCCCAGAATTAGCCAATCATGTACGACCCATTGTGTAAATAATGTATATAAAGCAGATATTTTGGGGGAACTTTCATTCCTCACTACTATGAGCTGAATAAAGAGCATGAAATCCACACTCGACTCTGAGTATATTTCAGTTTAGCTGTAATGTTTAAGAGTAGTTTTTGTGTGAATTACCATAGATCGTTTGATGCTGTACTACTAACTGAAAACAGGGCAAAGAAGAGTTACTAAAAATAGCCATACCAACCAGTGCAGAGTTTTATATACAACCATCCAGATGGAAAAGATCCTGCTAGTCTCCAGTCTACTGCTTGGACCAACAAAATCTGCACAGCCCACCTGTGACTTGAAAAGCTGTCTTTCTGAAAGCACTTCCTTTGATGGGAAATAAAACTTTTCCAAAGCCACAAGTTTGCTTTGTGAGCTACCCCGCACTTTTGGAAAACTAGGCTAGACATTTTTCTAAATAAAGTCCATGGAAAAGAATGGGAAGGAGAATAAACTTGGGTCACTCTTGGCTGCCTGCACACCAGAGTTTTTAAGAACGAAAAGTAAGCCTGCTGAATCAGGCCAATGGCTCATTTAGGCCTTCATTCTGTTCTCACAGTGGCCAACCAGATGCTTGTGGAAGCTTGCAAGCTGGATGGGAGCACAGCAGCACTCTGCCCACTTGCAATTTGCCAGAGCCGGGCTCAGGGCAGCTAACACCAGTAAAATTACAGTAAAAACATAATAGGAAAAAAACCCAATTTAAAATACAGGTTAAAATGCAATTTAAAATGCAGCCTCATATTAAAAGTAGCCTATAGATCAAAACCATAAGGGGAGGGAAACATAAGGGTCAGACTGAGTCCAAACCAAAAGCCAGACGGAACAGCTCTGCCTTGCAGGCCCTGCGGAAAAATGTCAAGTCCCACAGGGCCCTAGTCTCTTGTGACAGAGCATTCCACCAAGTCGGGGCCAGTATCGAAAAGGCCCTGGCCCTAGTTGAGACCAATCTAACCACCTTGCGACTTGGGAACTCCAAAATGTTGTCATTTGTGGACCTTAAGGTCCTCCGCGGGGCATACCAGGAGAGGCGGTCCCATAGATATGTGGGTCCTAAACGTTTTATAACTGTTGAAATAGTTCTTCTGAAATCTCTTGCTTAAAAGATTCCAAAAAAGGCCCTGATGATGACTGAGGTTTTCTGAGGACACAAAATGTCAACACAATATGCTAAAACTTTTTTGTATATATAGGAAATTAAGATTTGTACATTTCCTTTTGAGAAGCTATCATCTTTGCCAATATGAGTTATGTACAGCTGTTCAGTTTTGCAGTCCTAAACCCATTGATCTGGGAGTAAGTCCTACCGGTTTCAGAAAATACTTCCAATTGAATGTCTTTAGGATTACTGCCATTGCAAAACAAGAAATGTGATCCATTTCCTAAGCATAAACGTATAAAGCAAAACTCAGCAGGATAGGTTACTAGGTCACTATTACATATGGAAGCAACCTAAAAACAACTAATTAGTGGTTTTATTAAATGTACACTACTCCCTCAGCAGCATAGCAAATACTGTAAAGGCTGATTAATTGTTTCATGCTCTGAATTGCATTCTTCATTAAAGTGAAGCACTGGACATTTGGCAATTCAGTTGAGGAAGTTTGAAGTACGATATGTGTTCTATCACAATTTGACTATACTACAAAAGGATCGCAGGAGGAGCTAAATTACATACCATACTTTCCCATGTATGAGACAACACCCCCCTCCATTTTTTAGTCCAGACTTTGGGGTCGTCTTATACACGGAGTTCTACCGTAAGTCTGTGGTGAGCTATGCGTCATCTCAGGGGTTCCTGGCAGCTCCTGAGTCAATGAGGCTGGGCTGCGGAGGTAGCTGTGGAGCCAAGCCGAGGCGAGGGAAGCAAGATGCAGGCTCCTGCCATTATGCAGTGAAAATACAGCACTACTTCCATCAACCAGGGCAGTGGGTCATTCAGGTGATTTAAAAGACTGATTTCTTAATTTTGGGCTCCCAAAAGTAGGAGTCATCTTATACATGGGGGCCTCTTCTACACAGAAAAAATATGGTAATTTTCTGTAGGGCAGAAATTAACCAAAGTACCTTGGCATGAGCAGCACATATTGTTTCCCCCTTATGCTGGTGGAGTTGTAAGGTACAAGGAACATATGTGGTGACATGAAACTATGTACCAAAGTTCTGAAAGCAGGTTGTAATTGAAACTGATATTATTGTTGGCAAACAGGTTGCCCTGGATGCTAAGTTATGCCTCATCCAATTTTGATGGCCAATTCTGACGTTACTTCTCAGCCATTAATTCTATATATCTGTTGCTTGCCCCTCATCTAGTGATCTGTCAAGGGTGGAAGGATGCATCTTGTTATTCTATAGATCCATTGCTTTAAAAAAGTCATGTTCTTTATCATTTCCAAAAAAGCTTGACTCATAAAATATGTGCCACCAGGGTTGATGTGGACCTTACCGACTTTGCTTCTTTGGGGCCGTTTGTTATTTATATGACCAAATAATCCCATGGTTGACACATTCCCACTAAATATGAGTTTATTTGGCAACATTCACGATTATTTGTTACAAATAGGTATTCCCAGTCACATGGGCAGGGTATATAATAATAACAACTACTACTACTATTGAAAAAACAAATAAAGCAAAATGTAGTATTTACCAAAGTCTTAAGCATCCAGAGATTGTGCTGATGATGTTTACATTACTTTTATTGCTGCTGCTTACCTTGCGAGGGGTAGCCCTGAGGAACGCCAATCAAGGGACTTACTTCAGAGAAGTCTAGTATGGCTTTGCACACACTGTAAATTGTGAACAGCTTGGTGTGGAGTTTTCCGGTTGTTAGTATTACAACAGACTTTTGAGCCTATGTTACAAATGCAATTTCTCACTGGAGAGAATGCAGAACTTGGCTTCCAAATTCCAAATGTGTGATGTGTGGAGTGTCGCATTGTATGTCTGAGCCTGAATGAACAACCAGGAGGCACCTTTCCTTCAACCAGTGTGGCTAGTATAGGAGCAGTCAGAGCTGCAAGAGTCCCCTTCATAGCAGAGCTCTTGTGTCCTTATGAAACACTTCTCCATGACTAATATAGCAAAAAGCCATTTGCATGAATTTGTGAAAATACTCTCTTGGAACTTTCAGCTTGTGGCTCATTTGTCCTAGCATACATGTAGTTTCTGCCAGAGGCTGCTCTCCAAAGCAGAACAGACAAAGATAGCAGTTGTTCTCTTATTAATCATCTGTAAAGATCAAGGACATGGTGACATGAGGAAGGCAACTGCATGGGGCTTCATGCAGATGAAAGAAATCAAGTCTCCTATCATTCCTGCTCGGCTCAGGCAAGTTTCTGTATATGGATGGGGCCTTACTGAGCATAGATTTTTCCAGATCTACTAATGGTTTATGTAGCGGAATAACTGCTAGGGAATTATTGGCATCTGTCTGTCTCGAGAGTCAATGGAGTCTGCCTCGGGGGTGAAATCAAACTGCTGGAAGATCACAACGTCTGCTGTGGCTGCAGAGACCGGTAACTCCTAACTGCTGCTTCCCAAGTTGTTTTTGTTGCATTAGCAGCACTGAAGTGACCTCTCTGGGGTGCAAGCCTGGGCAGTGTTTATTATGGAGGTCTTGGACTGTCCAGATGACAATTCCCCTCTCTTGGCCTCACTGATGTGGTCCAAAGGAAAGCAGAGGAATACATTTGGCACCAGCTTGGCTGCAGGTGTTGCCAGAAGGAGGTATGCAAGACACCATCCAGGTATCTTAGGGACTCCATTCTGGATTTGTGTAGAATTTGCTCCTTAGCCTTTTCTTCTCCTGCAGATGCCCCGCAGGGTAGCAGGTACAGATTTTTTTTTTCCTCAGGGAAAATTAGGACCAGAATTTTCATTCGCCTAGATGGGCTACCTTCCTGGGTTGATGAGCCACACCTGATCCTCACTTCCCTCTATGGCGCGTGCAGAAACCACCTTTTTGACCATTGGACCCACTACTGGTCTTGTCTGCTCAATCTGCTGGAGCCTGTCTGCAGGGGAAGTCCCCAACCCACTGAGGGTTTGAGACCCATTGGCTACCCTCCCCTGGTTTAGTCAGCCAGTCGGAACATTTCCCAGAATGTGGCTGCTGTCTCATGCTGACAGCTACTAGCAGCCACAGGTGAGAGCTGAGTGCAGGATGGGGACCAAAGGTAGGCAAGCTACCCCAGAAGTAGCACAATGCGTCTCCCGCCAGAGGTGTTCCTCCTAACCCCCCATACACTCCATGCAAGAGAATAAAATGTTGCAAATAACTGGCCAAAAAAAAAAGATTGAATCTTTACCACAGTATGCAGCCTCGGTCCAGTATACCTGAAACGAGCGTCTCCACCCCCATCATTTTGCCTGGACACTGAGGTCCAGTGCCAAGGGCCTTCTGGTGGTTCCCTCACTGAGAGAAGCCAAGTTACAGGGAACCAGGCAGAGGGCCTTCTCAGTACTGGTGCCCGCCTTGTGGAACGCCCTCCCACCAGATGTCAAAGAGAAAAACAACTACCAGACTTTTAGAAGACATCTGAAGGCAGCCCTGTTTAGGGAAGCTTTTAATGTTTAACAGACTACTGTATTTTAATACTTTGTTGGAAGCTGCCCAGAGTGACTGGGGCAGCCAGATGGGCGGGGTATAAATAATAAATTATTATTATTATTATTATTATGCCACTCAACTTGCCCAGTGGTACAGGGCAGGACTTTGGGCAGAAGTTCAGGGCCTCACTCAGCAGAATGAGGAGGAGCCCCCTGCCTCAAATGCAGCAAGGCTGGCTTGCCACATTTGAAACATGGCCATCGAAAGGAATTGCAATCCCACCTCTCCACATTCTTATACCATTAAGCCTGGAGTCTAAAATTACCAAACGGCTCGCTTCTTTGTCAGTGAGGATGAATTGGCTTTCTGTCATTCCATCCAATGCTCTGACAGCTCCTAAACCATTTATTATTCATTAATAGAAGCTAGAGGCACAGCCTCGGACAAGTGTTTCCTGCTTAATCCAATTAGTGTAATAATGTTTTGTTTGCTGAACACCCAGCGCGGATTAAGCACAAGGGAGACAACTTGCTTCAGTGCAATGACTTTGTGTGGTGCTTTTCTGTTAGGTTTTTCTTTTATGCGTTGGATCCCAAATAATGTTGCGCCTATGTTGTATGTCTGACTGGAATCAGGCTGTTTAGATGAGGAGCTATACAAGTGAGCCAAACTGGAAGTCTGGCTCCAAGCGCTTGCTTTCATATATGTTGCAGTTCCATACAGTTTGAGGGTGAAAATAGGGGTGTTGTCTGAATGCCAACACAGCTCTCTCCATCACTGCACATTGCTGAAAGCTCTGCAATGACATCTCCTGCCATGTAACAGAAGCACAGTTATCTTCTTTTTAAACTTGGGGAATCTCTAATCTCATGATGAATCTGCTTGCGTATGCCATCTAATATAACAAGTGGGTATTGCAGTGCAAATAAATGTTGCAGTGTGTTGGGCTCCCTATTCAGGATTCCCGTTGCTCCATTCTTTTCCACCACCCTGGGCAGTTTGCAATCCACAGCCACTGAGCACACTTGGGCTGGATCTAGACACATCGAAGAAGCATTTCAGTTAAACGCATTGCAAACTTTGTATGAGAAATCAGGTTAGCAAAAATGGAACTCCACATCGCCATCTGGTGTCATAGTGTTAAAATGCATAAACAATGCATATAAAGTGATTTTTCTTTGCCAGTGTAGCTGAGTCCTTAGTTCTCATAGGTTTGTTTGTGAATCACTTCCCTTCCTAGGCTTTTCCCTTGCACACTGCAGGGTCCCCAGCCCACTATCTTCTTCTTGTTTGTGAATGTTGCCATTATTGGCTGATTATATATGTTTCTTATATGAATAAACACTTACATCAGGAATGGAAGTGAAGCTGATGCTCTTCTGTGAACTGGCCACTACTCTTTATTTAAAGGTAATCCTCAAAATTGTTGCCAAGCCCCCGAGAGACAGTTTTTTACTAGGAACAGGTACAGTGGTACCTCTGGATGCGAACGGTATCCGTTCTGGAGCCCCGTTCGCATCCAGAAGCGAACGCAACCCACGTCCGCACATCTGCGCATGCGCGGGTCATGATTCACCACTTCCATGCATGCGCGTGATGTCATTTTGACCATCTGCACATGCATGATCATCAAAACCTGGAAGTAACGCGCTCTGTTACTTCCGGGTCGCCGCAGCACGCAACCCGATAATACTTATCCCGAAGCTACTTCAACCTGAGGTATGACTGTACTGGAAACCACAGAGGGTGCAAAGTTCATAATCATAGCAACATATATTAAGGACTTTACAAGGCTGTCATCTGCTGGTGAGTCTAGTATTCAGCAGGGAGCAACAAACTCTGGTTCAGGTGAAGGAATTGCAAGATCTAGGCTAGGGAGCACACATGTAAACACACTGGAATCCTTGAGCTCTTCTTTCCTTATAGACAGCTTGTTGCAACACACAGTACATCTAAAGTCATTGTGTTTTTGGTTCCCTAACCCACAGCCCTCAGAATATCCTTGGGGTGTCTGAAAAAGTTTCCCCACTCCTGCTCCTAGGTCATGTGGGGTGTTTTATTTCAGTCTCACTTCCTCATTGGCCATTAATGTGTCACCTATGGCCCTGTTTCCTTCAAGCCACCCTGTTTCCCTTAGGGACGTAAAAGCTGATGCAAATCTCTTTTGTAAAAAGAGGGGGAAAAACCCTGCCCAAACCACAAGATGCTTGTGCCCTGCCCTCAGTTTCATTTGTGCTAGAGGTGAAACCCAGCAGAGGGATAACTTCAGAATGCATTTTCAATAATAAGTCCCTGTCTTGGAATATCTGAGGGAAAGTGCCTCTGGTCATGGGAAGCACATTTAGGTTGTGTACACCTTTAAAGCACCCCCATTCCAATTGAATTCTGGGAATTGTAGTTTTCCCCTCGCAGAGCTAGAGTTCCCAGAACCCTTAACAAACTACCCTCTCCATCTCCCATTTTATCCTCACAACAACCCTGTGAGGTAGTTTAGACAGAGATAGTGACTGGTCCAAGGCCACCTGCTTAAGATTCATAGTGTTTAGCAGGGGTTTGACCCCTGGGGAAAACCAAAGCCTGCAATTGGGTAGGAGAAATCACGCATGTGGAGAAAGTCAGGGATATATTGAACGGGAAGGTGCAGGAACTAAACTGAAATTAAATGCAAACAAGAGTGGTGGTCTAGCTCATCCTGGATGGAGCTGGTGGGAGTTGTAGCTGGTGTAGCTGGTGGGAGTTGTAGTCTAAATGACTGACCATTTACTCTTTCAGGTCCCTAACATTGCTCAGAGTGACATGCAGAGATTGACCAGTTGAACTGCCTGTGTCACTGTGTTGCCTTTCACCAAAAATATGTTGTTGTCCAAGGTTTATGTAACTTGGTCTTCAACTTGCTTTTAATCAAAGCTGCTTAAGAACTCTCTCATGTGTTTGTTGTTGATCTTTTTAACACCATGAGCTTTGTTAACTTTGCTTAACAGGTCATTCAGACAAACACAGAAAGAACAGTGGGTGTGTTAGTTTGAGCCTTAGTGTTTCTGAATTCATTTGGCTTCCTACCCTAAGGAAAGCAGGACGCACATCTCAGGGTAAGCCCTTGGTTAGTACAAAAGCAAACCTATCCTATCAGCTTTTGTTGCTATCTGGACTGTGTGGCAGCCTTTGTGAAGTCTTTGAATAGCCCTGCCAGGTACTAGTCATCAAACTTTGTGTGACTTTCATACCTCAAGGTCATGTTGATGTTAAGCCATGTGGAATCCTGCCAAGGAGCTGAAAGGGTAGTAATTCTGTCAAGCCAAGTGAGACTATATTGAGTCATTGTCATGTCAGGAACTTGCTCAGCCACAAATGGAATACGTACATCTCGGCTTTGGGAATAAGTTGCAAAACTTGTGCTGCAAGATATTTGTAATACAAGAACTCGTGACCACTTGCTTGATAAATCAAGAGGAAACTTTATCATAACTGTCCTCTCCCCTGAAATATTCTCAGGATGCCTTTGCTTTAAGTTCTGCACGTACATGGGATTATTGTGCAGGCTCTAAATCTGTTAAAGTTTGGCACTGGGAGAAGACTCTCTCTTTTGAAAGTGTGTTACTCAAGAAAAATCTGGCCTTCCATGTCTTCCACTCTTCCAATTCCTTTCTGTCTCCTTGTCTCTTGCCAAATAATTTCTAAATTGTGTTGGATTATGCATTTTGGATACAAGCTATATTATGGGAAACAAATGTATTTGATTTGGATGAGAAAGAAAATTGAGAGTTTAAAAAAACAAAGTTTGGCTTTAGGTAATTTCTTCTCAAGTTCATTTCCCTTAAAATGGTAAAACGTCTACTTAGAAATATGTTCCATTGATTTAAATGAGCTTACCCCTAAGTGAATTGATGTAGGATTGAAAGCAATGGAGCTTACTTCTGAGTAGACATGAACAGGGCAGCACTGTTGGCTGCCTATTTTCCTGAGGCTCTTGTTTGCTGTATCTGCCACTGTCGTGTTAGCCCTACTCGGCCCCTGACACCTGCATATTGACTTACCATTAGTGTGGTTGAAAGGTCCCTTTTTATTTCCAAAGCTAAAAATAAATTATTGCCCAGCTTCAGCTTGAAACTACAGTATCATGGAATTGTAGTACCGAACCACATATTCTCAGCAGAATGATTAATATTTATCATTTTAAATTATCCAAGGCAGGACATTATGCCTCCGTGCTCTGATTTCTCGTTTTATCAGGCAGAATGACAAAAATGAAACAAAATAAAGGAGAAGCCTTTGAAAGGGTAAAATAAAAACCCCAGCATTTGATGAAGGATTTCAAAGGGTATACTGTGGTACCTCAGGTTACAGACGCTTTGGGTTACAGACACTTCAGGTTACAGACTCTGCTAACTCAGAAAGAGTACCTTGAGTTAAGAACTTTGCTTCAGGATGAGAACAGAAATCGTGCAGTAGCAGCAGGGGGTTTGCAGGAATGCAAAGGATAGAATAGAACCTTCCACTGCTGTCAACAGCAATACCGCAGTGTTACGAGTTTTGGGGCAGAGAGCAGGTTGTATGTCAGAGTTGAGAGCAGAGAGTTGCAGAGAAGCAAAGCAGCAAGCTGGTGTGACTATGGGGGAAGCACCCTCCATGGATTAGGTACAAGGAGAGAACCCTCAAGAGGCTACTGTTGGCCAGCCATAGGGATCACGATGGGAAAGGAGAAGAAAATGGCAAGGAGGTAAAATTATGAGTTGCATTCATCGTATGAAATGTTTTGTGTTTTCTGTGTCTCTGTTTTTAGCACAATGCTGCTGTGGAATCTTCATGATCTTTGTGTTTGGAGATTACTGGTTTATCTCAGCTTTTTATGCGCTCTGGCTCTACCTGGACTGGGAAACCCCCCAAACTGGGGGGCGAAGATCCAAGTGGGTCAGAAACTGGACTGTGTGGAGATACTTTAAGGAATACTTTCCAATTCAGGTGAGTGAAATGTTTTGCAGTGAAAGTTAATGTGTTTGTGTGCGCATGCTTGTGCACTCTGCGTATGTCCCAGAGCATGGTGAGGAAAGCCGATGTAGTTTGCATCTCGTTAGGATTCCACTTCTGTTTTGTTCCATTATTATTCCTGTGCTGAAACTTTGCACGTGTGGATGGCCAATGTGGAGAGGCCATCACAGAAACATGGCCACACGTTGCACTAAACAATGGCTGAGCACCACTTTATGGTCCTAGATAAGCCTTGGGCTTTGCACACTCCCTTTCTGTCCTCCAATGTGACTGGAAGAAATGGTTTTGAAAGCTTTCAATCCTTTTCTTGCTTAACTACAGCTTGCTATGCAATCCTAACAAACCAGCTATGGTTGGCTTGAAACAGCTTGAGCACAACAGGACTTATTTCTGAGTAAATGTGCATAGATTGCATTATAACACTATGGAGCTGAGATCTCTGTGTCTATATACTCTACAAGTTCCACCTCCATTTCTTATTTTTAACCCAAATTGAGGTCTCTTCCAGAGAAGCTGTTCTTTGAGCAATCGTTCTTATTTGTGGGTGTGGAGGTTATGCAACAGGACATCAAGAGAGTGTGGTGTAGTGGTTAACAGCGGAAGTCTCGTAATCTGGTGAACCAGGTTCGATTCCCCGCTCCTCCACATGCAGCTGCTGGGTGACCTTGGGCTAGTCACACTTATTTGAAGTCTCTCAGCCCCACTCACCTCACAGAGTGTTTGTTGTAGGGGAGGAAGGGAAAGGAGAATGTTAGCCGTTTTGAGACTCCTTCGGGTAGTGATAAAGCGGGATATCAAATCCAAACTCTTCATCCAAACTCTTCTTACCCCACACTTTCCAGAGCATTTCCCCATAACTTTCCATCTCATAAAAATGTCTGAGGGGTGGGGAGCAGGTTTGTTTTGCAAAAGCAATAATTAGCTTTCGTTGTGGGATCTGAATTGGCCAGTATGCAATTGCCAGTCAACTTTTAAATTAAGAGTGAACTTCTTACTGAGCCTTTATTTCAGCTCATAAAAACCTCGGATTTGGATCCAAGCCAGAACTACCTCTTTGGGTTTCATCCTCATGGCGTCCTTGTCGCTGGAGCTTTTGGAAACTTTTGCACAGAATACACAGGTTTTAAGAAGTTATTCCCTGGTCTGACTCCATACCTACACATCTTGCCTTTCTGGTTCAGGTGTCCTTTCTTCAGAGACTATATTATGTGTGCAGGTAAGCAGTAAACCCTAGTAATTCAGATGTGTCTGTTTTTCAAAAAATGGAATTGATGTACAGTATTTTTTTAAAAAATGCGACCCTACCTGATTTCCAAAGCAACCGAACACATTTAGCAAATCAGATAATAACAGTGGGCTGTATTTAACATATCACTAAGGAGAATGTTCTGCCAGTTTCAGGAGTTTTCCTTGTGCAGCAGAACCTTATTCCCCTCTGCTGCCCCCATACACCAAAATACAAGTCACAAAGATTCAGAACTGTAAAACAGCCATCAGAAATTGAGCTCGCAAAAAGATCATTCACCAAAGGCCTTTTCGAAAAGCCACGTCTTCACCAGCCATTTGAAGCAATGTAATGCTTTCACTGGCACACTTTGTTCACTTCGTAAAGTAAGCTCTGGGACGTGGCCTGATTCTCACAGCCCTATTCAGGTGTTCTCCATCTTCCACATCACCAGAGGATGCAGAAAGAGGAGATTCCGCTCTACAGATGTACTCCTCAGGTCTGGGTAGTGAGAGGGTAGGGGGTTGCAGATGGGGAAGAAGGATTTAGCTTCAGTCACCCCCTCACATGATTATTAATTGCATGAGCAGGGCCAGATTTACGTATAAGCTAAACAAGCTATAGCTTAGGGCCCCTCTCTCTTGGAGGCCCCCAAAAAATTTAAAGGGAAAATAAAACTGGATGTACATTTCCAAAATATAAGATAAAAAACAAATAAAACAAAACATACATACAGCAAGTGTTTCGTGTTGTGTAGGCTCCTATGATGTAAGTAATGGGCCCCGCCTGCTAGCCTGCTCCCTAAAATATCACTGGTTAGATACCTATTAGGTCCATAAATTACCATATAGCATATATTCAACAACAACAAAAAAGAGACAATTTGTTGTTGGCAAAGGACACCTGGACATATAAAGGGCCCCATTACCTTCAGTAGCTTAGGGCCTCATCAAACCTAAATCTGGTCCTGTGCATGAGGGGAAACACCCAAACAGGGGTCATCAAATTCAGTAGTAACAACATGTAGACTTTACTGTTTCATAAGTTAAAACGGTAGTTTGTTACAGAGCATATATAAGAAATAATTGGATATCAACTACAGATGAATCCACCATCTTTTGGGATAGCTTAAAAAAAGGACATAAGAGCAGAACATTGAAATCTAATCAGAGTATTAATAGCAGCTAAATGGTGTACTCCCATAATTCCCACAGAACAAAAATAGTTTCAATAAAATTTGTTTTCTTGCCACAGTGACAGAATTAATGGAGCTGGTATGCTTAAGGGAAGGTAGACAGAGAAATGAGCAATTTGAGAGTCAGTGGGCCCCTTTTAAGTACATGAAATGAGAACCTCAGTTAATTTTTTAAAAAAGCTTTTCCCACTGCTATCATATTCAATTAAATAATTTGATCATTGATGTTGTAGATATTTAAATAAACTGTAATATGAGTTTTTAGAAAACATATTTATATTTGTCTTATAATTCATTAAGGGCACAATCTTAATACAGGATTATTTCAAAATAAATGGTAAATTAGTGACTCTCAGATTGCATTATGTAATATGTCATTTGTAGACTGTTTGCATGTTTATAATAAAGAATTAACTACTGTACGGAGCACAAATTTAACTTCAGCAGATTTTTTCATTCCACATGACTAATGGTTTCCATGCAACACTGATCGGTTGATTGGGTATTCTGTTATTTATTTATTCACACTTTCAGGGCTGGTTTCAGCATCCAAGAAGAGTGTGTCTCATGTGCTCAGCCACGAAGGCGGTGGAAATGTTGCTGTGATTGTAATTGGAGGAGCAGCAGAGTCTTTAGATGCCCGTCCTGGAAGCTTAACTCTTAGCATCCTCAAAAGGAAAGGCTTCATTAAGGTGGCTTTGAAACATGGGTAAGTTCTATGTGTAGACCTCACCCATTAAGGATAAAGTGGTAACACACAGGACATTAACTGGGAATCTAGAGAACTTGTCAATTGAAATAAGATGGAATGTAGGTACCCAAAACATGAAATGGACTATAGTGGTACCTCAGGTTAAGTACTTAATTCGTTCCAAAGGTCTGTTCTTAACCTGAAACTGTTCTTAACCTGAAGCACTACTTTAGCTAATGGGGCCTCCTGCTGCTGCCGCGCCACCGGAGCCCGATTTCTGTTCTTATCCTGAAGCAAAGTTCTTAACCTGAGGTAATATTTCTGGGTTAGCGGAGTATGTAACCTGAAGCATATGTAACCCGAGGTACCACTGTACTTGATAGTATTCTATATCTTGTCGTTGGCCACCGTCTGTCTCAGGAGACAATGGAGGAGTGCGTCTTTGGGGGTGAGGTCAAATGGTTGGAGAGTTACAGTGCTGTAGAGACTGTTATGAGATAGACATGCTTTGTTGTGCTGCTGCAGATGCACCATGGCGTTTCTTCTCTCTGCAGTCCTCCCCAGCAGTCATCCCTCCTCTGGTCACTGCTGCGGATACACAACCTGTCTGTCGGTCTGTCTCTAGCACTGGGGTTGTCTGCAAGGCATTCTCCAACTTTTGCAATGCAGTTCCCCAGCCAAGTAACATCATAGTATGAAAGCACACCTGCTGTGCTACTATGTGCGTTGACATGCGTTACAATTGCTAGAGAAAATTGCATACAAAATCTGTCAATTTCAGTTCTCTCAGTTTCTTATTTTCCCCACCTTCAATTCAGTTCTCCATATTTCTGCAGCAATCTGTGACTTTTTAAAATCATCGTGAAAATTCATCAGCCTTTTAATGTGAATTTCTCCTAATACGTTTTTGTACGGAGTTTCAACTTTTGCAAACAATTTCTCCTAATATAAAACATTTCTGTATGTTATTTTCACTAGTATATTCTTCCCTCTCCACCCCCCACTCCGATATGTGCCTTTTCGTAAATGTTGGTTGCAGAACTGCATCCCAGAATTTGGATAAGTGCAAATTATGAAGAATTCTCACATTGTTTTGGAAAGTCAGAAATTGATCAATTTGGCTTTAAGTGTGAATTGAATTAAAATTATCCTCCACCCCACATATATAAAAACGAGGGAAGAAGTGCAGTGTTGTGAAATAGATTCCCCCCTCCAATAACAAGAACCAAATATTCACACACAGAAAAGAGCTGTCCTATATATGTCTAAGAGTCATTTAATACGTAAGTATGAAATTGCACATGTAGCAACTTCCTGTTTCATGACTTTTTTTTACTGTGTACTTGCAATATTTCTTTGTAAGTGAGCTATTAGCCAACAGCAGTCCTATGGGCCTTTCCCTTCCTGTGGTTATTGTTCCCGATTTCAACATTTCTTGCATTTACTGTCATTTCTAACTTTATATCTTGGTAAAAGAGGCAGCCAACTACAATTTCGTTAAAATCCCATGCAAGTGTTTTTTCTGCCCTGTGCTCAATACTTCACTGATTTTGGCTGGGGAGAGGGCTGCCTGCCTGGGCATGTGCCCTGTGTGTCCATGCCAGAAATTTTATGCAAGCATATGGGCTGGCCATGCTTAGGTTTGGCAATAGTCCCCACTGGCATGTGGTCTCCACATGGTTAGCCAAGGGTGAATGGGGCCCTCAGGCCAAAATAAGCTTAGCCACCGACCTCTGATCTATTCAGTGCTATTTTTCTAGAAAAACAGGTGCTGGAACTCACCATGAACACCTCCCTTATTCTCTTAGAATGGAAATGGCGTCCACCTGAGAGGTGCTAGAACTGAGTTCTGGCTGAAAGAAAGCCCTAGACGTATGGCATCTGCTTAGTTAGTCCCATTGGACTAACCTGGTCTAGTCCTGGACTAATATTGCATTTAGTTGTGTAAATGGAGGCATAGTCCTGTTGCCTGTTTTTCCTAGGAGGCAGTAGGTAGCAACATGAATTTAGTGCCAAAGTTATTTGTTGTTGTTGTTTAGTCGTGTCCGACTCTTCATGACCCAATGGACCAGAGCGTGCCAGGCACTCCTGTCTTCCACTGCCTCCCGCAGTTTGGTCAAACTCATGCTGGTAGCTTCGAGAACACTGTCCAACCATCTCGTCCTCTGTCATCCCCTTCTCCTTGTGCCCTCCATCTTTCCCAACATCAGGGTCTTTTCCAGGGAGTCTTCTCTTCTCATGAGGTGGCCTCATGTATTGGAGTCTCAGCTTCACGATCTGTCCTTCCAGTGAGCACTCAGGACTGATTTCCTTAAGAATGGATAGGTTTTATCTTCTTGCAGTCCATGGGACTCTCAAGAGTCTCCTCCAGCACCATAATTCAAAAGCATCAATTCTTTCGTGATCAGCCTTCTTTATGGTCCAGCTCCTTTAAATGGGTATACTTGTCAACACATTGACATGAGTTATGTCAACTGCGTTGTTGCTTTTCTCTGGCAGAGCTCAACTGGTCCCAGTGTTTTCTTTTGGGGAAAATGAACTGTTCAAACAAGTTGCAAACCCCAAAGGATCAAGGCTCAGAACATTGCAAGAGAAACTGCAGAAGATTATGGGGTTTGCATTGCCTTTGTTTCATGGCAGAGGAATCTTTCAATATAGCTTTGGGGTGATGCCTTACAGGAAACCTGTTCACACTATTGGTAAGTTCTTTTTGCTCTCTTTTTGCTCTCATATGCACATGTTTAATATACAAATCTGTGTCAAGAAATAGTAGCCACTTAGCCTTTGCAAACGGTTCCATATACCATTTAAGCACCAAATGCAGAAGAGGAGGAAGTTTGAAATAAGCATTTGTCTCTTTCCTGATCTTTTATTTATAGGTTTCCTCCTCTCCCCCTGCCCTTTGACTGTGTTGTGTTTATATGTAGCTCATAGAATTTGTCAGCAGAAAATAATCTACATAACATGCTTCAATTCATACTTTATTACCCGCATCCCTATGTTGTACGGTTGGTGTGGTATGTTGTGTTAAGAACATCATAAGAGCCTTTGTGGATCAGACCAAATGTGTGTTAACTATTATTTCCTTTTATATACTGCTCTTCTTACAAGATCCCAGAGCAGTTCACAAGTAAAATACAAATCAAACAACTGCAACAACAAATCAAATAAGATGATATATTAAAATCACCAAAGCTCTCTTGTAACTTCAATACAACAGTGAGATAATAAATACTTTGATTGCATATCCAATAAAACACTGACAGTTGGGAAACTCTGGCCCACGAGCGCTCCAATTGGAGAACAGCCTTTACCAAAATTGTCATGGACTTTGAAGAGGCTCAAACTCAGGATGAAAGGGAGAAACGTGCTAAGAGGATGGCACGTTTGGCAAAACCTCCCCATGATCAACTCCTGCCAGGAAACCTATGTTCCCACTGTGGAAAGACATGTGGATCCAGAACTGGCCTCCACAGTCACTTACGGACTCACCGTTAAGACCATGTTCATGGAAGACAATCTTACTCAGATATGAGTGATCGCCAAAGGAGGAGGAGGAGGACTTGGACCAGAGAGATTTGGATTCCTACTGTACTCAACCAAGAAGCCCACTGGGTACACTTCAGTGATTGTGGATCCCATTATATCCCAGCATGATTACAGATCCCATTATCTTTCAGCTGAACTTACTATATAGGATAATTATGAAGATAAAATGGAATAATCCCCATGCATGTCTCCTTGAGCTCCAAATAATTAGTGATTTAAAAATGTCCACTTACATTCCCATTTGGTTATCTACCAAAACCAGGTTATTGCAGGAGTTTGATAATATGTTGAGCGGTTTGTACTTTTTCCTTTATTGCCTTCCACCATTCCTGTACTTTGCATAGTTTTCAAATGGCAAACTTCTAGCAACACACCATATTCTTGAGGTCTTCTGCAAGTATTATGTCAGCTGCTTTAAAATGTAAACAGAATCATAAGATATGTTCTAACCACTTTTGTCAGGAGTGAAGAGAGGACTGAAAACCACTTCTGGCTCAACTTTTGATTAAGAGAAGTGCTCTTCTAAAAAGTGGCATATTGCTTGCTACAGTATGATACGCCACAGAATATGTTGAGAGGTAGATTTGCATTTGTAAATACAAGTTAGAGATCATTAGAGGAGGTGTAGGAGAGAGGAGAAGAGGCTAAGAAAAGAAAGAATGCTAACTGCAAAAACACTAGAACCTAAAAGGACAGGTGCATTACTTTGTGCACTGACTGCTTAATTTAAACTGACTGATGCATGAGCCTTTTAGGGTGGAGCAGGTTCCAGGTGCTGATTCAACCTGTTGCTTTATGAAAGTGATTTAAAAATAGCGAGAAAGAAATGCAGGGTGGATGTGATTGAACAAAATAACTAACTTTTGGAAACTGAAAAGTATACAAGAACAATTTGCAACAAAGACACAGTTCTGTTAAACAAGAACACAAGGTGATCAATTGGCATACTGGTCATTTTAAACTGTGAACGTCTAGGTAAGTAGAAGGACAACTTCTATGATGTTTTCTATGCCTTTGTATCTTTGAGTACTTGTAAACATATCCCATGCATATAATAGTGTCCCAAATTTACAAACTAGTTCTAGGTTTAGATGGCACCATAAAGAAACAGGTTGTTCAGATAGCAGCAGTCATTTGATTATAAATACTGAATAAGGAAAATGTACCCATGTTACTAGCCCAATAAAGTACAGTGGTACCTCTGGTTACATACGCTTCAGGTTACAGACTCTGCTAACCCAGAAATAGTACCTCAGGTTAAGAACTTTGCTTCAGGATGAGAACAGAAATTGTGCTCCGGTGGCGCGGCAGCAGTGGGAGGCCCCATTAGCTAAAGTGGTGCTTCAGGTTAAGTACAGTTTCAGGTTAAGAATGGACCTCCGGAATTAATTAAGTACTTAACCCCAGGTACCACTATACTTCCATTCCTTAATAGGCAGTTGCCTGTAATTAACAGAGCTGCAGCAGAAGTCCTTCCCACTTGCAAATCTATTTTCTTTGGACATATTGACATACTCTGTTTTCAGAATGGCTTCCTTTCGGCAAAAGAATCTGTCTTCAGTATGTGAGACTGTTTGGAAAAGCAGTTCGTTGGATGTAAACCACTTTGATTTTTAAAAAAACAACAACAAAAAATCGAGCAGTATATAATTTTTACGAAATAAATAAATAAAATTGGGAATTTTACTTTTCATGTGACCATTCATGTTGTTTGTTTTCACTTACGAATTGTTGTTGCCATTCATACTGTATGTACATGAAGAAGTGCTGTAAGCAGCCAGGTTGTATAGATCTTTGTTAACAGCTTCTAATGAAGTGGTGACACTGATCCTACCAATTTCGCCAATATTTCCTCCTTGGACATTGCTGTTGCTCTGCAGTACTAAGATCACACAGAACCATTTTTGAAAAATGTATTCAGGAAACCAACATAGTAAAGGGTATCCACATGCCTCAGTGTGAGTGGTACTGAAAAACCAATAGGTAGATATTCCTACTGTCCACATTTGACAGGGTCATTTGTGATGCTCTGCTAACGCAGGAAAGTTTAGAATTTGGATGGCTCTAGAGGTCCCTTACAATTTATGAAGGATCATTAGATAGTTAGATCAGAGCAATTACACAGATGACTCTCACTGGGATTTTCTTATTTTGTTTTTGATTTTGCAGTTGGGAACCCTATTGCGGTGAAACAGAATCTGAATCCCACCATTGAAGAAATTAATCAACTTCATGAGAAATATCTGCAGGAACTCCAGGAGTTATTTGACAAAAACAAAGAAAAGTACGGGATATCAGAGCACGCATCTCTCACATTTACCTAAATGCAGGTTCAAGTACAAGGAGAATCTGATTCAGAAGAGTTGCTTGCTGGTGAAAAGCAACCTTTTACCCCATCCAACCCTTCTCTCCAACAACTTACAAGAGTTACAGTCTTCTTGTGTAGCTGGGTACAATGTGACACATTTGCTTTTTAAAAAAAAAAATGATTTGCAGTTCTCTCTGTGTTTTTGTATACTGTGTTTTGCTCTATTGTCTGGGAATGCATTTTTATTCCTTCTCTCAATGGATGCAATTCTGTAACAAAACATTGCAAATCTACAAAGAATCCTAATGCTTTTTAATCTTGTGCTTTTTCCGAGACGGACTCAATCTGTAAGCAGGGATGATTGGTCTGTACTATGTGAAGAGAGCACTCGTGGAATAAGTCTAGGGCTCCCATGTCTTCAGTCTTGTTCCTCCAGGAAATTTTTCCTACCTTTGAAACAGGTAGGGATTTTGCAGAGGTATGCTCTTGCAGAGTTCAGTTAGTATCCGAGTGGTTGCAGCAGAGAAGCCTTTGGTTTGTTTGTTTGTTTGAAAGAGAAGTGTATTGTGTCCATCTGAGTTGACTGAATAATTTTAAATGTTTTTGATGAATGCTCGTGTATGGCTTGTTGCCTAGCTATTGATCTGTATTTAACTATGCAATGCAATATGTGGCATATTAGGCGTTCCTAAGCCATATGGTATTGTACTTGAAGTGATTTAATAAGCCAAAGATGCTCATTTAGCAGGGACGGGAACTTTGTACTTTTGTAATTGGTGCATTTATTTAGAAGAGTAGTGTGATGAGGCAAAATTGATGATTCTCTGGGAAGTTTTTTCACAGCACCCCTCCCAAATGATAATGATAATAGAGGAAGACAAACCATTTTTGCTTCTAAAGAAGCCATGCGTTGTGATTTTTTCCCTTTCAAAGCTCATTCACCAAAGAGACAGGAGGGAAGAGGTGCAATCAATACTTTGCAATGTAACTTTTAAAATATTAGAACTGTGTTGCATACTCTCTAGCTTTCAGGTTGAGAGCAACAATTTCAGTGGGGCAGAAATATTTTGACAGAAAAAAGTATTTGTAAACAATCACTCCCCCCCCCCTTTCTGTTCTGTATTACTGTTTTCCCTGGAGGCAAGTGCTTTTGCACCTATTTCCGCTCACTCTGCACTGCTGTCTTTCCTCATTTAAGTCACATAGTGATTCCCACTAGTAGAGTATTGAGTAAACAGGATGACATCATTGCAGCCCAAGGACAAGGAACCTTTTTCAGCTCCCGGCCTGCATTCACTCTGGGGGGTCACATGACAGTGGTGAAGAGGGCCAGAGCAATGGATGGCATTCATTACCTTTCCACAGTAGGCTAGATTTTACACTCACTCTTACACTCCTCACGATGCTCCATCCAGGCATTAGATGAGTTCAAGGACACATTCCAGCCAGGCAAAAACTCCAAGGAGGCTGCAAAGCAGTGCTGATGAGGGCCAAGTGGGGTGGCTGGGGAAAGTCCCAAGAACAAGATACCGTAATAAAGGCCTGAATGGCTGCAACTGGCCCGTGGGTCCGAGATTCCTTCTCCCTGTAACCAATTAAATACAGCAGTGTATTGGATGGCACTGGGATCAATTAAGAAACAGGATAATGCTTCCTGGTTTAGTCACATGAGTGACCCCATCAAATCTGCTTGATTTTTTTGTTCTTTCAAAAGCATGTTTTTTAGTAATCAAAAAGCTTTTGCAGAGGGGAAATTAAGTCTAAGTATTATCAATGGAAACCATGAAAAGTGAGTTGGTGAAACAGCTCAGTCGGTAGAGCCTGAGACTCTTAATCTCAGGGTTGTGGGTTCAAGCCCCACATTGGGCAAAACGGTTTCTGCATTGCAGGAGGTTGGACTAGATGACCCTTGTGATCCTTTCCAACTCTACAGTTCTATGATTCTATGATCTGAATGTGTACAATTTCAGGCATTTGTTCCACTGGAAGCATTTGTCAGTTCAGAATTACACACGCGCACACACAAATTCTAAATTCCTAATTTAGAGTTGCTGAGAGTTGCGCCAACTAACCAAGCATGTAGCTATAGTTTTTCATTTGAATCGAGCCCCCAGACAACTGGATCATGCTTTGGAGGCACTGAGATTATTCCAGTGCAACTGAACAGCTGCTTGACATGAGTGATGTAATGCAAGAACTTAATTAAACAAGACTGAGAGGAAAATAAAGAGATAATATGAAAATTTGCCAATATTATTTCCCTCTACGAACCACTCATGCTTGAAAAGGGAGGCTGGAAGTGGGGAGAAAAGAGCATATATTGTCTGGTCCAGTCCTTTTAGTTTCTGATGAGAACGCTTGCTGAGGGACAAGCTAGCTAAGGCTGGACATCCTAGCAGCTGCTCTCCCTATACACAGAAGGTTGGCTTGCTATCAGCATTTGCTTCAAATTCCCCTTGATACCACATTCTTGGTTCTGATGTCATTCTCAGCACTGCTGGTTCACAAAATTATTCAAAGCTCATTACTTCCTCATGCACCAGTTCACTTAAAAGGAGCTGTGTGTGTGTGTGTGTGTGTGTGTGTGAGAGAGAGAGAGAGAGAGAGAGAGAGAGAGGTCATGGGTCATGGGTCTTACAGCCACTGATTGCCCTATACCTAAGACATCAATGATGGTTGGCCCCACTGAGATTGGCAGAACGGAAGGCAGGGAGTCTGACAGTAGGCAGAGTCAATGACAAGCAGAGCCATCCCATTCTAGTTTTCTGCCCAGTCTTCTGCTGAGTTTTACAAGGACAACATGGGAAACTGAAGAGAAGGAAGCTGACACGTGGCAGTGGTTAAGGGCAGATTGATGTTGGTGGGACAGTGTCCCGTTCATTCTAATGGACCCATCTCCACTGCCCACACTTTCCCTTAAAACCCCCAAGGAAAAACAGTTCTTTTACCATCTCCAAGCCCTCCCAGAAGAGAGTGACCACTTGCTAGATATGGCAGCAGTCTGACTTAGCAAAAGGCTACTTGCTACCTTCCAAGTGAAAGCAGTTCAGAGTGGGAGTATTGCTTCCTATACTAATCACATAGGTAATCCTAGCCAATCAAGAATAGCCCTTCTACAGGCCTTGCAGTGTGTTGAACACTTTTGCAAAATACATACATGCAACCTGCTGTTTTCCGCTGCTCCAGCCTTGTTGCTGTATTATGGCTTTTTAAAATACAGATTGATTATTTTGTTGAACAGAAGCTTAAGAAGAATAAACCATTTTGATATGAATATGTGGGTGTGCTTACATGTACTCAATCTTTTATGTGTGTTCTTTCATAATTATCTAGCAGCCCATTGATGAAGAGATTAGCTTCATGCGGTTTTAGCTTAGCCAATGTCTTTCCATCATGGGTTTATCATAATATCTTTATGCTATTTATATTGGCAGCCAGTCCACTAAGATAATCTGCAGACACATCATGTAGTTCCACTCCATTCAAAGGAGCTGGGTGTTGGTGATTTTAATATTCTTTCCACAATGGCATGTATGCAGCATGCTGTAATATAATGAAAATGAAGAAAAGGCAAGAAAGAGGTTTGATTAAGGCTACAATCGTATTCGCACTTACCTGGCAGGAAGCCCCATTGAACTCTTTGGGGCTTACTTCAGAGTAGACATGCAGTGTAAATGTCTTGATGTATTGGTGTCTCATTACTGAATGAATGAAGGAAAGGAACAGCTGCTTCCTAGTATAAGGCTCTCAAATTTAATAATGGAAGATCAACATTGCAGCTTGTTGCTATGGAAGTGGAGAGAGTGAATTGTCATTTGGAATATGAGAAGGGGATGATAATATTATTAGTGTTGTGTATTTTCAAAGTAGTCTTAAATATTAAATATGTTATCCTTTGCAACAACATTATCCTCCTATTGTGGCTGGATTCTGAAGCAAACACAGCCTGTTGACCAACTTCTTTTATGATATATTCAGTGAAGTAAAGTGGGTGAACTCCAACTCCCATCAGCCCCAGTGAGTCTGGCCATTAGCTAGGGATGATGGGAGTAGGGATGGGGGAGATATTTGATTCAGGTAGCATGTAAAGCCGAATTTGAGCTTTCTGAAACAATATGAAAACACAGGCATCCTTTGAAATTTGCAGTTAACTGAATTTTGCGGTGTAGTTTTCCAACCAACCAAGGTCAACCAAACAGTGGTCAAAACAGCATACGAAATGTGTTTATAATAATAATAATAAATTTTATTTATATCCCGCCCTCCCCAGCCGAAGCCGGGCTCAGGAGAAATTTACATTAAAATGCAATTTTAAAAATCATGATAGGTTCTTCCTGGGGGGAAAAATCTCAAATTGCTGCAGAAATGCAGAGAACTGAATTTGAGAATGGAAAAATGAGCAAATGAGAGATCTGAAAGTGACAGAACCATCTGCCCCATATGAGCATTATAGTGCAGTAACATCTGGAGGGCCAAAGGTTTCCACACCTGATGTTGAGGAAGAAAACTAACCGATCTCATATTTCAAGGAACATGTTGACTTTACCTTTGTGTAGTAATGCAGGAGTGGGTCATTTCTTGCAGCCAGGGCTTTTTGAGACAGTACTTACTGGTATAGAATACCAGCACCTCTTTTTTGGTCCCTCATGGCAAGTATTTTGTCCTGGCACCTGCAGCACTTCTGTATATCAGTATACCTCATATTTTACAGCAGCAACAACAAAAAAGGTTCTGCCTGCAGTTATGCAAGACAAACACACCTGCTTTATATTTCTTTAGCTCCACTAGATGGCATATCTCCTTTCTCACCATCCATTTGTTATTCGCCAAATTGTGGAAAGGAAAGAAATAGCCAGGAGAGAGCAGAAAGTGAAAACCTACTGTCTGCTTCATTTTTGTAACATCAAAGCAAACCCCTTTCTATTCCTATGCTAAATCATCTTTCAGTGTCATGAGCAGTGGCTTATGGGTATGATTTTCACATTAGTAAAATATTCCTATGGTCTGAAGGGAAACCAGAGTTTCATGTTAGAAACACCAAGAACGAGGCCAATAATGTACATAGCCAACTCCTGAATCCACAAAGGTGCTGTCTGCAATAAATTTTAAAAACCTTAGAGATGATTTCCGCTAAGCAAGGAGCCAGGTGCCATTTAAACCAACAAGGGAGAAAGTCATCAAAATTGGGCTGTGGTATATAGCCTTTGCCCCTGTTTCTTCCACCAAGGTCCATTCCATTATCCAACGCCAATCATAAGAAACCCTGCAACTGACCGTCTTTGCTCTGTTACTCATGAGAGGAGTAAGAAGCCTGTTTGTAAGTTCCTAGGTCAGTGTAGGTGGATTTGAGCTGTTTGTCCATCTGCCTTCATCCCTTCTATTCTTAATAAAGCTTTATTTAATTGGGTTGTTGGAGTCCAGAATGTGTGTTTGCTAAACTCAAGGATTTTTGTAATCTCCCATGTGCCCGAACTGCTGGGTGCATTCTACTTGGTATAAGATTTGGGGTGTTAGAGAAAAGGAAGCTATTCTGATCTCTGGGAGAGTTTAAGAGCTAAGTGCTGGCTTCACTCCCCAAGTGAACTAAGAGGGATCTGGCTGGAAAATGCAGGGTGTGTTGTCTCAGGATCCTTTCCCCCCATTTTTCTTGAGCATGCCCGGATCCTGCTCCTGCAAGTTTGAGAGACAGTGGTGTGGCAACTGTTACCAGATAGTCAATACACATCTGGCCTACTCTACAAGGCAGTTGTTCAAGGCCTCCTCCTTCCATCAAACACACCAGAACTAATGGTCCTGCTGTACAATCCTGTTGCATAACAGTTGCTTTTAAACCATCTAGTGCAAAAATAAATAAATATGTGAGCGATGCAGCACAGCATGCTTCATTCTTAAAGTTTATATCTGTAACGCTATGATCTAAGTAAATGCTAATTGGGTATATGCACCAACTTGCATAAGTTGTATGATGAGAATGATTGACATATGTGTGTGTAATTATATCTGTATTTAATGACTGGTGATTCTAACAATCAAGTGGGTGATTAGATGAAGTTGTAAGCTTATAAAGCAGCCTTGCAACTAAATTAAGAAAAGCTACCAGTTTAGGAGGGGAAAATACTAGCCTGTCCCCCCAGTCCCCCCTCTTCTATGTTCATACTTGTATTGATAGATGGTTGTCTAGTTTTAAAAGAACTGACAGACAGCCAGTTGATGGGAGCAATATTTGACAGTGCTAATCTGTATTACATAGGATTAACCAGGCTGAGTAATTAACTTGCATAAGCCCTTTAGGGCATTTAGTACACCCAAGGCATTCTTTATATTGTGATGTAAGGAATACTGAAAGGCAGGCAGTATTCCTTGCATTACAATAATTCGTTCATTTTAGAGGAATGAAAAGCAAGAATGAATATCCTGTAGTACAGTGATTCCCAATTAGCTAAAAAAAAACACCTCAACAACTTTGCTAGTATCCGTATTTTTACTTTTAAAAATATGGCAACCCTACCTAATTGGGAACCACTGCTCTAGAACAACAAAAAACAACCTATATCGGTGCAAAAGACAGCAACATATGATCACAGATTAGCTAATTAAGATATCTCATTACCCAAACCAATCCGTTCTATTTAGTTTGCATTCCACTGGTGATCCTGCTCCTCTTCCCCTTCCAGACTTGCATATACCACCATTAAACCCCCAAGTACATGAATTGATTTCATGTAGAAGCAAACATATTGCAGTCCTATACACAGTTACCCTGGGAATAAGTCCTGTTGACATACTGGGATTTGTTGTTGTTGTTGTTTAGTCGTTTAGTCGTGTCCGACTCTTCATGACCCCATGGACCAGAGCACACCAGGCACTCTTGTCTTCCACTGCCTCCGCAGTTTGGTCAAACTCATGCTGGTAGCTTTGAGAACACTATCCAACCATCTCGCCCTCTGTCGTCCCCTTCTCCTTGTGTCCTCCATCTTTCACAACATCAGGGTCTTTTCCAGGGAGTCTTCTCTTCTCATGAGGTGGCCAAAGTACTTCACAATCTGTCCTTCTAGTGAGCACTCAGGGCTGATTTCCTTAAGAATGGATCGGTTTGATCTTCTTGCAGTCCATGGGACTCTCAAGAGTCTCCTCCAGCACCATAATTCAAAAGCATCAATTCTTCGGCGATCAGCCTTCTTTATGGTCCAGCTCTCACTTCCATACATCACTACTGGGAAAACCATAGCTTTTACTATACGGACCTTTGTTGGCAAGGTGATGTCTCTACTTTTTAAGATGCTGATACTGGGATTTACCTTTCAGCAAATATGCGTAGGATTGCACTGCAGAACCTTTTATGTTTCTTCTGAACTTACATGCAAGTCAAAGACAGTTCTTACAACCAGCAGGGAAGAGGCATTCAGGATGTCATAATGCTTGAATTTAGAAGTTAACTGTAAATTGTTCCAACTTCATTAATCCAACAAAATGAAACAACACCCCACCCCTGAGACACACTTGCCAATAAAGTCTGTCAATGATTGGCAACCAACTTTGCCAATAATGCCTACCTGATTACTTCCAATGTCCTACTCTGGGGGGTGGAGAACCTCTGGTTCATGAACCAAATGTGGTCCTCAATACCTCTTCAACTGGCCCATGGGACTCTTTCCATGCCATGTTCCTCAATCTACTACTCCATGCTAGCCTTGGATTTCTTTTGACTGACTAGAAAGTGTCTTGTGGACTGTGATAATGCTTTTTGCTTTCCTTGATGGAAAGGTCTCAAAACCTCCAGCTGCAGCATGAGTTGAATGTATCCTATCATACAAATATAAACTGCATCCACTACTCTGCTGATTTTTGCCTCTAGTCCCTGCCCCCCAATTATACCTATGAGGAAATGTGGCCCTGAGGCTGGAAAACATTTCCTACCCCTGTCCTGCTCAAATGCTACTGCCAAACTCTGACCCTTGGGGAGAACTGGTTGTGCCCAGACTAATGTAATATTGACCACAAATTAGGGTATAAATGTTGAGGGGGAAACTGACCAGTGTAAAAGATTAACTGGACTTTCCTAGGAGCTGCCCACATAGGCATATCAAGTCCCGCTAAGCCGTTCCAAGAATTGTATGCCAAATATAATGTATTTTTACTGCCCTGACAGAGAAATCCACATCTGGGGATTGGCCAATACTGCCATCTTATCAGGTGAACTCTCACCCACTGAACTTAGTTCCTTCAAGATAAGATTTCAATTGGGCACCTTTTTTGTAACTATGCAAGTTTGCATGGACTTTGACTAATGATCTTTCTGCCCTTTGAGGCTGAACATGGTTACAGACTGAGTCTACAGAGCATGTCTGGAGGCTTGCTATATTTTTTTCCTCTGACATCAAGTGGGGTGGATTTTTTTGTTGCTGTTTTGTTTCATTCACGGATACTAGAGACTGCTTGCTGCCTGTTTACAGCAGACAGAGGATAGCCTGTAAGGTACAGAAGTGGGCAGGCAGAGACACGCACACTACTGGAGAAAACGTTATAGAGTTCTATTGGAAAACATTTAAGCTGCATTCATTATACTAGTGCAGGGGTCAGCAAACTTTTTCAGCAGGGGGCCAGTCCACTGTCCCTCAGACCTTTTTTCGGGGGGGGGGGCTGGACTATATTTTGAAAAAACAAAACAAAAAATGAATTCCTATGCCCCCAAAATAACCCCGAGATGCATTTTAAATAAAAGCACACATTCTACTCATGTAAAAACACATTGGTTCCCGGACTGTTCCCTGGCCGGATTTAGAAGGCGATTGGGCTGGATCCGGCCCCCGTGCCTTAGTTGCCTACTCATGTACTAGTGCTCTGAGCTAACAATGTTATAGGGATTCTGACAAAACATATAATCCACTTCTGTCAAAACAACCACTGCAATGCTTGTACATCCAGATCTGGCCCCTCTTTAGGCAATTCTCCTTTATGTTTTTTCGCTGACCGGTGTTCTTGGCAACCATTCACAAACACAGAGAAGAATGAAAATTCTGTACTGAATGTTCCCAACCAATCAAATTAAAGGATTCCTTGGTCTGAAAATCTGGGGAAAGAGGCAGACAGCTGTTGCTTAAGAGTGCACGTGGACAGCTATTTCTAATCTTACGGGTGAGAGTATTGCAGCATTTGTCTGAGAAAAAGGTATGGGTGTGTGTAATACACATCTGCAAAATACACATTCTGACTTCCATCCATTTCCACCTGCTGCAAGATTCAACCTGTTTTAAAAGTAAGCCAGCTCTACAAAATGTAGGCAGTTGTTCTTAACGATTGCTTGTATGCCAAGTGAATCATCATGGCTGTAATCCAAAGCTCTAGTTCACAGGCCAGAATCCCTTTTTGGAAGGATGGGCTTGGGTATATCATAGTGTGAAGTACAAATTGTCTCTACCACCATTAAGGTGCCCCATATTTTTCTATACTATATCCCTGGCGTTTTTGCCAGTTGAAGACATATCAATATAGGCAAAGTATGGCATCCTTAACAGAGTTGCTTAAGAAAACCAACCAGTTTTAGGATAAAGGTAAAGGGTCCCCTGATCATTAGGTCCAGTTGTGACCGACTCTGGGGTTGTGGCGCTCATCTCGCTTTATTGGCCGAAGGAAGCCGGCGTACAGCTTCCGGGTCATGTGGCCAGCATGACTAAGCTGCTTCTGGCGAACCAGAACAGCGCACGGAAACGCCGTTTACCTTCCCGCCGGAGCGGTACCTATTTATCTACTTGCACTCTGACATGCTTTCAAACTGCTAGGTGGGCAGGAGCAGGGACCGAGCAACAGGAGCTAACCCCATCATGGGGATTCGAACCGCCAACCTTCTGATCAGCAAGTCCTAGGCTCTGTGATTTAACCCACAGCACCATCCGTGTTTTAGGATAGCTTGATCCGAAAATGATTTGTTCAGAATGAAGTTCCATTCATTTCTATCCAATCTTTTCAAGCCACAAGCATAAGTGGGATGGTAAGATGAAACGGCTGCTACTGGTAATTCTGCATTATTTAACTATAGTACCCACTCTTATGTGGGTGTTCAGTTCCAAGGATTCTGCTTATACATGAAAATCCCATATATTTAAACCCTTGGAGCTGCTCCACAGCTAGTGGGATGGGGGGGGGGAGAGACTCCCCAGTACCTGCAGAGTCTGTGTGCCTAGTGGGCCTTGCCCAGCAACAGAGAAGAGTTGTTCTATGACACGGGCGTTTTTCTGGTATAAAATAAAGAGCACACAAAGTTTAAAAGAAATTAAATAAGAAACTTGTTCTTCTGCAAACAATGAACTGGGTAGTGCCATAAGCATAGAACAGTTACAATAATTGCACAGTTAACCACAGAGTAATGATCTTCATTTGGTAACGGCACCATGTTAGAGTCAAGAAAACAATATTGTTTGAGCACAAGGTATAGAAACATTGACATATTCAAACACAACCTTTATTATTTTGTTTCAGCAATGCTCTGCAAGCTGTGCTATATTAGCATATTCAGTAACTGAGTAAGTGTCAAGCTGATTTAGGCAGAAATCCTAACCCCACTCAATGTTCTTGTTGTTTAGTCATTTAGTCATGTCCGACTCTTCGTGACCCCATGGACCAGAGCACGCCAGGGACTTCTGTCTTCCACTGCCTCCCGCAGTTTAGTCAAACTCATGCTGGTAGCTTCGAGAACACTATCCAACCATCTCGTCCTCTGTCGTCCCCTTCTCCTTGTGCCCTCCATCTTTCCCAACATCAGGGTCTTTTCCAGGGAGTCTTCTCTTCTCATGAGGTGGCCAAAGTATTGGAGTCTCAGCTTCAGGATCTGTCCTTCCAGTGAGCACTCAGGGCTGATTTCTTTCAGAATGGAGAGGTTGGATCTTCTTGGAGTCCATGGGACTCTCAAGAGTCTCCTCCAGCACCATAATTCAAAAGCATCAATTCTTCGGCAGTCAGCCTTCTTTATGGTCCAGCTTTCACTTCCATACATCACTACTGGGAAAACCATAGCTTTTACTATACGGACCTTTGTTGGCAAGGTGATGTCTCTGCTTTTTAAGACGCTGTCTAGGTTTGCCATCACCTTCCTCCCAAGAAGCAGGCGTCTTCTAATTTCGTGGCTGCTGTCACCATCTGCAGTGATCATGGAGCCCAAGAAAGTAAAATCTCTCACTGCCTCCATTTCTTCCCCTTCTATTTGCCAGGAGGTGATGGGACCAAGTGAAGATAAGAAGGGATAGTCTGTGAAGCGCATCTAGTGTTGTGCACTGTTTCAGTTTTTTACTCTGAAATAGTGAGAGTATTTTAATATTTATGCTTTAAACAAAGGACTGAAGGTGGCAAGTGTTGATTTTGAAAGCCGCTAGCGCTGAATGGTTACTTGTTGGCTTCATCAGTGTAAAAGTTAAAAGGCATGATTATTGATATTTCATTTTTCACTTAGGGAACTGTCTATCTTTAGAGTTATGTTGGCATGTAATGCCAATGCTATGGTCTTAAGACCCATAATATAGCAACCTTGGTGGAGCTAATCAGGTCTGCATATGGAAATCCTTACACATATCACATTTAACTCTGTTGGAGAAAGGTGCCTGATATTGCCATGAAATAAACGAAGACTCCAGATGGATTTGGTGCTTTTCCAAGTAAAGTATGTAAAATATATTGTTACATACCCCACCCTAATCTCTGAACAGTACAAATTCCAGGGGTTCCAGGCGCTTACGCAGGGTTCAGTTTCCTTGGAATGAGGGACAGCTGAGACTGTGGTGCCTTTATGGTTTATTTACACATATACACAACCCCAGAGGCTCACAGCACTAACACCCCAGAACAGGCTTCCTCAAACTTGGCCCTCCAGATGTTTTTGGCCTACAACTCCCATGATCCCTAGCTAGCAGGACCAATGGTCAGGGATGATGGGAATTGTACTCTCAAAACACCTGGAGGGCCGAGTTTGAGGAAGCCTGCCCCAGAAGGTCTTGCTTCTCCCATAGTCACAGTCTTGGATTCTGGCAGAAATCAAGCATGGCTCTCACTATCTGGCTTCTGCCAGCAGCCCACTCTCAGCTCATATATAGTGGTACCTCAGGTTACAGACGCTTCAGGTTACAGATGCTTCAGGTTACAGACTCCACTAACCCAGAAATAGTACCTCGGGTTAAGAACTTTGCTTCAGGATGAGAACAGAAATCGTGCAGCAGCGGCGCGGCGGCAGTGGGAGGCCCCATTAGCTAAAGTGGTGCTTCAGGTTAAGAACAGTTTCAGGTTAACAATGGACCTCCGGAACGAATTAAGTTCTTAACACGAGGTACCACTGTACACTCAGCTTTTGTCTTTCTCACTACCAGCCAGGTGAGTGAGGGGGTCCACCCATTTGCTCTCTGGCTCAGAGCCACTTCTTTTGTTATACTAATGACGGTCCTCAGGACCATTCACTCACAAAGAAACTAGCCTGGCTAGTTCAACAATGGAATCCTCCATTACATTTTAACCCTTGCTGGATCCAGGACCCCAGGAGTGAGAAGGGATCCAGGCATCA